ATGCAGCTACTACATTCTGTAATATGCACGAGGAGGTGACACGAGAGGCTGTGGCAATGTCTCGAGGTAATGTCCGAAAGGAGTTGATGCTATTTCTCCTTTCCGATCAGTCCCAGGACGGAACTCGAAAAAGGGCCAACAACCTTTGGCCGACACGGCTCCGATTCCTGGAATGTCGACTTGGGCTGGGGATAATGGCAGACGCATTTCATCTGATTTCGCTGTTGGTCACAGACATCTCAAGATGACACTCCCCCGATGACATTTGACGGCTCTCTACCGTACTCGTATGCTGTCCGAACCCATGGCACTGGTTAGGACTCGACTCAATCTCAGGATGGAGTGGCACAGCATCGTCATCCAACAACAACGAAATTTGTTGGCGCAGACCACATGAACCCAACGCCACGGCGACGGAGAAAGATACCGTCAAAGCGGGCTTGGAGGCACCTTTAGAGCAACAGCTTCAGAAGGAGAGCGAGACACAAGTCGTACAACAGCCATTGGGAGAAAAGCAATGGCCACCCAGGAAGCAAAAAGGAGGCGCCGCCATGTCTCGGCGAGTCTGCAGAGCGGAGTCCTAGTAAGACAGCTGTCTGTCCATTTCTATGCTCGAAAAATGTGATGGGAGCCGGAGCCATGTCGTAACGCGTTCGTGGATTGGAAGTAAAGCAATCATGTACAATGGCAAGGCGTTTTGCCCATGTCGCTGCTTGGACTCGATGCTCTTGTCCGTATGACAATGTGAAGAAGGCTCATCATGAATGGTTACGACGACTAACAAACGGCTCTGGTCAGCGCAGATGCACGCTTTCAGAGTGCCAGTGAAGACGATCGAGGCTTACTACTCTCCAGTGACATGCAATAGCAATCCTACCGTTTGTATTGGGAAACGGTGGTGATGAGGCGTTTACGCTGTTGATTCCCTCGCTGTCTCACAACCACTTCGAAGAAGCAGTAACAGTCATAAGACAACGTGCCATAATTGGGAATTGACACTGTATATTTGTGACACACGGGTGGTGGGGGGCTGCTGTTATGTGCCATGGCCAGCGGGTCTACAGCGAGAGCGACAGCCTGATGCAGCGCTTGGGAGGGAGGTTGACGTCATGAATAGAGGCAGTCGGTCGTTGGCCGAAGCACGCAATGGACAGGCATATTTGCACTGTGCGAGGCCGAGGTACGAAAGTACTACAGTAGGTAGGTAGGGGGGAGGCGAAAAGGGCTGGCCATCAATGGGCGGCAACTCTGTAAGAAGCGAGAAAAATAGAGAAATTGACAAGATGACAAGTAGGAAAAGAAAAAAACAAAAACAAAAACACAAGAGCCGTCGGCAACCAATTACCAGGCTACGGGGAACAAGCCTCGGCTCCTTTTTTTCAACAGGCGAATCCCTGCTCCATCCAGACAAACTATCAAACACATGTTGCATCCAGAAACCCAGCGTCAAGGTACCCGGGATAAGGTAGGCGGCGCATTGATTCTAGAACACGCGCCCAGAGGCAGATCTGACGTTGATCGTGGCCTCTTGGTTTCTTGGCTCCAGAGCAAGGTAAGGGAGAACCTGAAGATCACGGCTCGACGAGGCCTTCCCGCACGTGTCTGGAAAGCCGATCTCTCCACCTTGGCCTCAACTCTATTTGCACAACCATTTTCCAAGGTGAGAGGAGTTTTATGTGTGTATGGTGTAGTGGTGGTGGTATACAACTATCGTCGGTTTTCCGTTGGATGAGACGGGAACATGTGAGATACGGGCTACTGTACTTTGGTACTGACACACAAGCCGATGATTACTGTACAGTACATGTGATGAAGGGGGGAGGGCTAAACAGAGAATGGGCACTTGTTTTTCCCTTTTCCTTCTTCTTGGTATGGGGAGATTACTGTAATACCTACTCGACAGATTAGCCATGGGGGGGAGACGGGTAATGGGCAAATTGTGTCAAATGACAGAGACAGAGGGTGGTTGGTGAGCAAGAAGGTGAAGAGAGCGGTGTGAGCGAGCTGAAGAAGGGAATCGGCACTTGGGTATCCCTGGATGAATGCTTGTTCGCTCGCTCGCTCGCTCGCTCAACGGCTTTTACCTCCGCCGCATCCGCCCAATCTTGTGTGTGTGTGCGTGTTGGGCTCTTGTGACATGAACACAGTGGGCGGAGATGTGATGGTCACTGTACTTGCATGGGAGCACCTTGTCTACGAGAACAGTACGGAACATATCGTGTAGGTAATATGCCCATATCCCTGCTGTAAATGAATGGATGGCTGTTGTATTTTACACGCTATCATGTAATTGGTATGTAGCACGTACTCGTACGGCACTCGTATGGCTATGAAGCATCCAATGCCAAATGAGGGTGCCACAACACGCACACCCAAAGGGACGGCAAGGAAATATCATCATGTGGATGAAGGAAATAAAATCACAGATTGCGACGAATGACTGACCAACTGACTGACTCCTCCCCATGCAACCAGCACCACATAACCATCCCGTCGACAAAACTAATCCTTAGTAGCGGTACCACCTGCACACGGCCGTATTTAGTATTCGCTCACAACCCGTTTCTGGTCGCCGACCTGAGATGCCCGCCGGCGTGTTACTCGAACGCTGCAAATTACATTACATTAGGCTTGCTCCAACCTCTCTTTCATCTGGGGACATGCTGGGGCTAGTGCTGGGTGCATGTAATTTCCAGCGGAACAAGGCCTTGGCTAAACGGCTCGTCTCAATTAGCAAGCCCTGTTCTCCACCAGCGGGGGACGAGGAGCAAGCATCTTCGTGGTTGTGAGTGAAAGGAAGGTCAGGCAGACAAGGCGAAAAAAATACGAAGTCGCAGTGCTAAAATCATACATCATCAGGACTCACTCGCAAAACATGAGACTGTGAAAATTAAACAATGGCATGACTTTTTTGTTTTGTTTTTCTCTTCTTGTAGCTAGCTGGGTAAATGTATCAGTCATTTTAGGGATCAAACGATGCCACCATCGTATCGTATGCGGCTGGCGGAGTGGCATCACATCAGCCGGCACCCGCCCTATCTGCCGGTATTGGCGCGGACGATCGTCGCCGCCAAAATATATCGGGTATCTGGTATTTAATCTCGAGGCAAGTACTAGCAAGGCAGCAAATAAAGTGCATGGCAATCTCTTTTTTTGCGGTTCATGGGGCTCTATCTCGCGTTCTATTAGAGATGGGTACATACATACTCGTGCTCATGCTCTCTAGTCATGTACGTTATATTCTCCCGCCAAGCATCGACTCGTAGCGCTCCCCCCTTCGCTTGGTGGATGGAAGCATTGCTGGGCAGTATTGTAATCATATCGGCTTCTCCAGAGACCATGTATAGCTGATTACATGGACGGAGCAGGCGATTCAGTTCCATCTCTGCCCACTTATACAGAGCAGAATCTCTCTCCTCTTTCAACCCACAACCGCGTATCACTTTAGAGAAAAACAAATCAACATCTTTTTGGGGCAACCCGAAGCCGGAACAGCACTTGTCCACTTGTTCTGTTCCATGGGGAATTGTCGCATTCCCCGAGCCGGAGAAAAAAAAGAAAGAAAAAGACACTGTGCTCTCCCAGCTGGTGGAGCTTCGACACCCCTTGGACGGAAAAGCGAGAAGAAGGGATCCCTAGTCCAAGTTGGCGCGTTTCATGTATCCCAATCTGGCCTACCGCCTCCGCACCCAAATCCTCGGTTTATGGAAGAGAGTTTGTAAAAAAAGGGAAAAAATGCATACGAGTACATGGATGTCCGGTACTCGCAGTCCTCCGCTTAGAAAGAAGCGTCTCAGACAGCGCCAACTTGGCTCATTTTGGGTGAAAAGGGAGAGAAAAAAAAACACAGGAACAACAACATTGGGAATGTGAAGAGAAGAGAAAAGAGCAAGATGACACAAAAAGAAAAGAGCAGAAGAGAAAAAAAGAGAGAAACGCAAAAAGAGGTCCGTGGTGTTGGCTGTGCCAGTCGCAGACCTGAGCTTGTGATTCGCGTCCTCGTACCGGCACACTTCAAGGGAGCCTCTTCTCATCTCCACCCCAACTCCAGCTGTTGGGGGCCACTGTGAAATGGCACTTTTTTTCTCTCTCTTACTCAAAGCAGAGAGAGAAGCCAGTGGAGAAGCCGCTGCCGTTGTCAAATGCCATTTCATCTTGTTGCTTTTTGCTGCGATTTTCTTGGCTGTTTGACTTGACCTGACACTTCATCCCCCCGTATTACGCACCGCCCTCTTAATCAAAATATGGCTTCATAAAAACGGAAAAGCCGCTGATGTTTAATAACATGCCTTCTAAAAAAAGAAAAGACAAGACAAGAGGAAACGAAGAGTGAATGAGTATCCACCGCCAAAAGGGCCTTTTTTAACTTTTTCCCCCATGTCGTCTACGTTTCTTTTTTTTTACACGGCATCTAAATCATGAGAGCGCCATTGTGATACAGGCAGCACCGTGTGTGGTTTCCGGGGGAGTACCAGTAGTACAGGTGACAGCATCTTTTAAGATGAGATTCTCTGGGACAAGGATTTGATCCTAAAAAGGACCTTTGCATATAATAGGTAGGGTGTGGATGGAGGTATGCACATGCAGTACATTTGCCTCGGGAGACGGTATCGTAGACTGCAGCAGAGCACCTTGAACTTGATCAGCATCTACCTAGGCATCAGATGCTATTGAGGAGCAACAGCCGCCATTTCTCCTCTCCTCTTCTCCAATTTCCCTTTTTCCCTTTTTTGCTTGTTTAGTATGCTTCTTCTTCCACTTATTATTAGTACATCAACACCAGTCACGCGGGTTGCTCTACTAAATTGCCACTCAGCCCGTGTGTACTCGTAGTAAAGCACCCTTGATATTGGCCACCAACTCGAATTACTCGTACAAGATGGAACAGTACCCAATGTACTCGTACACCGGAGTATCACACAGGCCGCTTATTTTCGTGAGCCGTCTGCTGGGCACTCACACTCACACAAACTTCAACCCAATCTTGAGCCGCAACGAGATTGCCCAAGCCAAAAGGTCAGCCACAACCAGACTGGCGGACTCCAGCGCCACTTGCGGACGGAACAAGACAAGGGGAGGTTTGTTGCTAGCGAGTTTTGAAAGAGGTGAAGAGAGGCAACAAGAACAAGCAACAAGCTAGTTCCCATCAACCGGTGGAGCTGCCGCAAGTGGTGGGCCCCGTTTGGCATCCTTTGTGATGGCCGGCTAGCGGGAGCATTTTCTCGATCCCTGGAGCGGTTGAGCGGCCATCGTTAACACCGATCGCGGGAGCCCTGCTGGGCCGGTAAGGAGATGGCCGGCAGACATGGGCATTTCATCAGCAAGCAAACCGCACAGTACAGTTTTGATGTCCTTCTCCTTTTTGTCTGCTGGGCCAGATATGCCATACCAGTGCCTGTCAAGCTGTATCTGGCTTCGTGCTGGTGGCAGTTCCGTTGCTACATGTACATGCATCCATCACTTCTCCCCCCCTCCCTGTTGCCCGTCTGTATGCGGCTACTTTACGAGGGACCACGCCTTGCATTGCACAACACAAGGCCCAAGCAATAAGCACCATCAGATTTAGCTCTTGCTCATATTCTCCGTACGACGTTTCAGCCGGCAGCATTTTGTCTCTGCCTTCTTCCTTGGTCGTAGTTTGAAATCTTGATGCATCGTATCGTGTCAAGGCAGCTGTTGATGTGATGGGGTGGTGCCCCCCCCCTCGTAGGCGATTTTATTCCCGGCGGAAGCCTGCAGCTCCGGGGGGGTCCCAGCGCCACTCCCAGCGCACTGTCCGTCAACCCTAAACACAAGCAGCCTAGGGGGGGCCCCCAGTGACGTATATTTTGGAGCTGAAAATACAGTGCGGCTGGGATAAACACAGTGTTGTCTGTCCTAGGACTTTGGTTGCGCGCTGAAGAGGGCGGTAAGCGGCGACGGCGATGCTATTGGGCTGCTTCCGTGCGAATGAGGATTCAGATGTATGTCCGCTTGGCAAGGATATTCCGCAACAGATGGATACTACTAATATGTGCTGTCTTTTGGTATGGATACACTTTTTGGTGCTACTAGGTAGTACGAGTATTAATATGTAATTGTGATTGATTTGGAGAAGGAAAAAAAAAAGAGGCAGCCAAAGCACCAAAGGGGAAATAGACGGAGCTAATTCCATTGGCGGGCTGGGTATGTAGCATGCAACACAATTTGCTCAGCAGACTGAAAAAAACAAAACAAAATGAAGAGTGAATGATGCTGTACAATAAAAATTAGTCCGCCCTGCATGTGTCTAAAACGGAGCAAGATACAGGATAGCGCAGGCGACAAGAAAAGAAGAGGGGCGGAGTCATATACTCGTAGTTCACAGGTGGTCGTCGCACGTGTCGCGTAGCTGTGATGCATCTTCCCAGGAGGAGGCTGAGAATAGAGAATCCAATCTGAAAATAAGCCTGGGCTGCCAAGATGCGTCAAGCACACTTTCGCGGAGCCCCATCCATTTTGAGCACAATGACGAAAGTCGAGGACCAAAAACTTGCTTGAGATGCTGCAACCCGCCCATGAGATGACGATGACGGGCATTTCATCCGACAGCCCGGTTTTGGAGAAAGGGAGGGGATTGGAGGGGAGGAGGGGGGGGGGGGTCCAGCTTTCTTTTGGGATTGATTGACTTGGTCGTTTGTCTCATCAACACATGGACTGCATGGGGGGGTGATGTCCAGAGAGAGCCGTCGAGCCTTGGCGCGGGGAAAAGGACAAGGCAGAGCCGTTCAGCTAGTAACAAGTAACAACCTGACGCAGCCAGCCAGCAAGAAAATAGAAACCAACAACAGGTAATACGATAGGTGTGGTGATGGTGGAGGTTATCGTGATGAGATCCACCGAAACGGTCATAGGCGCAGAGTTGGCTTGCTTTTTTGCTTGGTGCTTGGTGGCTAGCCGCCCCTCCCCTTCTCTCTCTCTCCCCGCAGGGCGAGCGTGCTTTGGCTCAGGCTCACCTCAGAACGTTGCGTGGTGTGCGCAGACTTGGCCGTTTTGGCTTATCATACGTATGTGTGATTGTGCTTTGATCCATCTGCAGTCCGTTTTGAGAACAAGGCTGCCTGTCGTGACCCTCCCTTTGGGCGTAGTGATATCGTCAACTGTATCTCAGTGTGTTGATTGATACCTTACATGACATGTACCTACCCTTGACACTGCACCTACACGTACAGCTCTCGCTCTACCGCTTTAGATTTCAAGCTAAAAAGATTAAAACTTTCATCATCAGTCATTCTGATGCTCCCTTGGCTTCCATCATGTCTCATCGTTCTCCTCTCTGTCATTGCCATGCCTCTGTTTGTGCCCAGTTGTACGCCCTGCATCCCATCTCTCTCTTCCTCTGTGATCACGGCAGTATATTGCGTACCAGCCCTTTTTCCTGTCCTGTTCCTCCCCCCCACCCACCCCGGACGGCGTCGACGCCGTGCGTTTCTCTGCCTTGGTGCTTCTTTTCGTTCCCCTGTTTGCCCGTAGCCAAAGAAAACCGCCAGCCCAGAGCTAGAGTGAGGGCCCTTTACGTCAGGGCTGCCAACTGCATCAACACCCGGGTCGGCCAAAAAGCTGGACCCCACCGGGCCGGCTGGATCCCTGTCGCTCCGTGTTCCGCACGGGGTGCCGTACGGAGTACTCGGCTCGTACTCCGTATGAGGAATTTCTCTGGCCAGGACGCACTGGGGGATGGTAAGGATTGAATGACTTTTTGGAGTGTGGTTGAGAGACCCCCGTACCCGGCATGCACCCTATCCGATACGGCCAAGCTCCCCCCTCAGCTAGACAGATTGCTTTTTTGCTCCCTTGTCTGTCTGGTTTGAGAGAGGAGCAAATGTCGGTGCTTCTTTTTTTTCTGTGTGTGGCCAGCAGAGAGAAGATGAAGTGCTCCTATTTATTTTACTTGTAATTACCACCAACCAAGGTTCATCCTGCTTCTACTACGTTACTTGCTAGCCAGGTACGAGTACTAACATGACTCTTGTTCTTCACAAATATCCATCATACAGTACCTTAATCTGCCCGCGTGCCCAGTACACTACAGTGTCTATTACGTCGCCATCCACCAAACACACACGAACACATGTGTACACACACACAGCTCTGCACATTTCGGCATTCTTGCCTCGCTCGCTGTCTCCCCCCCCTGCATAATCTCCTTCGCAGAGCCGTCCGTCTCTCTCTCCGCAGTGGCGGCAAAGAGCCAACAATCCACCTGTCTGTCGCAGGCCCCTGGTCAAACTGCCGTAGCCTTATCCAACAAGCATCAGATTCTGTCGTCTGGCCCACCCGCACCTTTTGGCCACCATCCCTGCTTTGCCCTGTCCTTGTCCCGGGGTTGGCACTCGTACCGTGCGGGACAGTGCGCGATGGACACGGCTTCCTGGGTACATTCGCCAGGTGCGCATGCCAGCAGGGGGGAGGTACCCAGCTCCTCGTACTCCGTGCCGCGCAACTCCACAACTGCCAGCCCATACAGTGTACAGTACAGCAACTTCCAGCTCCTTCATCCAGTTCTTTGCGCTGCTGCGTTCAGTAGTGAGTAGCTTTGGATGCGCAATCTCTTTGCTACTTGTAGAAGTGTTTAGTGAAATATACCTGTATTTGATGATCCTGGTACTTACTGTCATGGTAGAATGAACGCAGCCAACATCCAGCTTCATCAAATCCTCTCTCTACATCCACTACTCGTACAGTACAGTACACAGTTCAGCACAGTCTGCTCCTGCCTTCCTCCACCCCACCCCACCCGTGTGTCCACACCTCCCCCTGTCGTGCCTTCCCAGTCCCACAGATTGCATCTCCACCCCCCTTTCAGATCCACGCTCGCTGGGCTTTTGCTTGTCTCGCTGTCGACATCATGGCTCCTGCTAGCTGGCCCGCGTACTGCCTACTTGTCGTCCGCTCGCATTCACCTGCGTTGTGCAGGTACCAGTACTCTGTATTTACTCGTATGTACCAGACTGGCTGCACACAGTCTGTACCGTAAGGTAGATTGAATCAAGGTACCTCTCACCTCACTCTCACCTGTAGTATCAAACGCTCTTCTTGGCTTCGTGCTTCGTCTCTGCATTGCATTGGATCTTACTCGTAACACAACACAAAGCATCTCCTCCCCCCCTCTTGGTGCTGAATTGACTTCATTCCATTGTGCCCACTACATCATCGTGCAATCTCTCCAAGATACAAGGTACCTCGCTGTCTTTGCCTTGTCTCAAAACTTGCCACTACGAAGTACAATCGCAGCATCAGCTATAGAGGTAGCATTCTCTCTTTTCGCCTCCTCATCTTTCTCCTTCTCCCCCTCCATCGTCAGTGTCTGTAAAATCTCAAACTCAAACCAAACCAGCTTTTTTTCAGCGCATACCTCATACCTGGAACCGTCATCAAAGACAACAAGCAATCGCCGCATTCGCAACAAAGACAAGCCCCCAACTTCTTTTCCCCTGCCCGCTTCTGCGCACTTTCTGGAGACCCTGCCAGGAAGTAAGTCTTCAAACTTGTTTTTTTATCCCTCTCTCCATACGCCATATCCATATCAACCAAGCACAAGCACAAGCAGTCGTCATCATCCCTATCATTCCCAGCATCTTCTCTCTCCTCTTCGCCTCCTCCATACTCTCCACCGCGATTTGGCCATTGCGCTGCTCCATAACGGAGTTTTGGTGGTTCCCTGTGGGTTTCTCCCAAATGCTCGTCACTTAATTCAACTAGCCTGCAGCCCTCCCCGGCCGGTTCTTGTTCCTAGGGCCATCCACAATACATCCATCCTCTAGCACCTAGCATTACCCTACCACTACCAATACCTTGCCTGCTTTCATCGCCGCAACCCTGTCGCCTCGGGCTTTGCGAAAGGGACATTGGCCTGCCGATCACTTTGCACCACACAGCCAGAGTCGTCACACCAGGCCAACCTGGGACCTCCTCTGGCATCCCGCTAAAACTGACGCACGTCAACTCACTGACCCAAGGACACACTTAAGACTTCGCTGATCCCACCTTGGTCCTCCCGACAAATCGCTCCCAACTCCAGACGGGATCTTCTTGACTTTTTGGACTGTGTTACCGACTTGGCAATCTTCTAGTCGGGATCCCGCATTTGATCAACAAACCTTCTTTTGCTCTCCCACGCACCACACACACACACACGCAACGCATATCACATCACTCGAACAACGTCTCCTGCTGTCAAAGAGTTTCTTGTTCATCACTTAGACAAAAAAGGAAGAAGACGAAGAAGAAGAAGAAGAAGAAGAAAAAAGAAAGGATTATCGGGCCTTGCAACACAATTACACTACACTTCAATATTCGATCGCCACTGCACATTACACCATGACCATGACGCTGGATACGCCACAACAGCAGCGATTTGGGCCTGTCATGAACTTTGACTATCCGCCTCACGGCCAGTCGCCGGCCTTTTCAAATCCGTGGTCGTCCTCACCGTCGGCACCTCATACCGCTGCCGTAGCCGGAAGCAACCTCTATGTTGGCCCTCCGCAGCCTTCACTCGCCCACAGTCTCGTTTCCAAGCCTCTGACAGCGCGCGCCCCTACCTCCAGCGCACCTCCTTTACCGTCATATGGTTCAATGCCCGTCACCGCGACCTCAGCTGGTATGTTTTTTTTTCTTTCATCCTGTATCTTCATGATAGTTCACCGTTACTCACCGAAACCTATCTCCAGATCTACTCAACCTGAATCGCCTACAGACTTCTTCTGGTGCGTATGCAGACGCCACCTACGCCACGACAGCCTCTCCCGTCCACGGCCACTTTGCACCTCCTTCAGCTACTCCCTACGATGCCATGGGCTATGCACCAGCTCCTGTGCGGTCATCTGCCTTTAGTGCCATTGGCCACGAATCAGATGCATCGCGAAGATTCTCTCAACAGTGAGTCGGCTCGCCATCTGCACCATGAAACTAAATGACTGACCTTGTGCGTCCCAAACAGCGTCCACCCTGATGACCGCAGAGGGTTTGCCGAAGCTCTTGATGCCAGCCACGGCATGCTCGCCATGAGCCAAGAGACACCAAGAAACATCTATGGCAACCGCAACGACCGATCTTCTGTAGATTCATACGGCTTCCCATCGACCCACTCGACCAGCTCCTCCATATCGTCGTCTGGCAACTTCAGTTCCTACTATGGCGACTCCGTCTCCGACTACTCAACCGCGGGCTCAGACATTGAGTCTGTCGGCTCGAGGACGCTCCCTCGACCTCAGGGAATGTTGTCAACCTCACTCCCTCCTGCGCCTCAGTCCATGATGGGCCAGTTCAGCTCCAAGGTCTCGTCCAGCACCCAGAAGAAGCACAAGTGCAAGGTCTGCGAAAAGCGATTCACACGACCAAGCTCACTGCAGACGCACATGTACAGCCACACAGGCGAAAAGCGTAAGTACTCGGCACCCAATTTGCAGTCAAGGACCTGAAGCTAATCATCATTCTCTTTAGCATTTGCCTGTGAAGTCGAGGGCTGTGGACGCCACTTCTCTGTTGTCTCCAACCTGCGACGTCACCGAAAAGTTCACAGAGGCGATGCTCGATCCGAGGCTGGTTCCGAAGACCACCACTCGGACTAAAGCGCCCCTGTGGATTTCTTTTCGGTTGTATCAATAGACATCGTTACGAACTACGGCCTTGTGGGCCAACCCCTTCAACATTTTTATCTTTCAGCCACCCCATCTCCGCACTTTAATCATCTGTAGCAGCATAGAAGATGCATGAGATGTTTGCAGGATGGCGGCGGCTGAAAGATTGACTATCATTACTAAGATTTAATTGGGACAATAATCAGACGACGACTTCATCTCATGACACTATTTTAGAGGACGTGGGATCACAAGAATCAGGAGGCCAGGATTTCTTGACGAGATGGCGCGGCTATATGCACCCGGATTTCTGCCACTTGTTTGCGGATACCAATGCGACGCATTGGCGAATCAGGCATCACACCGGGAGACCATTAATTGGCGTGTGATGCCTTTGTTTTATTTCTATCTTTTCATTTGTCTCTTTTCCTCTTTTTTTATTTCCTTTGTCCTTGCTGGAATGGAGGCTTTACAGGGCTATGAATCTCGGCTGGAACGACGGGATACACGAGATCTTTCCAGTCTGGCGTTTAGGGAGTGGGATTTCTTCCATTATTCAAAGGGATTTCATCAAGCTTTGCGTTACGTTTAGCCTTCCTTACTTGGCTTTCATTGCCGATTGCGAGGGGAAGCAGCTGGAGCTTGGTCTCATCACGAAAACAGGCACAGGTGGGAGGGAAGGAAAGGATGGCAATCACGCGGCTTCGCGCGGTGGTTTAGTATTGTATAAATAGGCCCTATTTCATGGTGATGATATACCCATTCGATAGCACTGTGGATCTTTGGTTGAATACACGAAATTCATTCTAACAGCTTGTTCGAAAGTGTCTTTGTGTTGTTTCTCATTGTTTATCAGCACAGCTCTGCATGGTCCCTGATGATCCCTCCGCCTACTGCCTTTACACGACTCATTGTGCATTAGCAGTTGGCTCCATGGAGCAGGAGGCACAGGCAAGGACAGCTCAGGAGAGATGGAAACTGAAAGGCCAGCCAGCCGAGTTGTCCAACGGCGACGATCAACGGCGCTGATGTCCCAAAGAGGTGGGTGAAATTGAGCGGAGGCGCCGAATCGGATTCTATCAAAGTTGTTGTCTTGTGATCGACACAAGTTTGCGGGAGAGGCGTGTCTAGGGAATATGGCAAATTGCTTAGACTGCTTAGCTTCCACGCTTACATGTAAGCTCTCTCTTTCTGCACACTGCAGGCTACGGCTGATGTTTTTCTAACTACTGTACGCTACCTAGTATTAAAAAAAAAGGGGGATAATATGCATACGCGAGGTCGAAAAAGATGGAGCAGGGGATTGAATTTGGGATAAAAGGAAATTGATTGATTTTTACTTCCCCTCTTTCTTTTGATTGACCTTTCTGGCTATCTTGGTGTAACGCTGCGGTGAGGATATATGGGAATCAACCACACTCGGTTGAATGCGAGTTATATGAAATATCGAGAAGGGGATTATTTTGATGATTCGGATTGGTATCTGGAAGAAGGACGAAGTGTACGTACGGCTGGGGGGACGATCATTTGCTCGAGTAGGAATGGAGGGCGCGTTTCAGAGTCGACACATCACTGCTTGATGTGGTATAGGAGGACCCGTCGAGAAATGTTGTCAAGACCGGACAAGCTTTTGTGGGGGGTAGTACTCTGTAATGCCAAGTTGCGTACTCTCTTTTCTTAAAAACGAAAGGGTACAGGGAGGCGAGAGGGAATTGTGGGTTTTTGGATTTCTGGATGAAGATTATGGAGGAGTGGGTATTGGTATGTATGGCAAGCATGGGTAGGGGAAAAGTGATGGATGTTTGGAGGGCGAAGCGAGGTGTGGTTTTTTTTGGTTTTGGGGATCGACGAAACAGCTAGTACAGATCTTTATGTTATGATGTAGGAGATGGACATGTTTTTGAATGCTTCAAGAAGGTAGTCATGGCGTGGTTGTTTCTATACTAGTACTACCTACCTGTACCAGACAGGGTTGCTTACATCTCTGGCTGGCGGGCTCCTCTTATTTTTCTTTTTTTATTATACCTAACACAAGACGCGGGTTGGTGGGCACGGCATGAGGAGAGAAGAAGAAGAAGATGAAGGTGTGGTGATATCGCAAGATATGGGGAGGCTGAACGGTGCCACGATGACGGGATTGCCTTGCATTCGAAAAGTTGATGAGGAGAAAAGGGGACCGCATACGTAGGGGGTCGTCCAAGGGGGGGGATCTTTTTGCAGATGGGATGAATCTGGCTACCAGCTACGAATGCTGCATCAACTGGCTTTGCCTAAACTGGGAGGGCCAAGTTGACGCTTTTGGCGGTGATGTGCAGTTGTATCAAAAGCTTGTTTTTTTCAGCCGAGGCAACTTTCCAGAGCTGTTGTTGATGTTTGCTGTGTTGGTCATATTGCTTCGTACCTATGTTTTGTTTTCCTATGTGAGTAAATACACGTGAAGGGTTGTTGGGATGATGTGAGCCATGTGATGCCGTTTACTGTTACTGGTGGGAGACTAAAACCTTCTCGAATCTCGATGGCCGTATCTTGACCAAATTCATTTCAGCCGGCTATGGTAAAAAAAAAAAATAACGTGGACGGTTTCGAAAGGGAGTGTTGCAACGCTATGACAGCATTCTACGTATGTGGTGACGGAGAGCCGTTTGATAGAGGTGGTGGGTGGTGGTGGTGCAAAGCAAGCAAGCATCTACACTATGTATGTGGCTCGCGGCGAATCAGAACCTGCCGTTATCAAACAATGGGAGGCAAGAAACGCCCGTCACCGTTTTCTCACAGGTCCTGCACACACACACAAGACTTAGACACAAGGCAGAAAAAGAAAAGGGGACGGCTTGCAACCTCCGACGAAAGTGGCGTTTTGATATTGGGGTCCGTTTTGTGCAAGCGGCCTTTTTTTTTTGTTTTTTTTTTTGGTAGCCACTGCGTTTTTGGGCGGAAAGATTTGGTGGGAATAATTTCTGGGAACTAGAGATTTGGAGAAGGGGGGGAACTTTTCTAGTGCATGTCAGGCGCCAGAGTTTTTGTGTTTCTTTCTGTGCTTCTTCTTGTTATTTTGGTATTCTACAAATTAAGAGATGAGTAGTACTACACATCTGCATTTTCATTCCGCATTTGGTGTTGTCGTCAAGGTGTGCCAACTGCCGGCTGCATGGGCCGGAAGAATGTTGGTACCGTATGACGAAGGAAACGCACATCGGCCGTCCAATTACATGAGTAGCCCGCCGAAGAATGCCCTTTGCAGTTATTCGCACCATTCCAAAAGAATATGTAAAAGAAGCACAATACAGTACAGTACAAGCACACAACTCGCCAGCCAACGAAAACAACTGGGGGAGCAGCAGCACTTTTTGCCCATACTGTACGGTGTACTTGTGTGGTGCACAGGCCAAGTACACAGTGCCTTTTACTTTTCTTCTTCTCTTTGGTGACGAACGAACAAGACAGGGGNNNTGTATCTAAAACAAGCTCTGCCCGCGCTGGGCTTTTTCCTTCCCGTCGAGTTTGTTCGAAAAGGGGGCTGTTTTGGGGGATGCTCTCCCCCGGCCGCAGTGACGTCGGGGGCTATTTTTTTGTGCCATGTGGGAGGTTGAAGATATGTATCATGGTAAACGAAAAAAAAAGGTTCCTTGCCCCTTGGCTTGCTGGATTCCCTGTTGGCACTGACTGGAGCCCCCTCGCAGGATGCTGCTGGATACTGCTAATAGAACTTACCACTTACACCACAATAATACGGAGTATGCTAGCAGTAGTATCTTTCTGCCTAGCATACATGTACCTATAATATTATATCAGTGGGGTTCTCACCGGGTTACCTCTCCCGGACTGGGCTGGTATCAGCCAAGAACAACCAGCTCGTAAGGACAGACAATCTCATGCTTGAACCATGAATAAAGACCCAGAAAAAAAACAATCAAGCATTAAACGGTACTGTGGGCCGAAAAAGCTTCTTTCTTTCTTATGCCGCTGACAAGGAGACGGGAGGAGAAAAAAAACAGCGGCGGGGAAAAAAAAAAAAAAAAAAAAGCTGTGACCTTCCTGTCCTGGTATTTGACATGCCCGCACGATGTAAGGATCGATGTAGATTAATACCTGTCAAGGGAGGTACTCGCAATAGCACGTATTGATACGAGAATTAAGGGATCAAATTCTTACTCTTCTTTTTTTACGCTTTTCAACTCCTCTTCAGCTTTCTCTGTTTAGGGCAGTTGCGTGTGCTGCTGGCGAAAGGGGGTGAGGAGGAGTGGGCAATCCAAGAAAAGAACCGGGGGGCGCGTATCAGGGGAAAGCGGACTTCAGGGGGAGCGAAAATAAAAAAGCATTGCGTTTTTTTAGCCAAGATGCATCGGATCGTATCGGATCGCCCGCCTTGTCATCTGGGTTTAATGCGGTTCCTTTTTTTGCTGCTTTGTTTGTCGTTGGCGGCCTGTTTGCGGTTAGTATTTGGAGATTGGGAAGACAGCTTGGTTTTTGGCTGATTCATGCCGAACGTAAGGGCTTTTGGTGGGACTTGGTATTTTTTTGATTGATAGGTGGGATTAGTGCCGTGTTAGTTTGGGTATTTGTTTTTGATTGAAGTCGCCTCTGGTGCTGTAATTCTCCGTCCGCTATGGAGTATCAAGTCCATACTAGAGGTACTAATAGCTACAGGTACATTCCCAAGACAGTTTGTATAGACTTTAGCAGTGCCTTATCTTCAACAGTGAAATGTATCTGGGTATAATTTCAAAAGAAGAGCAAAAACCTGATTTCAGCCACTCAATTACATATGCATCCCTCTCCAAAAAAGAAACAAGGACAGCCAATTCCCCAAACGCAGAAGGCGCGCGCCGTGGAGGAGGCTTTCCCTGCCGTCGAAGCGCTAGTCCCCAACTAGAACTAGCGCCTTTTGTCGAATGGACCTGGGTGACGTCAGTGGATGCGGCACAAGGGTCCCCTCGCATGGCGCTAGGGCCCCACATAGTATGGATCTCGAAACGTCATTCTGTAGCGTCGTCATTGGGCAGCGGCTTCATTGCAGGATTGTGCTTGCGTCTGCTTGTGTGCGGGTCTCGGGAATACGACTGTGTACGAGCTACACGCGCGATGTGTGAGTGGTGACTGTACGAGGATGCGAGTGCCGAGGCGAGGGAGAGAAATAGGTGGAGGTTCTTTTGGTAGGCATGTAGAGATTCCTGTAGTGATACAAGCTGAATTGGAAGCTTCTGTTAGCTTTATCTGAGTAATGGTGCTTGTAAATTAACAGCACCTCCTTTTTCGAGGTCCATTGAGATAGTGTCGATCTCCCTCTTCTCCTCCCGTCTCTCCCCTCTCCTGGATATTAAACAAAAAAAAATCCCGTAGCAATTTGATTGATTTTGATATTAAATCACTGATATGTGACAGCCACGCACTGTGACGCAGATTCCCGAGCCACAAGTACCTGCGGAGCTGCACACAGTGCGACCCTGGGCTGCAGTAAAAAAAACACCGTGGACAAGTACCAGATGTGACAGACTGTGATCCACTGAAGCTCCAGGCTGGCATACGCTGTATTTCCCCGGGCCACAACGCTTGTTTTGGGGGCCATGATGCTAATGGAGTGCACTGTATTCCTCCGTCCGTCAACAGCATCTGCGTCTATCTAGTCATACTGGCGTTGGGAACTTTCAAGTCCTCATGCACTTTACTAGACAAGTTCATGTTAGTCCAGCAATTGGCGGAGCCTCCATCTGTCAAACCGTTTCCCCTTGGCTTCATTTAAAGAGTGCCACTGACGTTTCGTATCTAGAAAGAAAAAACGCCGCAAACAAAAAAGAACAATAAAGTGGACGGGAGCCACCCACGCTGTGGCTTTTCCTCTCCCGCGCACTGATGAGTACCTGATGATTGCGTGGCGCCGTTTTCGAAGGCTTCCAAAAGAACCAGTTTTTTCTTCCATGAATTCATTTTAACGATTCAGGTTCTAACTTTTGCTATGTCGACGGAGGGACGTGAGCTTACAAGAAAACGGGCGGAACTTCCTTGATGGGAGATGCCCACCATAGCGCAGCCACCGTCATCATTTTTGCCGTTTCAGAAGAGGAGGGCTTGGAATAGAGTAAGACGGTTGATGCACACTGTATCGGGCCGTGTTTACTTATTCTTACTTACTCTTTCTCTTTGTTGCAAATCTTCGATTGTTTTGGTTGAGACCTTGGGCAACGTGTGCTTTGTGGCAGAAACACAGTCTTTGATGCAGATAGGTCGACAATGACAAGACCCCTGGCTGCTAAAAATAGGGAGTGCAGGGAGCAGATGTCAAATGAATTTCATATCGAGAAACAGGTGATGCCGATATCACTCAATTGTCTCTGCAGATTCATCATATACTTGGTGGTCTACGGAACTGCTATGTGCATCACATACATGATATTCTAGGCTAAGAACATGAGGATGGCAATAGTATCAACCATGTAACATCGAATACCCGACAGACACGCGTGAGCCTCGGCTTGAAACACCAAGAGAAGTTTTATACATGGATTCACAGCACACACACACAAAACACTTGCTCAGTTGGGCTAAGCTACTCTAAAAATAATCTGTAACAAGCCAAGCCAGGGCCGCGTCTTCTCTTTTATTTTCTCACCAGTCTTTCCATAAGCCACATCATCCAGCAACACCAGTGTTTACATATCGCTGTGATTCTTTAGCTCATTCCACATCATGGCTTGCTAGCAGGGTCTTCTCCATCTCAAAATCTCTTTTTCATGATTTTCTTTCTATTTTTGGTAGGTATCTATGCAAGTCGCATGTCTGCATCACAGCTATATTTCAGCGTCTCCATCGCCCACGTATCAGAAAAGTGGACATTGGCTCCCGTCATAAGATACAGGGTAATAATACAACATCCATGGATAATATACACATCCCCATCCACAAACTTATACACATCGACACAGTATCTCTTGTATAAACCCAACTTCCGTCCCTTTTGCCGAGTATCCAAACAGATCCAGCACTCTCCTTGCTGTATTCGACTCGTTGTCCTCCCTGTTGGATATGGATACTGTGTATTAATCAATCTCGGACTGCGCGTCCCCAGTAAATTCCTCCCCTCCAAATCCCTGTTCCGCCTCGAGTTTCCAAAACTGCTTCGCCCCCTCCTCGGTAGGTCCGGGGGAAGGAAAAAAAAAAAAAAAAAGAACAGAGAAGCCTAATGGGATTACACGCCAAGTACAGCTAAGCTGCCGCTGTCTAATTAAAAATTGGCGGAGATATTCGCACAGACGGCCGATATTACGAACCAAACCGCTAGATCTTTACCAGGGGACCCTTTTGTGCTGGCCCTTTTGGACCCCCTGGTGACAAGAAGACCCGCCAGCATAAGCTTTTTGGAATTGGAGTAATATGCCATGGGAGGGACTAATATCATCGAAAAGCACTATAATAGCTTCATCTGGGGTACTAAATTTCCCTTGCTAGCAACTTTTCGATATTATATTACCATGGCCTCTAAAGTAGTCTATTTGGTTTCTATACTTGGGGCTTGCAGATTGGCAGAGTGTGTCTATATTAATTGTTTCAGGTTGAGATTGCCTGATAGAACTACGACTACAGAACCCACATCCACATGTCAAATGACTTGGCGACTGGGCTCGAAATGGTAGGAGTTGCGCATACAGTATGGAGCATACAACTTCTCGTATACCTTGGCGTCACAAAGAGCTTCAAGCAACGTAGCAGCAGCTCTAGCGGAGACCTAACACTTAGGACAAGTCATTCATTTCATCCACTCATCTCGGCTTTTTTTTCCCTCTCAAATCGAGACACGGGATGTGGGATAGCAAACCTGGAACTGGCATTGACGGCTCTTTTGCTCACCTATTGAACACAAACGACTATATTGATGTGGCTTAATGATATGTATACAGACGCCGTTCTGTAGTATAAAATACATAATCTTCGAAATTGTTATAGCAATCGTCTGGTGCGGTGTCAATTAAATCTGTAAACAGAGTAAAAGTCTATACAAGACGAGAGGAGTGTTAGAAACCATTTCGTAATGAAGCTTCTTGAGACAAAGCTATAACTTTACGGCAACCTCCAAACAGACATTTCCAGAGAAGATGACAATGTTGGTAGAACATCTCACCGTCTTCACCAAACAATCAATGAACACACACCCCTCGATAAGCCCAGTGATGTAAATACATTAACGACATTCACATCATCAAGCCCAACACTACTCACAAAATTCAAAACAGTCTTCAAACATTCAAACATTCAAGCATTGATCCTCAACACCTCTCGCGAGACGCATTACTATTTAATAATTCTATCATTGCCAACCAGATTCTCCTTCTCTCAGATTAGGCTGCTCCTATTCTATCCCCATATGCCCAGTCCCGGCGAGAGGGAACACTTCCACTTTTCTGATTCCACGTCAGCTTCCTCTAATCCCCCCAAAACCAAAACCTGCTCCTATCTGCAGCCAATTCCAAAAAGAAACGAGAAAAAAACCACGTTATAGAACCGCAACAGTCTTTGTGCCGGAGACTGTTTGAAATATATAATACATTTTGAACGAGACCGTAAAAAGACGGTCAAAAGAGAGAAAAAGAGCATTGGAACTGGGTATCAAGGTCCAAACCCAGAGGCGTCTATGCGGGAAGAAAAAGAATAAAAGAGATAGGTTAACGTATTAACCAGTAGTCATAACCTCGTAATGGCGGGAAAGAAAGGTCTTTAAAAGAAGAGCAAGATATTAAAAGAGTCCTCGCGCAAGTGAAAGAATGGCCAGATGTCGTGTCGATTGAGAAAAAATTAAGCGTCTGGCACTTCCTTGTATCGACTTGCTTGCCCAAAGTAACGGCATTGTTTCGAGTCACTCTCCTTTGGCTTTTCGACCTTCTTCCCTTCCTTTTGTTTTTATGTTTTTTGCAAATCTTTTGAGAATGTTCCAAACTCCTATCCAAACGCCGGACGCTGAATCGGATATGTATGCTGAAAAATTGTTATCACGCTGTAGAGCTGGAGCCTCATACGTGCGGTGCTTCCCCAGGCCGGGTTCTCTCAAGCTGTTCAAGTAGTTCACGCGGCGGTATCCGTTGAATACCGCTCCCACGATCATACATGGAGGTTGGTGCTGGAGTATATCCTTCGCGCTTCTTGCGTATGCGATCTAGTACGATTCCTGAAACGACGAGGATGACTATGAGTGCCAGCGAGATGGCGAGGCCGATAAGGACAACGAAGACAAGAGGCAGGTGTTTACCTGTTGCAGAGAATGTTAGTAAGAAAAGGGAAACTATAATGGGTAAGAGAGAAAAGTGAAACATACCGCTAGACGTAAAGAAGTTGTCCTTTTGCGAGAATACTCTGGCAATGCTTCCGGCCCCAGTGTCCGTGCTGGTAAGAGCATAGGGCAGGTAGTCAGTGCCGTTGTAAATAACAGCCGAGGCCATTCCGACATTGGGGAAAGGGATGGAGCCCGTGAGCATCAATACCTCCCGGTCATCGAAAAGGTTTGACTTGGCGTGGGCCTGAGTCACTGTAAAAACCTGCAAGCTCTGGACAACGCTGCCCTCGGGCGGTAGCAGCTGAGGGACCTGCCACTGTTTGCCGTCATACTTCATAATGAAGGTAGATCCGTTGGGTGAGTTACCAGAGATCCAGATCTGACTGTTGTCATTCGAGCCGGCAGTGATGGCGTTGACGGGGCCGGGGATCTGACTGGCGCCGGCAAAGTCCGTCCAAACCTGCTTGTTGGCATCGTACATGGCAAGGAATCCTGTGCTGGTGCCGTTGGTACGCAAATCACCACCAGCAATGAGTTGAGATTTGCTGTACCACATGAAGCTGCTGACTCGTCCGGCCAGGGTGCTGCCAGGTCTTGACCATTGGGCAGTATCGGCATCATATGTGCAAACACCGGGGCAGTCCAGAGCACCGGCCTTCTCGAATGAGCCGCCTGCGTAAATCTCTGAAGTGTCGGGCCGAACAGTGACGACGGACAGTGTCTGATTCCCGCCCAGGAGCGACGCGGGTTGCTGGCTGGAGAATGATTTGGAAGCAACATCGTAGGCGATAAGTCCGCTGACGCTGCTACCGTCAACATTGCCGGTGACATTTCCACCTGCGAAGAGGACGCTTCCATGAAAAGCGACGCTGGTGAAGACGGATGATGAGGATATGCCAGACTTGAGTCCGCTGACGGAGTTGTTGTTGGCACCATCGATGAACACCAAGTTATTAATGGTAGAGCCATCGGAAGCCCGAGCGGAGAAGTGACCTGCGAGGACTGTGATGTTGCTATTGCTGCTGTTTCCGGTGTAGAAGGCTCCCGTGAGAACACCGGACGTGGGCTCTTGAGAGAGATCTCGTCGCTGGTTGCCAGTCGATTGACTACCCGGCTGGATATGAACCGGGAATTGACCCAATCCTTGATCACCCAGCATCACGGCACCATTGGCCTCCAATTGTGAAGATTCGATGGAGCCTGCGAAGAGGGAATTGCCAGTGGTGAGGTTCAGTTGAGAGGCTGTGAGCATACCACCAAAGTCAGGAGTCGGGCCATCCAGATTCTGCAGCCAGTTCTCTCTTGACAAGACCCAAACCGCAAAGCCGCTGACCGAAAGTGCTTGAGAGCCGCCAAAGGCCTCACACTCGGTGAAGGAACCTGTCAGGGCAATGGCATCCTCAGTCACGGCGCTAATGTTGACCTGGAATGCCACAACCTGCTCAACCCTGCCATTGACGCCTGCACCCAATGGGCTCCAGGCCTGGCTCTTGGTGTCATACACCGCCACATGATTCAATCCGCTCTTCCCGTTGGATCGCAAGTTTGTAAAGTCTCCGCCTACGAATAGCTTCGTGTCTTGGAGATACATGTCCAGCACTTGGCCGTTGAGACCCCCGTTGAGAGGCATGATCTTACCGCTGGTATCGATAGCGACGAAATTCTGGTGCGCATCCGAGGTGAAGTTGCCGCCGATATAAGTGACATCTCCAGAGGTTGCAAGAGAGTTGACGCCCGTGTTATGATCGAAGCTTGCACCAAGCTGGTTAACTGCCGAATCGTCAAGGCTAGATGTGTCAATCTTTACTTGACTTGGGTCAAAGTCGAAGAGGCCGTTGAGGTTTCCAGTTGAGTTGAGGAGGGTGAAGCCGACTTTTTGAGCAACAAAGGTCATTTCAGTCAAGTCTTGACCATCGAGGGCGGTCATAGTGACTTTCGGCTTGAAGGTGTCTGAGGTTCTTTCGATATAACCAAAATAGATCTGATCATACTTGTCAAAGTTGTTGGTCTGGTAGATGGAAGTCGTAAAGTTTGATTGAATGGTGCCACTCGACATGATGCCAGTGATATTGACGCGACCTCTAGTCTGGCACGAGCCATCGGGAACGCAGCCTGGGGTATACATGTTGATAGAGTAGTTGCCAGATTCGATGATGTTGGGCACGAAAACGACGGATGCTGATTTGGACGAAATGGGGCCGGTAAGCTGTGCTGTCAGATACTTTGAATCGCTTTGCAAAGAAGGCGACTGCTTCCAAGGCCCGGTTGCGGTGGAGCTGGAAGGGAAGGTAATGTTGCACGCTGGCTCGTTGAAAGTGTTGATGGCGTAGGAGAACATGTTGTCTTCAAACAGTTGCACACTATTGAGACCAGCTCCCTTTCCGTACCAATCTGAAATGTCGATTTGGAAAGAATTCATGCCAATTCTATTGACGAAATGAAAGTCTTGGAACTGAACCTTGGGGTCGTGGCTCAAAGGGCACTCGCTTGTGCAGCTCGAGTTCTTTCCAGTAGCAGGGTCGATATAGGTAAAGTTCATGATGCCGTTAAGCGGTAAAGCGACGAAGCGGAAGGTTTTTGTGCCCCGCCCATCTTGATGCGTATTCCACAACCGCAGCTTGGTGGGCTCAAATCCAAAGTCAAAGGTGGCCTGCCAAGAGCCAGGAGCCTCGTCCTGGGCCAACCAAGTCTTGCCTGAGCCCCCAAGACCATCAGAACAGACGACATTCTTGGGGTCGTCGAAGCCCTTGGTCGAAGCGGAGCCATCAGCGGAGATATTTGCGGTAGAAAGATTGATAGCCTGTCCATCCGCCTTGTTTGGCGCAGTGACGTTGCCCAGGCCAGTGAAGCTCCCACCGAAAATGATATGGCCATTGGATGCCTTTGTAATGGAGCTAACCGGGGCATTGAAGCCAGCAAAAGGTAGATTTGTGAAGTTGCCATCAACCTTCCACGCAATAGCATTTGTCGAGTTACCCCCCTTAAGGTTTCCGCCCACGTAGACTATTCCCTTGGCATCGTCGCACAGCAGTGCATTCACCTCGCCCTCGAGTCCCTCAAGCGGCGTAAACGTGGTTGTGTTGGCGTTGTAGAGGGCGAGGGCCGTTGACTTGATACCATCCATACTGGTAAAATTACCACCCAACAAGACGCCCTCGGCACCATCCTTGAGCGTCACTGAGCACATGGCCAAAATCGACGCGTCGGTTGCGGCAATGGGGGCGAGGGCGCCATTTGGCAACTGTGTCAGCAGGTATTCGCTGCCATTTGTGCTCAGGGGCTGTGCGATTTGCTCCTGAAACTGGTAGAGCGAAATTCCATTGAAGTCTCCGGCTATGCCTACGCTCCCCAGCTGGGAAAAATCGAGGTTCGCAGAGGGAGCTGCTGTGATGTTGAAGGCGTGTGAAAGCGAGGGCGCAATAATTGCTAGCGACGCAATGCTCGAGCGCAAGGGATGGGGGCGTCGCGCCGCCCGGCGTCGTTGTGAGGATAATCGCATGTTGTTTTGGGCGCGCGCTAAGGAGAGATGATAATTCGAAATGATGACGAAGTTCTAGAAGGCGGAGCGGCGCAGATTCGGAGCGACAGACGACGCGAAGGATGATGGAAACGTCGGAATCGATGATGTTCTAATGGTCATTTCAGGTGTAGACAGAACTGAGGGCGCGGGTTGAGGCTATCGCATCACGGCGTCTAGGTTTGCGTGCGTGGTGAATTACGAGTAATGTAATCAATTCGATGGCTGGCTGGGCGGCAAAGTCGACTCGACAGGGAGGCAGAATTAAAAATAAAATGGATAAATAACGGCTGGACTGGGTATCGATCGAGAGGGAAACGAGCGTAACAATGAATCTTGAAGCCGAAGCAGCGCGCGAATTAGGAAATGCTCGGGCAGTGTCTCGTCGCCTGCGATGAGTTTGGTGATGGGGGCAATTGGACTGGATTTTTGATGGAGCAGGACGAAAGTGGCTGCTGGTTGGGCTCGAGAAGGAAAAGCAAGGAATGCGCGAAATTGCTCTTGTTGCTCTTCACTCTGACTTGGCCAGGGCGGCTAAGCCTTATAAGGTTAGTGGCTCTAGGCGGGAGAGGCGCTGAAATCAGGAACGCTCCAGTGCAGTGCGAATGGCTTCCAGTGGTTAGACTTGCCTGAGGTTACACTGCTTGGGCAGAGAAGCAGCCCAAAGTTGATGCTGTCGAGCGGTGTGGTTGCTGGTCGGGAGCGAAGCGAGATTTGTGCGCGACGAGATCGATTCGGCCTGAGAGACTCTCACCAGCACACGTACTTTGTGCTCAGCCTCACTAAAATATCACACTGCTGTACAAGGTCCCGTGCTGTAATACGACCTGGACCGTTGGTGCGATAGAGCTTCGTGCGACAGTCTGATGATTTAGCGGCAACTAGCAAGGAGTCGAGAGAGTACAATGCAATATGTATGACTAAACTCGGCCGGATCAAGTGAATGGATCGTGAGCTGTTGTCAGTCTTGAAACGAGGGCACAAAGAAAGACAACACGGGGTGAAGAAAAGAGTGACAGAGGCTTTGTTAGTGAGCCTCGAAACAAAATGAACAGGGCTAATGATGCCTCTCCACCGACGGCATGAGACGCTACAAGTAAGGCTCTTCTATTATTATTTTTCAAGAGAGAAAAAATGGGCAGATGGCAAGCCTTTTACCGGAACACCCCTGGCAGCGTTTGCGACTGTGAGATGCATCGGAGCACGGCTCTTGTCCACGCGGGATTCCTATTCGCGGAATGCGTCGTTGCATCATGTCAGGGGCACAGCACAGAGCGTCGGTCCACTCTTGCTTGGCCACCAAACGATGCGAAACGCTGCTACTGTATAATACGACCTGCATGGAAACAGAAACAAAGTCTCCGCCGATCCAGTTATAAAGGTTCTACGGAGTCTTGGGAGACGGGCCCGGAAGAGATCCGAAAGACGCACAATCCACGGATCACTCATGGCTGGACTTTGAAATCATCGCTTCGACATGCCTATTGCTCATCACGCTCAGAAGCCGTAGCTCTTGGGTCCCGCAGCCCATGTCACCATTGTTTGTTTGCTGTTGCAAACCCAGGCCGTGCATGCCATTGATACAACACACAAGATCCAGTTGCTGATCATGCCATGAAAACAATGGTCCAGGCCCGTTTATGCGAATGCCCAACGTCCCTCCCCCGATGACATTGAGTAAAAACAAGCTGCCATTGGTGAACGCCGTTCCGTTTCACACAGTATCTCGCTGCAAAGCACGGGAGCGTCGGGGCGAGTACCTGCGGAGGGGGGGAAAATTGGGTTGAAATGCCCTTTGAGATCCATGGGCTAACCACGAAACACCTACTGCCGCAGATGTTTCCCATCTGCGTAGCCACATCTCATTCTATAGACAGCCCCAGACAAATTGTGCCATGCCAATGAAATAAGAGAACATCAGAACTGAGAAATCATTCATTCGTACCTGTATTCTCTCAAAACAAACAACAACTGCTCAACTCTTCATTGGGCCTTGTCTTGCTGCGACGCCCACTTTGTCTTATACTCCCTTGGACTCTCAAAGGTCTTGGGATCTCCAGCCCACATTCCCTTGCGCTTCCTCTTCGCCTTGGCCTCGGCCCTCTCATATCGCTCCTTCAGTCCCCCAAATTCGCTGCCAGTCTTTGCCTCGTAGACGGTGGCCAGCCCGCTCTTGATCATCTCCAGGCCGACATTCTTGCGCAGCAGAAACCGGCGCACGTAGACGGTCGCCACGATCCGCTGGTACTGGTCCGTCTTGTAAATGTACGCACGCACGTTTCGGTTCAAGATGTAGTTGCGAAGCCACTGCAGGGCCTCGTCTGAGTAGGGCTGAGCTGGGTTTCCAAAGTGCGCTCCCTCTGGCGCATCAATCGCAGCAATGCGAATGGGTATCTATGATCACGCTCTAGGTTAGCAATCACATCTTCTTGATAGAAGCAAGGGAGAAAGAAAAAGAGATGGTCCTCACAGTTCGTCCCTTGAGCTCTTTTCTCGTCTCAGGGACCTTTCTCAGCCATCCCCAGCCCACGGCCCTCCCCCCCGGCGTGTGGAACAGGTGAAAGTTATCGCCGTCGCCAACGCTCGTCACCCTGCCAAACAAGCTCCTATTGCGAAAGAAATTGGGCCGCACGTAGGCAGCGCCTGGGATCCGGCGCAGGTAATTCGCATAGAGCTGCAGCGCCGCGAGGCCTACCAGGGAGAACCCAACCACGGGTGCCCATTCTTTGGCGGCTGCTAGCGGACTCGAATCTCCTGTGCCCAGGGAATCCGGCCATGAGACGGGCCGCTTCTTGGGCTGATCGTCATCGCCTGCGCGCTTGTCGGGTGCTGAGGCTCGAAATGGCCATACCATCGTATTTGCGACCAGTAGGTCGACTGTGCTGAGTTTTGAACGGCAGGCCGAGATATGAGGCTGGCCGCTAGTCTAATGTATGTTCCACAGTACGCAAAATCATGGACTGGTTTTATAGTGGCGTGTTCGCTGTAACTGTGCCGCGCAGCGAGTTCTCCGCAGTGACATCGAACGAGTATCAGCAAGACTGTAAAGACGTCTGCTGCGGAGAACAAAGAACAGAGCTGGCAAATGATATCTAACGGCATATCATTTATTGCAGTCTGCCTTGGAAAATAAGACTGAGAATTTTGCGTAAAGCAAATTGCAAGAATATTGCCGGATTTTAGGAAAAAGGAGTCATGGCTATATGTTTCCCATCATAAAATTCATCTACACCTGCCAATAAGTCACAAACCTCAAAACTAACCCCCTGCTCTAACGAGAGGCTACATCTACTCAACATGCCATACCTAAATCTACAATTGGCCGGAGAGGGAAAAGAGGTATGAAGCTCTACTCTTCTCTTTAGCTGCCCTGCACCTTGAATGTCCTGCCACTGGCCGTCTTCCGTTCCTTTTCCTCGTTCTCTGGGCGTGCGCGTCGCAACACTTTGCAGTTGTCAGTACACTAATCACATAGACGCATGCCGTATTGGACTCACCTTGCAGGAAGTCTGCGGTTCGCTTCCTCATTCGGGAGTGGATGTATGCCTTTGAAGCCTTGATGTGGTAGTGGAAGTTGTCTCGGAAAGTCTGAATGTGGGAGATGACAGACGCCATCTTCTGGGGGGTGAGGTGCCTTGGGAAGAGGACTTGGACGAGTTAGCACAACCAAGTCTATAGTAGTTTGATGGCCCATCCTGCACTTACCGAATGTGACGTATCCAATTTCTCCAGATCCAGTATCTCGCACGCCGGGGACGCCCTGCAGCTCAAGCGGGGGGTCGTTTCTGAACAGCACCTGGGGTGCATTCTGAATGGCTCGTCTTCGTGCATCGACAAACTCCTGGATAAAGACCTTTCCGTACACCCTGTCGGTTTCCTCACGGAAGATTGTGCTGAAGATGACTGTGACACGGTCGTGACTAGCCTTGATGTAAATGGCCTCCTCCTCTCGGTAGTGGATAGCCTTGACCTCGCCGCCTTCCATCACGCCCTTGGGGGCATCTTCCGAGCTAAATTTGGATGCCTCCTCTTTCAGCGTATAGTGCTCCTGGTATGCTTCCTCGAACGGCGCAGCCATTGCGTGGCGCTTCAACAGGGCGAACTGCATCGCCAACGCGTCGCGTTCCTCTATGTTCCCGAGTAAGCTTGATGACCGAGACGAAAGAATGTTTCTGTGATTCGCAATGGCCTACCCTTGGACTCGGGCAGGTTCTCTAGATCAACCAGCACCGAGAAGTCGTAGCCGGGCTCAACCGGAACAACATACTGGCCGTATTCGCGCTGGAGAACCTGCTCCGCACCGTATTTGGCCAAGTCCTTGAAGCAGCGGATCTGGATGGAGAGTAGAATCTTTGTCTTGACCTCAGGAGTCGAGATGTGGAATGTCACGCCGTCGAAGTCGGATACGGTCTGGTCGATGTGTACGGGCGGGGCACTATGCCGCAGTCAGCTGGGCTCATCCTCAGGGCAATGGGCCATTTCGTACCCGGAGAATCGTTCGGTAAGCACCGACTGAATGAGGGCGTTCTGGTAGTCGAGAAGAAGCATCGTGGCGGCTCTGTCGTGGCAACTGCTGGTGTGTCTCTCCGGATCGTCTTGGAGCTGGTTGACGACTCCGACCCCCGTGGTGGGGCTGAGCTACGTTGCTGAAGACGTCAAGCTTGGGGGGCAGCTCGCCACGTGACAGCACTAAGCTTTAGCGCTATCGTAGGTAAGCAGGCCACTGTAACACAGCGGAGCACTACCTAGCCGAATCCCTGTTATCGATAAGCGCTTCGAAAAAAAATATCCATACCCGCGCAATTGGCTAGCAGCGGGCGTGTAAATGCAAGTTCCTTTGGCAAGAACAACAGCCAGTATTCGAGGTTGACATCGACAATCATGGTCAAATCATACCTGTGAGTGACTTGAGGACTATTTATAACTAAGACCGAGACAACATACTGATAATTGGTGCAGCAAGTACGAGCACGCCAAATCATTTGGCACAATCCTGTCCGGCTCCTCGAACCTCGTCTGGACATCCAAAGACCGAACGGGCACTGGCGCAGGCCAGGCCATCACGGCCGCAAACGAAGAAGTCTTGTGTTGGGACATCAAAAAGGGTGAATTGACAGGCCGATGGAGAGATGAAAGATGTTCGTACCCCGTCACTGCCATTGCGCAGAGCGGCGTGGACAAAGACATGTTTGCTGTGGGATACGAAGACGGAAGCATTCGTATCTGGGACAGCAAAATCGCCACTGTTCTAGTCAACTTCAATGGGCATAAATCCGCCATTACGCATCTCGTCTTTGACAAATCTGGAGTGCGACTTGCCAGCGGCTCCAAAGACACCGACATCATTGTCTGGGACCTTGTCGCTGAAGTGGGACAGTTCAAACTGCGCGGACACAAAGACCAGATCACAGGACTCCGATTCTTGGAACCCGAATCCCAAGTGAGCGACGAAGATGGCAACAAAGCCATGATACTCAACGGCGAAGATGCGCCTGACGGGTTTCTTTTGTCGACTGGCAAAGACTCTCTTCTCAAGCTCTGGGATCTGTCGTCAAGGCACTGCATCGAAACACACATCTCGCAAACGAATGGCGAGTGCTGGGCCCTCGGCGTGTCTCCAGACCTGAGCGGTTGCATCACGGCAGGCAACGATGGAGAGATGAAAGTGTGGTCATTGGATTCTGAGGGACTGGCCTCGACTGCCCAGCGGGTAGAGGTGAACGCCTCTGCGCAGTTTCTGCAAGACCGGGGAACTCTGTTTCGACAAAACAAAGACCGAGCAACTGAAGTTATTTTCCACCCTCAGCGTGACTATTTCGCCGTCCATGGTTCAGACAAGAGCGTCGACATATGGCGCATTAGATCAGAATCTGAAGTCAAAAAGGGTCTTGCCCGAAAGAGACGGCGAAGACGAGAAAAGCAAAAGGATGCCAAAAACGACGACGCCGACATGGAGAATGGGGATGATGCACAGGAAGACGTGTCAAAAGCAGACATTAGCGATGTATTTGTTCAATTCGTCATCTTAAGAACAGGCGGCAAGGTCCGTTCGATGGATTGGGCTGTGCCAGCTGGCCAAAAGCAAATCCATCTAGTGGTGGGAACTACTAACAATCAGCTGGAGTACTACAATGTTCAGCCCAAAGAGAAGAGCGAAAAGAAGTCAAAGGACGATATCCCAGACTACACCAAAGCATTTTCAGTCGAGATTCCTGGACACAGAGCTGATATACGAGCCCTGTCACTAAGCTCAGATGACAAGATGCTGGCATCAGCATCCAACGGTTTGTTGAAGATTTGGAACATCAAGACCCAGACGTGTATCCGAACTTTTGAGTGTGGGTATGCTCTTTGCTGTGCATTCCTTCCTGGAGACAAGGTCGTCGTCGTGGGTACAAAGAACGGCGAACTGCAGCTATTTGATGTTGCCTCGGCCTCTCTCCTGGACAGCGTCGAGGCTCATGAGGGAGCCATCTGGGCGTTGCAAGTTCACCCCGATGGCCGATCCGTCGTGTCTGGAAGCGCCGACAAGAGTGCCAAATTCTGGGACTTTAAGATTGTGCAGGAACAGGTTTTGGGAACAAAAAGAACGACTCCCAAGCTCAAGCTGGTGCAGTCTAGGACACTCAAGGTTTCCGATGATATTCTCAGCCTTCGGTTTTCACCCGATGCCAGATTACTGGCAGTATCACTTCTCGACAGCACGGTCAAGGTTTTCTTTGTGGACTCACTCAAACTATACCTCAACCTTTACGGACACAAATTACCTGTGCTGAGCATGGATATCTCGTACGATAGCAAGCTCATTGTTACCAGTTCAGCAGACAAAAACATTAGAATCTGGGGTCTCGACTTTGGTGACTGCCACAAAGCCTTGTTTGGGCACCAAGACAGTATCCTGCAAGTGGCCTTTGTTCCCCACAACTCCGATGGCAACGGGCATCACTTCTTCAGCAGTGGCAAAGATCGAACCATTCGATACTGGGATGGAGACAAGTTTGAGCAAATTCAGAGGCTAGATGGTCACCACGGTGAGATTTGGTCCATAGCCATGAGCCACAGCGGAAACTTCCTCGTCACCGCCAGTCACGACAAGAGCATTCGCGTATGGGACGAGACGGACGAGCAGATTTTCCTGGAAGAAGAACGGGAAAAGGAAATGGAAGAGTTGTACGAGAGTACTTTGACGGCTTCTCTGGAGAAGGACCCTGAAGGGGGCGACGAGAATGGCGAGGTTGCCGCCGCGGGAAAGCAGACCACGGAGACGTTGATGGCTGGTGAGAGAATAGCAGAGGCCCTGGAGATGGGCATGGCGGACTTGAACCTGCTAAAGGAATACGAGGAGGCAAAGCTCACGAATCCTCACGCCATGCCTCCGCAGCGCAACCCGGTTTTCCTTGCCCTGGGTAACATCACCGCCGAGGCCTACGTCATGTCTGTGCTCCAGCGCATCAAGGCTTCCGCTCTACACGACGCTCTGCTGGTGCTTCCGTTTGCATCGGTTCCCATCCTGTTTACGTTCATCAACATCTTCGCCATGCGGTCGATGAACATTCCTCTTACATGCCGAATTCTGTTCTTCATGCTGAAGACGCACCACAAGCAGATTGTGGCCAGCCGGACGATGAAGGTCATGATGGATGGAATCCGGACCAACCTGAGAGCAGCCCTGAAGAAGCAGAAGGATGAGATGGGAGTCAACATTGCTGCGCTCAAGGTGGTGGGCATGCAGATTCGGGACAAGAGCGTCAAGGAGTACGTTGATGAGACGTGGGAGGAGGAGAACAAAGAGCGCAGCGCCAAGAAGCGAGCGTTTGTACATGTTGCTTAAAGGAAAACGGATGTTGGTGGTGTGAAAGGAGTAGCATTGCATATATAGATTCACTGGTGATGTCCTGCCATGGTGCGGGTTTAGGAGTCATTCTGGATTAGGATTCGAATAATTAAAGAAGTCATTTTGCAATTTAAGTGTATGTATGTACATTGACCGATGAATTGATTGTGTATTTTCTCTTCTGTAGCCTTCCTTTCCAATATTGTCATGATACCTGATCATTATAGCTCTCGCACTCACAAGTTTCTCTTCATTTGCACACACCCCGTGGCTCCAGCTTCAATGATAACAATAAATTAAATGTTGGAGTAACTCTCTTAAATGACTTAATAAATTCACTTCTCGTCTTTTAAAGTAGCCAGCAGAATTGTCTCTTGTCAGTCTCCATGCATTGAAGCTCCATCTTGTCTCGCCCAAAAAGCAGCCAAATCCAGCATCACGTGACCCCAATCGCTCAACACCTCATTCAGTGCCAACTTGGCGTGGGGACAATCGCTCATCATGAGTCGTGACAATTTCACCCATGAAAAGCGACCTCAAAAGATATCCAACGCCCTCCCGAAAATCCTCATTAAAATCCACAACAATTCGAACCTCTGTCATAACCTTTAACGCTGCACATCGTCGTTCTGAGCACCGCATTTGAGCTGAAACGTCTTTTTCTGGACCTCGAAAATTCACCCCGCTGCCTGGGACATAGCTTGAGAAGGGTAGCTGAAATCCGAATTCTGTTATCATGCTCTTCTTTAGGTACGTCTTCCCCCCCCCGCAATGCTATATTGATATATGATCTAGTATCAGTAGCAAGTGGTAGAGAGAATGGACGCTGATTCATTGGGATAGTTTCTTCAAGACGCTCATCGACCATGAGGTCACCGTGGAGCTCAAAAACGACATCCAGCTCAAGGGCATTCTGAAAAGCGTGGACCAGTACCTCAACATCAAGCTCGATGACATCCAAGTAGTAGAGGAGCTCAAGTACCCTCACTTGGTATGAAGCTTACTTAGGGTTCTTCTCTGTTGGAGTAGTATGACCGACTGACGAATCTTTGTAGAGCTCCGTCAAGAACGTCTTCATTCGTGGTTCCGTTGTGCGATATGTTCACCTTCCTGCGGCGTCGGTTGATACTCAACTATTGGAGGATGCTACTCGAAGAGGTAAGATCTAGGTGTTGGGGGGAATATCACGTAGCAAAGACTAACTGTGTCCTATAGAAGCTGCTGCACAGCAGGCGAAAGCGAAATAACGGATGACATGTGGTTACTAGCCAAGGAAGAGGTATTTTACTATTGCTTGAGATAGAAGGGAAAGAAGAACAAAAAAATTAAACACCTGTATTCCTGGATCGGAGCATCGGAGTGTGATGGAATTTACATATGATGGATGGTCACTGGGGCTTGTTGCAGATATAAAGCAGTCATTTGGCGTTTCTCATGGCATGGGCAACGGACCGCCGGTTTTCTCACCAGCATCACTTTGGACGTTTTAATAAAAGCTTTATAATATCCAACTGCTTTATTTTGGATCAAGATCTACCACCAGGCTCCACCTCCTTCGCCAGCTTTGCCTTGCCACAGCTGGGAGACGTTTTTATGCTCGTCATCTTCTCCCTCAATCAACGGTCTCACCAACCCTCCCTTTCTCCTCTCAGTCATCCATCTATCTATCCAACCCTTCATCCTCTTTCTCGACTGATCGCTGCCAACGTTGACAGTAGGTATAACTTTATCGATGCGTAAACTCATGACAAACATGGCCAGCTCCCGAAAACTGCTATGCTCGGAATAAGGAACGCCAAAACACATGGCCTCCTTCGTGCTACCCCTCTGAGCCACAAGGTCCTTCACTCCGAATCTTGTCCTCCACCCTTTCCCATGAAGAAGCTGCTGGGTCGATATGCTACTTGGCGGTGTATTGGCCCCGATAGCCTTGCCGTTTCCAGGCCGAAAGTTCCAGCCGCTGGGACGGAAGCCAACAATGCGGCTGAAATGCGGCCTGTAGCTGTCCAGATACTCTTGCAGCGTTTCTGCGCGAATCTCCATGAGCATTTGCATATGGACTTGGGCTTCGACGGGATCAGACGTCAGCAGCGAGGTCAATTCTGGATCGTCGAGCTGCTTGCATATCTTTATTTTCCCCGGGGATGCAAAAATCTTGGAGCCAAGGGCTTTGGCTATGGCTACGCAAATTCTCTCCTTGCCGATGGAATAAGTACCGCATATGACCAGAAGGCGCTGTTTAGGCCTGGACTTTGCCTTTGATTTGGCACCATCTTCCGAATGTTTGTCGCTTTGAAAGTATTTGCTCATGGTCCCTGTCTCGGCAGACTTCTCAGACCTCTGCCAGACATCATCAGCGCAGTTGGGATCAGCCGACATGGATCCGCACAGGTCTGCACAGGCTTGGATGACATCCCCCTGAGGAGGGAAAGAGTATCGTGGATTTAAATACGTCGTGTCAAGATAGCAAATGTCAATCCGCTGCTGTCTTGATTTACCCGATATTGAATCTATTACATCGGGTCTGAGTAAGGGATGCTGTACGTGCTCTGGGCAAGCCCGAAAATCGCCGCAATGCAATATTCTCTTTGCTCGCTTGTTTGGCCCATTGCCAAACGATTTTTGGAAGAGAAATAGAGAGCTCCCAGGACAATGATTGGCAGGCATCATGGTAACGGTTGCGCCCTCAGTCCCGGGAACGTCGTAGGGTTTCTCAAATTCCAGTTCAACAACCCATTTGGCCGCAGTTCGGAGCTGTTGTTTGACCAAGCTGCCGGTTACCTTGCTGCAATAGATTGGGCCGTGTCGCCAGTTTGCGGTAAGGCCGATGTAATGGTCGCTGTGAAAGTGGCTCAAGAAGTAGGCCTGACATCCTTCAACAGCGCCATAGCGGAATGCGTCGACGCATATTGAGAATCCCGGCATGATTTTATAAAATGGACATGTCCGTTCGTATGCAGGCCGGCCCCGAGACGCAGTTTCTGCCGCCGCCGCCGTAGCCCAAGCTGAATCTTCCGCATTTCCAGACATAAGCTTAGAAAAAGCACTCTTGGTCGTTTTCTCAGTATTGATCTCAAAAGGATTTGCCTGGCCAGGTCTGGGGACGGCAGCTCGAGCAAATCTTTTGCTAATTTCCATGGCCTCTACCCGAGCAACATCCTTTGGCGCGGCGTCTTCTTTCGTAGGCAGCGGAATGGGATTGCCATCGAGGCATGAATTGACATGTCGTGTAGCTTCGTCTGGAGATATGCCGAGCAAGCTGCCTCCACAAAGTGGGCAGTTTCCTACCATGGCATGGTTATCCAAAAGATCGTCGAGGTCGTCGCCAGGAACCCCGGCCTCTTGGGCTTCAAGCCGGGCCTGCTCTCGCATGAAGCGCATTTCCCGCATCTCTTCCCCTTCAAACTCGTCTATTTCGAAATCGTCCAAGTCAGCGAAGTCCCCCAGTTGGTTAAATTGAATATCGGTCGAGGTTTCTTGCTCGAGCAGCGGCGGCGGTTCATACTTGACATTGGCATCCTGGACTTCCGCGGCCTCGCTGGATGGTTCCGGCTGAGCGGATGGAGGTGACGGAGCAGCAGTGTTGGCATCCTTAGCTTGCGGCGGTGTGACAGGCTTGGAATTGTTGTTGTCGTTGTGGTCGTTGTCATCAACATCGTCATCTTCACTGTCAGAATCCATGACAAAGGGCGTCTTGATCCGAGGTCTAGGTTTCTTTGGCTCGTCTCCGTTTTCAGGGTTTATCGGCTTTATTGTGCTATCATGAGAAGACGCTTCTAATGCGTCCGCCGCTTTCTTCTCCGCCATTGGTTGGACAGAATCTTTGCCGACCCTTCTCTTCTTATTCGGAGCTTCAACCTCATTGAATCGATTTCCATCGTCACGACCATATAAGTCATCCTTGTCGGCCGATTCCGCAGGTACCGCGCCAACAAAAAGCGAATCTTCTGTTTTCGCCGTCTTCTGGAAGAAGCTTAGGATGCTGGCGTTGGGCTTGGCAGGTTTCTTATTGAAGCTTGAAACCGCGGCTGCCTTTTTCGGCGTATTCATCCGATTGGTTTTTGTAGAGGTGACCATGATGGCGGATGCTGAAGCTTCGACACAACAGCACCGGATTCTGCTTGCTTGCACGGGTTCTCCGTTAACGTTCTATTACACGTCTGCACACGAACTCGCGTAATGGCTTGAGTAATGACTTCACGTAGTCACGTGGATGCTTAATGGCGGGGTGCGAAGATTACATAACGCCGGATTATTCTATTTTTGGACTTGGAATATTGATTCAAACAGAATTTGGAGATGGAGTAGATCAAGTCAATTGGATTGGGTCTTTGAACAGAAAAATACTGCTGTAAATGCAGATAAAGTAAGCTGAAATAATATTCGGCTAGTAAAAACACTCAAAATATTTAGAATATCAATTTGCAGCTATCAAGGCCTTCCTTTGTTGGAGCGTCGCCTGAGAATGCCCGCGGTGTAAAAGATGTCCCGTGTTGGGGTTGCTGATAACCCGAATCCCCAAGAGATAGTTGATGACGCTGCTTGTTAGTTAAGACTTTTCAAGTGCACTCCTTATTCAGCGCTATGATATGATGCCCGAGAGCTTATTTCGAGATACGCCCTCGTGTTCCTTGTTTCAGCTGACTAGCGTATCTGGAACATATCTGGGCTTCGTCACCGTCACCCTTATATAACGGTCGGTACTTTGTGAGACGTCGCAGCTCTCGGGTTTCTACAAGTACCCGCCGCGCCTCGCCGTCTCATCTTCCTCGCCATATACTTTACATCTCCTGAGAGGCGTCAACACCATTAGCATACCTAAGTATTTATTTCTTTGTCTTGAGCAGTGCCCTTGAACCTTACAAACCCGATTTCAATTATCATTATTTAGTTATATCCAGCAATCATGAGCTGTGAGTCCTCAACTGCCATCGAATGGGTGCGGAATGCACTGACACTCTTGTAGCGTGGCTCAACACAACTGCGACGCTGCAGAATGTAACAACTCTGCCCGCGGGAATCACAAGTGCCAGAGCCCTAGAAATCATACAAAATCACAATCTTCACATGCAGTGTGATCCTCACATGGTCAAGTTCGAGCCCATTCCTAAGCCATCAAAGGTTGAGTCGCCAACTATCCCAGCCAACAGAGGGCTTGTCGCAATAGGGGAGCCTGAGTACTACTCTGTGACGGATAAGGTGCACACGCTCCCTGCTGGGCTGTGGGACTCTAATGTTGAGAGCACAAATGAGTTTGTGAACTTGGAAAAGGGCGTTTTCGTAAGGCTGTACAGCCCGCTCAATGTGGTGATGGAGACAGTCTGGACGGTGAGAGAGAATGAGAGCGGCGGGATAGAGCTCGTCGAGGATGTTCTGATCAAGGCATCTAGACTGCTGGTTGGCACGGTGAAGAATATGTGCAGCCAAAACTGGACAACGTTTCACGGCAAGATTGTGAATCTGATGAAGGAGAGTCCGGCGTCATCATAGAAGTAGGTGGGCAAATGCAATGCATGTCATCTTGTCAGCGTCTCAGCAAGGCGGGGGAAAGAAATTACATGTATGCTTGCTCCTCGTTGCAAGGCAAAGCGCTGTATTAATGGGATTCCCTTTTCTTCTCTTCTCTTTTCATTTGATGGCTCAATCCTGCTTCGAATATTGGCAATAGAAATATCCGATAGACTTCTTTCTCTCTCGCGTGTCTTGTGCTTATTCTTATTTGTTACAGATAACGATGACATTCCGAGGAGGCTAAAATTGGCACCGCGTTGCGCCAGCCAAACAAACGAATGGCTGAGGCTTCACGCGGCTAAACCCCGCCTAAGCGCTGCGCCTCTCCCTTGGACTTCAATGTCAGGCATCTCATTTGATCTTTACATCTTCTCTCGAGACGAATCATTTTCATCCACGACATTCATTTCATCTGGGGCTGGTGAAGCTGCATGAAGAGATGGCTCTGAAGAACCTAAACCATTCTCTTCACGAGTGAGCTGAGCAGAGCAGAGCGTTTGTATTCTCTTCATACGAGATCATACAAACCACGAAAACATCCAGTCCAGTCCATGACAACAACGCCATATCCAGCCATTAGAGGCCCGACGCAAAAATGTCCCTCCAGGTGAGATGGCCCGACGTGTCCGTCACAAAGCAAAAGGCTCTCGAAGATGCAAAAAAGATGCAAAATGCCGTCTTTGAGAGCTGCACAAAGGCCGGCAAGCAAGCCCCGCAGTATGAGCTTCAAGAGCTCGTCGGCAAGGGAAGTTTTGGTCGGGTTTACAAAGCGACCGCCATGAAGACCGGCCAGTTGGTTGCCGTCAAGATCATCGACATTGAGGAGAGCGACACGCTGAATCCCAAGCTGGCCGACACTTACAGCGACCTGCTCAAGGAGATCAATGCCCTGCAGTTGCTGAGCGACAGCGGGGCCAAGAACATCAACCATGTTATCGAGGCGCTGCCAGTTGGCCAGTCCATGTGGATGGTGACCGAGTATTGCGCCGGAGGGAGCGTTGCTACGCTCATGAGGCCAACAGCCCCCGGCGGATTGTTGGAGAAATGGATCATTCCCATTGTACGTGAAGTTGCCGAGGCCATTCATTGGGTCCACGGTCAAGGCATCATCCATCGCGATCTCAAGTGTGCCAATGTCCTGGTCACCGAGACTGGTGATGTACAGCTGTGTGACTTTGGCGTTGCCGGTGTGATCGAAACAAAGGTTGACAAGCGGACAACCTTTATTGGAACTCCTCACTGGATGGCGCCTGAGCTTTTCGACAAGGATGCATCATATGGAACAGAGGTCGACATTTGGGCTTTTGGTGCCATGGTGTATGAAATTGCATCTGGTTTGCCACCAAATGTCACTGCTGGAATTGACTTCTCGAGGCTGGGGTCGCATCTGAAGCATCATACGCCTCGGCTCGAGGGTGATCAATATTCAGCCGGCCTGAGAGATTTGGTGTCCTACTGCCTTCAGCACGACGCCGCAAAGCGACCAACGATTGAGCAAGTACAGCTCCACAGATATGTCCGCAATACGGAAGAGTCGCATCCGACCTCTTCTCTCGTTCATCTGGTTCGAGCCTTCAAATTGTGGGAGGCTCAGGGAGGAGATCGGAGGTCGCTCTTCTCTGCCGGTGGCGCCCAGGGCTTGGCTGATCTCTCAGCCGCAATCTCCAACGACGAGTGGAATTTCAGTACGACTGCGGCCTTTGACCAACAAGTCCTCGACCAAGGCGATGCCCAAGATGTCTACGATGTGTATGGGTCAAAGGTGGAATTCAATCCAGAAGGCTATGATGAAACGTCTCGTCCACAAAAGCCCAAGTCGCGAAGGAGGCCTCCACCCCATCTTCCTTCGGTGAAAGCACCGTTGGAGAAAATTTTTGATCCGAATACCATATCTACCTATGAAGAAAACTCGAGGGCATATTATAGCCAACCGTTCCAGGCCCCTATATCGGATCTACCTCTCCGAGACGAGACCGCACCTACGCCAGATGTCAGAGAATCCCTGATTGATCTGGACGTATCGCTTCACGGTGGAGAGCTGTCGCAGTTTGTCGACCTGGACACTATCAAGCCCAGCAATATCGATTCGCATGCATCTTTGGATTATGATTTTGATGATGCAAGCTTCGTCAGGGGACCGATGAGCGACCCAATTGATCTCAAAGACAACAGGCGTACTCAGGATTGGAAATTTCCCTCAATGGCGGCGCCTGTGTCTGCCGATCCGCAGGAATTCAAATTCCCCTTCACCAACAATCTTCCCCCGCCAGATGACGGCCGACCTGCACTTGTTCACCACGCCGCCACCGAACCGCCTTATCAACATACTGCTAGTCTCAGCGAACTTTCGCAGACTGCCTCGGCCGACCATCGTGCGTCTGTGGGGAGTTTGATAGATCTCGACATGAGTTTCGCCGACTCATCGACGGACTTTACACGCCCTTCGACATCTCATTCTGATGTCGGCTCTATTAGCGGCTCGGAGATTGGGGGCGGGAACCCGTTTGAACTGGAGAAGCACGCTTCGCTCTACGTCATGAATGCTACGAACCGAGAGCCCTCGATTTACATCTCAGATGACTCTGAGTATGCACACGTGCTCACAAGTATCCCCGACCTCTCGTTGGATGAAGAGTCGAAGCATGATGATTCTCATATTAGCAGAGAGCCCAACACTGCCGTGTTCAACGAAGGCCGGCCCTACTCTCTGAGCGACTTCGCCGATATGGATCCTGAGCTACCTCCAGAACCAGCTCCCGCCCCAAGCACGCCTCAGTACGCACCGTCGCAATATGCGTCGTCGCAGAGAGAATACTCGCCGCGTAGCCGGTCTCCGCACAGCCAATCTCCGCCTCTTCCGCGTCCTCGCCCTGCTATGCGGCACTTTGAGGCTCCGCTTCCTCCTCTCCCGGCGGCTCCTATGCCGAATGCCATGCTGGGACAGGCTTCGCCTGAAGAAGTTAGGAGTGAGTTAAGGCGGTTGGCTATGAGTCTTGGAGACCATCTTACTTATGTTAACTCGTATTTGTCGACTTTGCCTGTTCGTAGGAAAAGTACGCATACGCACTACTCGTTGGACCCGGAGGGTGGTGCGATCTAAACTAAAGGCGTTTTGTGATTATGGCTGGGAGAAAGGGGTAGTGTGATCTTGTTATTTAGGAAAGAAAAGGGTGTTTGATGGTGATGGATGAGGAGAGGCACAACATGTCTGTACCATGACAAATGTACGTTAAAAACAGCACTTCTTTGCTTTGTAAAGCTTGGTGAAGGGAGATCATTGCAACGCTAGCAATGGCAGATTTCATAGGCGCGATGGATAAGTCAATTGTTGGATTCAACAGGGAAATTGTTTTTAGGTTTCAATATATCAACTTTGATTTATTTCCATATTGTGGCACATCTTTTCCACCGTCCAGCAGCACTCTCTCTCATGAGAAGCCAACCATGTTACCCATCAACAGAGCCTGGTACTTCTCAATCGCCTCCCCAAGCTTAATAAGTACGCCCGCAGACAACATCTTGACCTCATTTTCTTCTCCTCCATCTTCACCTCGAATCTTATTAAACACCGTCGCAGCCCATTCCCGCGTCTCCATGACCTCACGCCCCTGAGTCTCGCACAACCTGCGCATATCCCCATCATTAACCTCCAGCAACGAAGCCATGGCGACGAGCCAGCCCTTCAACGCACCGAGATCATCCTGTGTGTGAATCCTAACCGCGAGAAGTAAATCCCACAGCTCCGTAGTGAGCTGCGGCAGCGAAAGCGTCGAAGGGCCTGCTGAGTGGATGATTATGCCCAGTGTCTGAAGATACAATGCCAGCAGCGCGGGGTTGAGGATGACGGGACGGGATGATCGAAGAGCGACCTGGAAGTGGGCGGTAAGAGGGTAGAAGAAGGACTCTGCGATGAGAGCGGCGGTGGTGTTGGGGATCGCGCGGACTCGTGGCTTTGCTTTGGTCTTGGATTTGTAGCGGGCTGTGAAGGTTTGGAGCTTGAGGATGTCGGGTCCGGTCGTGGCGTCAGCTGCCTTGGCGGCCATCGGTTGCAAGAAAGACGATGTGAGGGATTGAGTTATTGTGTCTAGAGCGGTTGAAGGTAGTGCTTTTAGTTGAGATGGAGGGTTCGCATCGCCCGGCTTGGGTGAGTCGAGGTATAGCTGCTCAATTTTCTCCGGCAGTCGCTTTGAAGGGAACGATGCGTTGGCCTTGTATTCAGAGACATCGAACCCAGCGAGTTCTCTGGCCGATAACCCAATGGCAACGAGCACTTGCGTTCGCTGCGACAAGGAATAGTCGCCTTCGAAAAAGGTCCGGGAGAACCAGGGGGCCATGGATTTCGGTTGAGCGACGATCAAGGCCATCATACCCTGAAGTTTTAAATCTGAAAAATCTTCTATCTCAAACTTGTCTTGCAGTCCGACGAACAAGCCGGCGAGCTCATCTGCGTGTGAGCTCACTTCCATGCCAAAGTTTGCTTTCCTCCGAATCAAGAGCGGTGCACTCTGCAGGGCCAACTTTTGCTTGTCATATGACTCTGTGTCGCGAAGATATAGAATCAGATCACGGATATAGACGGGGGCCTTTGGCTTATTCCGTTGGACTAATGTGGCGTCGTCGTCGGAATCTTCTGGGTCAGAACCTTTGGCATAAGGGACAAGATCTTCTTCATCGTCTGAGGAATCAATTTCTTCGATGATAGCTATGGGTTTGATGGTTGAGATGTTGGGCTCGGGTTTTGCTTTTGGCTTTGCTTTGGGCTTTTGCGTTCGTTTTTGAGGTGGTCGAGTCTCCTTCTTCACGGGCAGTCCTGTAAATTCTGTCCTAAGGATAGGTTCAATCGAGCCAACCTCATCAGAGATGGTGGTAAGAGATTTTAGCCACTGAGCCTCTTCGCTCTCCGTCTCTTCCATATGAAAGTCAAGTTTCTGGGTCTTGTCGTCCATCAATGTTGAGAGAGACTCTCCAACAACTAAACCTAAGAATCGAGCTCTTGCCTGAGTTGCTGCGATTCTATTTGAGATTGCTGTCAAGTAGGAGCCAGATCTCACAATTATTCTCAGCTTGATGGGCGACAATCTGGAGATGTACCCTGCACTTAGTAGCAATATTTCTGTATGGACTAAAAGGTGTCAGCGCGCTGTGCAATGTGAGCTGTTTAAAGGAGTCGTACCATTTTGCTGCAATATTGCTGCATGCTTGATGTATAATTGGTCTCCAAACTGGGCCAAGCTCTTCTCAAACACAGTTGTAATACCATCCTTATTTTGGGCTACAACAGCGAGAATGGCTCTTCGAATGCCTACAGCGTCTCCTAGGCCAGCACCAGAGGATGAAGCACACCAGGTAACGAGATGGTTGTAGAGAGTATCATTGCCTTTTGTGACTGCGTCAATAATGCCAGCAACGGCAGATATGAGCCCCCTAGAAGATGGGTGGTCTAAATCGAGACTGTTTAGTTGCTGAGCAAGGTGCTGTAGTAGGATATTCATGGTCTTCCTGGCACCATGAGGCTGAGCAAAGCAAACTTTGGCAAAGTCCTGGGGATTATTTCCCTTTTGAAGAAGAAGACCATCAATAACGGTCTTGACAAGGGTTTCTATGCCGTGTAAGTGGAGAGTAACGATGTTGATATCTGTAAAACGTACCAAGATAGCCTAGTGACATTCCTCGCTGAAAAACGTCTGAGCAGAAGTGCAATTCGCCTTCGCTTCTTATGAGCTTAGCCCAAGCTATGACATTATGACCAACCCATTGCGAAAACTTGGCTCCATCAGCCGGCCATGTTGTATTGGAGCGAACATTTTCTGATCCAGCAGCTTCAATTGCTTCGGCGGCGATAGATTGTATTCGGCCGCCAGTAATTAAAGAGAGCAGTGCCTGGGATTGCACCTTTTTCAGTGTTTGAGCACCCAGCCTCTCCGTTGAAGCTGCCCACAAGGTTTGAATGGCATTTTCACCGTCCAGCACTGTCGCCAACAAGTCGAGGAAAATGGTAATATGCAGCACCAGATCAGGTCGCTTTAATTCTTTGGATCCAGACTTTTGCTCTTGTATGAGCGCTTTGAGATGAGAAAGAATTGCATTGAGCCCGGTGACGCTTTGTAAACATGTCACAAATAGACGTAGGTCGTTATGATTGCCCTCAGCGTCGTCATTTTCACCACCTTCTTTCAGCAAAGTCCAATAGTTGGAAGCGATATCTGTAACCAAGACGTGAGTTATCGCTGCGCTTTTCGGACCTGGCACGTGGACATTGAAGCTATCCGTCTGTCCATCATCTTTGGTGAGGTATCTCAACACCTGGACAAGGGAATCGTAATCCGGCTGGTTTCGAAGAAGCTCCAAAGCACCATCCGGTGAGTCTACCTGAGAGATCTTGGGGATCTCGGCCACCCTCTTAGTTGAACTGACCTCGGATAGGAGTGGCTGGGCATCTTTTCGGGGCTTGAGATATGTGGTGCTGACCGGGGTCAGTAGTTCGTCCATAGCCGCTACCTTGCGCTTCTGAAGATAATTCAGAGTAGCGGTAGCGGCAGTTGTAAGGCCATCAAGCTGATAAGATGGTTGATAATACTGAAAAGAAATTCTAACGTCAAAGCACTAGGCAAGTGAAAGATGACCAGCTCTTTTACTGCTTGCTCGTGGTTGTTGAAGCTTAGAAAGACGCAGAGCTACTAAGCTGCGAACAAGTGAAGGCCAGACCCCACATTCACCTGACCTCACCGACGCTCACCGACCTCCACCGAGGCCAAGGCAAGCTCCTCCCCACCTTGCCCAACAGCTGCACGGAGCTTCCTCTTCCTCCTCCATACTCAGCACAGCACCTACGAATCCCACGATCTTTCTGCCTTTTCATATTGGTATTCTAAACTCCAGTTCGACCATCATTTACGGCGAGATGAGTGTCGAGACCCGGAGAGCAGCGGATGTCGCTGCCGACAGCGAAACGGCACGATGGTCAGTGCCTGAAATGGTGATGCGATTGCCCGAGCATGTATTGACGGAGATGCAGGAAGTACCTCGAGCAGATCAGACGCACACCGGGCCCGTTTACAAACCCAGAAGCTGTGGAAGACGAGTTTCTGGCCCAATTTGAGCGGTTCAAGATTCTGTACGTAGCACAAGAGGCGAAGCAGAAGTAGAGGCGAGAGTTTGGCTAACCAGACACAGGGTCATGTTTGTCATACCTTGCACCGATATTTCCTACTCGAGACTGAGACTAATGGCGGCGGTAGTGGCGCAGGAGGTTTGGGATGCGAAATCCTTAAGAATCTAGCCATGTCCAAGTTCAAGGATATCCATGTAATTGATATGGGTAAGGCGCATCAAGTATACATGAAGAGGGCTGTCGTTCGAACTAACGCGGCGCATGGATAAGATACCATCGACATCTCCAATTTGAACCGACAATTCCTCTTTCGCAAATCAGACGTTGGGAAATTCAAGGCCGAAGTCGCAGCCAAGTTTGTCGAGCAAAGAGTCAAGGGCGTTAAAATCACAGCTCACAATAAACGGATCCAAGATTTCGACGATGAATTCTACAAGCAGTTTCAGCTCGTCATTTGCGGCCTGGACAGCATCGAAGCTCGACGGTGGATCAACGCCATGCTGGTCTCTATCGCGGAAGAGTCTGAAGATCCTGATGGCGTCAAGCCACTGATTGACGGCGGTACCGAGGGCTTCAAGGGCCAGGCCAGGGTCATCTTTCCCTCTTTTACTTCATGTATAGAATGCCAGCTAGACATGCACGCCCCTAGAGCTGCTGTTCCGCTCTGCACGATTGCTTCTATCCCGAGGCAGCCGGAGCACTGCGTCGAGTGGGCTCATGTCATTGCCTGGGAACAAGAGAAGCCATTTCCAAAGCTCGACAAGGACGATCCCGAGCATGTCACATGGATCTACCAAAAGGCTCTCAAGCGCGCAGAGGAGTTTAACATTCCAGGAATCACATATTCGCTCACGCAAGGAACGATCAAAAACATTATCCCTGCCATTGCCTCAACAAATGCCATCATCGCGGCCGCATGCTGTAACGAAGCATTCAAGATTGCTACGACCACAGCGACGTGCCTGGGTTTTGAGAACAACTATATGATGTACTCTGGTAACGACAGCATCTACACATATACGTTCAAGCACGAGAAGAAAGAAGACTGCCCAGTTTGCGGACGGGAAGCTCGGCCCTTGGACGTTGATCCCAACATGACACTCCAGGACCTTTTGGACTCGTTTGCCGTTCGTCCCGAAGCTCAACTCAAGAAGCCATCCATACGAGCGGAAGGCAAGACTCTTTACATGCAGGTTCCGCAAAGCTTGGAAGAGCAAACGAGGCCAAACCTGAACAAGTCGCTTAAAGACCTGGGGCTGGAGAATGGCCAAGAGGTTGTGGTTACCGACCCTGCATTCCCCCTCGAATTCAACTTTTTCTTTAGGTTCAAAGAAGAGAGTTCCTAGCGGGACATTCATTGGTTCTTGTCCATTATCTCTCTTTTTTTCTCATCTCCAATGACGATTTGGGTGTTTTACGGAAGGTTTCTTTTCATTTTGGGCATTTTCCTGGCGTTGGAGACACTATCGGCGGGACGCACTTCTATATAGTCCTCTTTCTTTCTGGAGGTCATATCAGCACATCTTTGTACATGTCCACAGACTTGAAGGAAACAAGAACAAGAGAAGATCTCAGATATTTTGATTTCTTTTCTTTTTATTTATTCATATCCATGAGATGAATGAGACACACAGAGAAGAAGCAGAAAAAAATGCATGCGTCGAAACTTATGTACAACGCAATTGACCATGCCCCCCGTTTATGTACAGAAACGCCTTCAACCAAAACAAAGACCAATTATTGAACCATGTTGATGACCTGCTGCTCCAACTTTTTGCACTTTAGCTTTAGATGCTTGACTGCCTCGAGGAACAGCTCATCGCTGTCCCACTGCCCCGTGCTCTCGATGGAGAAGATGAAGTGGTCTCTCCTCCGGCCGAGCTTGACCTTGCCCTCGAACTCGGGGTGCCGCAGGGCCTCTCTGCTGACGGTGTCCTTCATCGAGTCCTTGACCACGGCCTTGAACTCGCCGGCGTGGCCCTCGTAGCCGCTGCCGGACTTGCTGGCCTCTTCCCGCGTGACCTTTTCGAGGCCGATGACGCCCTGGGGGAAGCAGCGCTGGAACTTTTCGGCGTCGGGGCCGATGATGGGCTTGGTGATGTGGATGAGGGGCAGCAGGCGGTACGAGGCGGTGGCGACGGGGGAGAATTTGGAGTGGTCGGCGCCGATGCCCTTGTGCATGTGCATGGCCAGGTTGATGGTCTGCTTCGGCCGCAGCTTGGCGATGAGGATGTCCGGGTTGACGGGGACGATTGCGTTGTCGCCGCTAAAGTACTCGACCTGCCTTCCCGTGGGCACGAAGACGATGTCCTTTGCGTAGACGTGGGCGTGGTTGTACGCCTTTAGCGGGTCGTTTTCGTTGGGCGCTGCGTCCGGGTTGACGGTGCAGGTGACGTTGAGCTCGAGGCGCACCGTGTTCCAGTCGAAGCTGTTTGCGTAAGGGTCCTCCCCTGCCTCGGGCTTCTTGTACCACTTGAGGAAGTTGTGGATGCCGTCGCGCCCTCCGTTGAAGGGAATAAGCCCCAGCCTGTGGGCGAGCACCTCGTCCTGAATCACGGAGGTGTTGTTCTCGATGTAGACGTCCTCGATGGCGAGCGTGGGGATCTCGGCGATGAGGATTCGTCGGAAGGCGTTGGCCAGCGAGGCGTCGATGCCGATGAGGGAGAAGGACGCATCGTTGAGCTCGTTGCGGTGGAACTGGACGGAGAAGGCGGATCGGAAGCGCTCAATGGAAAAGGCGTGGTCTTCGCCGGGGAAGTGGCCGGGGAAATCTGTCGAGGCAACGTTGGACACTGTCTCTTTGTTGATGCCAACCGTCTATAAAAAAAAAAAAGTCTATGTCAGCACTTCATGGGAAAAGTCTTCAGCGAGGCTGGTAGGAAAGGAATTGTTCTCTTACGTTTCGGCGCAGCAGCTCCTCCGCACTGGGAGCCATTGTGTCTGGGCTAGAATATGAAGATTGGAGAAGCAAGAAAGGATTGACTCGGCTCGACTGGATGGTGATCTGGGGAAATTTTTTGGATGCGATAACGATTTGACGATAGCTAGAATTTAGCCCCTCCAAGGTGAGGGCCGGTGAAAGACGGCGCTCACCGAGAAGTGTGGGTCGTAGGGGTCCGCCACTGAACTGGTTTAGGATTTGGCGACACTTGGTTGTAAGTACTCTGTGAAGGTCTCGTTCATAACTTACAACAGACAAGAGATGGCAAGACTAATTGCATGAAGAGATGTTATGAATCATGTTGATTATTAGCAGTGTAACTTTGTAATTATTATAACAACATTTCATATCCTTCTAAGGACATCATGGACTCATTATAGTAGTAGCGATGCGTCTAAGACAGCATCTCAATTGAACAGCCTTGGTGGCATCATTGAAATAATCAATACAACAGTATTTCTCACATATTTCACCCCCTCCGACTCATACCCGCCTTCTTCATTTTGGCTCTTCTTTGGTCCCGCGGATGTCGCAAATGCTGCAGCAGAGACGCAAGATACCCACCATCCTTTTCGCCTCGTCGACGCTGATTCTGTGTTCCTTTTGAAGGGTATATTTCCGAAACGCCTGAAAGTCGCGCCACACCCTCACCTTTTTATTCGTGCGTCTTGCATCAATCAAATCAATAATATTAACAAGCTTCTTCTTGAGGTTGTCCTTGCATTCAGCAGCAGTGATACATGGCGGAATGCCAACCTCGACGCACAGGTCCTGGTAGCCCTGCAGGATTTCTTCTTCCGTGAGCTCTTGTTCTTCTTCCTGGGTGCTGTTGGGTTTTTGGGAGGAGAAGTAGTGCGTCTTGAGCTCTTCGCGCATGGCGATGGTGCGCTGCTTTGTGTATTGCTGGGAGCCGGGGATCCATTGCTGGGATAAGGCGAGGCGGGCAAATTCCTTGTCGAAGGGCGCGTCGTGGCTGGGCGTGAAGTTTTGGAATTTGTCAAAGTGGGATTGGGAGGATGGAGGGGGAATAATTTGAGGCTCGTCTTGAGATTCGTCTTGAGAATCATCTTGAAATTGATATTGAGAGGATGGAGGGGGATCCATGTTATGTCTTTTATTATGCTGGTTTCTTTAAGGGGAAGAGGGATATGAGTTACTCAAGTAAAATAAGACGCGAAGATGAGATAGCAATAACAACGGCAGAAGCGACACTACCTGCATATGTATGTGCCTGCATCTGGTAAATCACTGAATTCTGCATGTTGGTTGGCTGCCAGGCAGTTGATAAGCAACTGTAGCGAATAAGAGCCACACAGGGGTGTACCAGTCATGAATTGATGAATCCATTGGCCAAATCTCTTGCTTGACTAACAACGACCTATCCTAGCACCCTAATACAATATCGAAGGGGCAAAAAAAAAAAAAAAAAAAAAAGGGTATGCAGAATTCATAACCCATTTCGAGTCGCTTTAATTGTCTGCCAAAGCTGAGCTTTCATGACATGCTATCTACCCTATTGACCCATTGCAGTAACCTAAATTTTCATCCTACAAATCAAGCAGCCCTGCTATATCTCGCAAAGCTGCCATGTCCTCCCGTCCCAGTGTTTTTTTATCTTTTCTTTTCCGCTTGTTTCCATTTACTCAATATCTTCCATGTTCCACACGCTAACGCCCTTCTTCTGTACGTTGTCCTTCAATCTTCCAAGAATTGCCTGTCGCTTGGCCATCTTGTCCATTAAATCTCCCTTTTCATCCCTGTTATAGCCGCTGACCTTCTTTCGTGGCGTCGACGTCTTCCCCGGAGTTCCAAGAGACATGACGCTGCTGGATAAGCTCTGGCGCATGTTACGGGCCGGTGTCGCGTCCGGAGAGAGCATGATGCTCCTCCTTGACTGTGGTGTCCGGAAAGAGGGAGATTCCTCTCTGCTGGGGGTCTCCAGCCGCATCCTCCGCAGCTGCGTTTCCAACACATCAATGTCTCCGCTACGCTTCTCCACCATGCTGGTCATTTTCGTGATTGTCTTCATCACGGCCTCTACGGTAGGAACGTTTGTGGTTCCCCTTCCGGACGCACTGGATAGCGATGCAATGCGAGTCTTGAGAAGAGTCAGTGCTTCTTCTGCTTCGGCAAGCAGCTTTGAGAAGTTTGTATATTCCCTCCTCAGCTCATTCTGCTGCGTTTGCTGTTCAGCACTGAGAGGGAGCGACCGCGCAGCCTCCGCCTGGTTGGGATCCACCCTCGCCATGATGACCCTTTTCAGATCCTCCTGCTTGGCTCGCAGCCGGTGCATGTCCTTGGCCAGCTCCTGGCAGGCTTCGAGCTGCTCGGTTAGATCCTGCACTCGACCATCCTCCAGGTCACCAGAAAGTTCAACCTCAAGAATCTCTCCCAAGTCGCCAATCTCGCATAAAACCCAATCGTCTGGATGATCGAGATCGTCAGGGCTCCGGCCGTCAGGAACACCGCCGTCTGTATGACCCTTTATAAAGGCTCTCACAGAGCGAGCGTTGAGTCCAAGAGTGTCAATCATTGAGTTGATGTCCCTATAAACAGCTTCAACTTGAGCAGGAATGCTCTCTTGGGCCGGCGGTGCAACGTTGGAGTGAGCAATGAATTCATCCAGCTCCAGAGTGCCCTCAATTTCAGAGGCGAGGACCCTTTGCACCTCTTCATCTTCTTCATCAATCAACACCCGGCTTTCTTCGGCTTGCTGTCGCTCTCTCAGTTTCCTAGACTGGGCTATGAATGCATCATCAGCAGCTGTTTTGTCTTTACCAGCAGTAGCTGATGCAATGAGCTGCGACTTTCTAGGAGCCGAGAGCTGAGAAGGTACGCCTGGTGCACTGGCGGATCTAGTGATATCCGGAATGAGAGCACGATTTGGCGCTCCGCCTCGCACGGGACTGGGTGATCGCGGGATCGCGTTTGGCTGGGCAATCGTGGGCGTGCTTCGGCCGACCTCCCCAAAAAGCTGTTGTGACCGACCCCGATCAGCTCTGGGGGGTTCTGCAAAGCCATTGAATGGGCCCTTTGGCGTACCCAATCCCATGGCCGTGGGACTAAGATCTCTAGCCACATCCACGCCGCTGCCCTCGGAAGCTTCCTCGTCCAAATCACTATCTGCGTCTCCATCAGAAGGGAGCGCCGGAGCAGAGGTTACGCTCGGTCGAGTCTTGGGCGCAGAAGTAGGAAGCCCGAATGCGGCTGGTGGAGCGGCATTGCTGGGTTTGGAAAAGAAGTTTGACTTGACTGGATCGGGGGGTAGAGGAGCATCCTCAACGACCGTTGGTGGCTCATTAGAAGGCTTCGAAACTTTGATAAAGCTAGATGATTTTGATGCGCCTGTATCCTTGGCAGCCGCATTCTTATCGGTCCCGCTCAGGCCTGTGGCAAAAGGATTGCTCGGTTTGGAGGTAGCGGTACTACCGAATGAGCTGGATGTGGTAGACGTTACAGACGAGTCAGATGACTCGCCAATGAGATATGACGACTTGCTGGTCGTATCTGGAGGCAGAGGTGTGGCAAAGGGATTCGCAACCTTGGGTGTGGGCGTCTTGGACTCGTCTTCGGCTGGTTTGGGAGCGGAACTAAACAGTCCAGAGGATGTAGCGGGTGGTTTTGAAGCGCTTCCAAATGACCCAGACCCAAACAAGCCAGAACCACCTGCAGGCTTGGCAGCGGCCCCTCCTGTACCAAACAATCCGGTACCAGTAGCTTGAGGAGTGGCTGTCTTGCCGCCAAAAAGTGAAGTCGTGCCAGTGGTTGAGGCAGCAGGGACTGTTGTTGAAGAAGGGACACCAAAGCTTGACGCTCCTTGCGATGCTAACGGAGTTGCAGATCCAGTTCCGGTTTGTGGAGATGCCTCACCGGTATCCATATCTTCATCCTTGGCAGATACTGCAGAGTCAGGAGCCTTGGTTGCAGCGTCGTTGAGAGCAGATCCAAAAGTAGATCCAAACATGGACGACCCAGAAGCTGCCGGCGCTTTGTCATTGCCTCCTTGGGACGGATCGGGCTTGAAAGAACTTTCCAACTTGAAAGGAGTAGAGCCAAAAACACTGCCAGACGGCTTCTCTTGGCTGCCAAAGACACTGCCGGCAGGCTTTGATGGAAAGGCTGTGTCTGTTGAGGTGGATCCAAAAGCGCTCCCGGCTCCAGCCAGAGTGCCGCCACTACCAAAGACACTGCCCCCGGTATTGCTGCTGTTGTTGCCGGCAAGAGAAGCAAAGCCGCCTTGAGAAGAAAACGAAGCGAATCCTCCAGAAGAACCAGGTGTGGAGGCTTGAGCTGTGCTTGCAGGTGTGCTCCCAAAAGGGCTTTGAGCGCTCTTATTTGCGAAGCTAGCAAAGCCCGACTGGCCAAAGGCTGGACCGGCCGCTGCTGCTGCTCCCGTTCCTGCACCAGCAGATGCCCAGGGAGAGGCTCGCATACCAAGTTGCGAGGATTGGCCAAATCCTACGGCGCTCGGCTTCCCAAACGTAGCGGCTGGTGCTGCTGACCCAAAAGCACTCGATCCAAAGGCCCCCCCTGTGCTGGGCGCAGCAGTTCCCGAAGCTGATGCCGTACCCCAAGGTGACGCCTTTTGGCCAAGCTGCGCCGAAGACCCAAAAGCAGGAGCAGCTGCGCTTGATGAAGAAAAGGGGGATGGCCCTGCGTTACTGGAAAAGGGTGATGCCGAAGACGCGGCAGGTGCTGGCACAGATCCCGCATCTCCCTGAATTGCCGTCAGCCCTGGATAGGGCATGGCTCTCTTAATTGAGTCGGTATAGATGATCCACCATGAGCAGAGCACACCTTCATGAGTGAGAATCCAGAATCCTGGCAAAGGAGTAGGCGATTCTTCGAGCTCTTCGTCCGATGGTATAGGTTTGTAAATCTTATCCTTGCTGGAAAGATCAAGAGCAACTCCAATGGGTGTAGAATCGTCCGCGGAGTCAGTCATCGGAAGCGTTGGTCGTTTAGAGTCATCAAGCAACTCGGTAGTAGTGAAGACATTTGTGATGGACTCGGCAGGTAAATCGGTTGTCAGCGCACTTTTAGACCGGGTCAGTAGGCCAACATCAGTCGATGCAGTAGATGAGACGATAAGGAGATCCTGCAGATCAGGGGGGAAATCTCGCAATCGTAGTATAGAATGGTGGGGGACCTTGTCTGATCCAAAAGGCTGAACAGGGTCCGTGAGTTTTTGGTAGGTGAATGATGAAGGCGGTTGGCGCGTAATGATGTGATAAATGGAAGAGGGAGGCGAGTCACTAGTTGAGTGGATAGAGAGCCAGAGATTGTTCTCAAGCCATGTAAGTGATGATACTATTCAAAAATGGTTAGCATAGGCTTTTTCTCTATTGGGGAACAGCAGTTTTTACCATGGCAGTTGGCGACATTGGGAGGGTTGGGGATATCGGCTTTTCCCTCTCCCTCAGGCGTCATTTGGTGGATGGTTCCATCTGCTAATCCAGCACAAAGCTGCTTGCCCTTTGAACTCCAACTAATACAGCTGACTTGGTTCTTGAGTGCATTGCTTATTTTTCGTTCTTGGAGATTTGCCATATGGAGGTTGCCGTTGTTTGTGACAATGGCACAAAGCTCTGGAATCGTTGGATTTGGTACCAACGATCTGAGGGCCTCCCCATTGGTAGAGAGCTCAAACGCGGAATTTGAAGACCCCTGGAGAAGACTTTGGACTTGATAAACAGCAAGGCCGCCGCCGGATTCTGCAGAGAGCACCAGGTAATTCTCGTCAGCGGTAAAGACGAGTTGCGAAACCCGCATGGGCATGGGGATCTTGAGCTGGGGCTCAAAGCCGCGAATGTCGGAATCGCCATCCTTGGGAGCCTCGAAAGCCTTTCGAATCGATTCGGTCGTGGCGATGATGAGCTGATCAGGACCAGCGGCAGCAACGAGACCTCTCTTCGAGGCAACGCTGAGCAGCGAGGATGTAGCGGTCGGTAGTGTCTCCCAGGCAGATGTGAGGCGAACCTTGGCATCACCAGCGATGGATAGGAAACCGAGGGCCTGTGAAGCAGTGTGTTAGCGATGGACTCGCGGCCTGTGTTGAGCCATACAAAACACCAAACAAAAACTGAAAAGTGAAGTAAGAAGAAAAGCTGCTGCCTACCTCTGTCTGGATAGTCTCCAGATCGGGCCCTGCATTTACACCTCCCGCGCCTCCGCTCATGGCGTTGGCCGAAGCGTTGAAGCCAAAAGACATGGCGGCTGAAGAGAGCAACCCGGATGAGCTCCGAATCTCGTCAACTATCCAGCTTCCGGAACATGGGTCTGCGGCGCGCTGAACAGGTCCGTCGCTGGAGCTCCCACCGGCGGGATTCGGGGCCCAATTCGGAGGCAGAGCGAGAATGGCGAGGGCCGGATCGAGGGCCGAAGAGGCGACAAAACGCGTCGATTGCTCTGCGGCAGCGGATGATGCAAAAGTAGCGATTGGAAGTGCAGAGGGAACTGCGCCTGTACCATATTCTACCGGGCGGTCTGTCGCGACCCTTGCATGCACAATTCACTTTTTTGGGAGCTCTTGAGCGCAATCACGTGGGTTCATGACAGCTCCAGCCAATGGCGCATGCAGTTGCGCTCCGTCTTCCCACCTGGCGGCAGCGGGCCAATCAGAATTTGCTATTTTGCCTAGGGGGACGATTTATAGAGGGGAAACAGCAGGTTGGAGCTTGTGCGAAGTACCGAGCCCGCTGTATTTGGGTGCTGCGATACCTGGCAGACGTGCCACCAGTGCCTAAAGGCAGAAGGCAGCTTTTAGCCTCGTCATCAGCTACCACTCACTTGCTGAGTATAACCAAACATCAACCTCCAGCGCTGCCAAACCCTCCATCCTCCATTGAATAGCAAGCAACGCCCCCCCCCCCCTTTTGACGAACCTCCACAGCGAATGCAGACGCCGCACAGCTGCTAGACTTGAAGCACCGTACAGAGGGGCTTCTCCGGTACACGCGAGATATAGACGAGAACGGCACGACCCGTTCGGTAGGGCATCGCAGCAGCAGAAGATGCCGGGCTTCGACTTCTCCAACTACAACCGCAATGCGGCCCTGCACGCCAGGGGAGTGCCTCTGCCCAGGGCCACCAGCACAGGAACAACCATTGTCGGCTGCATCTTTGACGGCGGCGTTGTGGTGAGTTGGGAATGAATCTGCGTTTTCCTGCCCTCTTCATCAAATCACCCCTCCCCCTCTCCCTGCCTACCTACCTATACACAATGGCAATACACACACAAAACTCCACGACAACTTCTAACCCTCCTGCCCGCCAGATTGCTGCCGATACGCGAGCCACCTCGGGCCCCATCGTCGCCGACAAGAACTGCGAAAAGCTTCACTACATCTCCCCCCAGATCTGGTGCGCCGGCGCCGGCACCGCCGCCGACACCGAGTTCACCACCGCCCTCATCTCCTCCCAGCTCGAGCTGCACTCGCTCTCCACCGGCCGCAAGCCCCGCGTCGTCACCTGCATGACCCTCCTCAAGCAGCACCTGTTCCGCCACCAGGGCCACATCGGCGCCTACCTCGTCGTCGCCGGCTGCGACCCCACGGGCACCCACCTCTTCACCGTCCACGCCCACGGCAGCACCGACAAGCTCCCCTACGTCACCATGGGGTCGGGAAGTCTCGCGGCCATGAGCGTCTTCGAGACCCAGTGGAAGCCGGACTTGACAAGGGACGACGCCGTCAAGCTGTGCAGCGATGCCATTCTCGCTGGTGTCTGGAACGATTTGGGCTCTGGTTCAAACGTCGATGTTGCTGTTATTACTAAGGAGAAGACGACCCTGCTGCGAAACTACATCAAGCCCAACGAGAAGAGCGCCAAGCTGCAGAGCTACCGCTTCCCCAAGGGCACCACGGCCGTTTTGAACGAAAAGATTATTACTAAGAGCGAGATCGGACGATACGCCACCGTGGTCGATTTACCAGTTGAGGGAGAGAGCATGGATGTTGATACCTAATCGGGAGGACACAAGAAGAGCGTGCAGGGATGCGAATTGCAAATGTCATGGTTATTTGTTTGTAACCAATAAAATAGTAAACATACTAGAAATCAGACAAAGGGAAAATTCCAAACTACCACATGATACAGTGACGACAAATAGACTAATAGGGCGCTGCTGATGTTGGAATTATTGGATTATAACTTTGTTATCGCCTTATTTGCCCCCTAGATACGAGACGTTCCCACAACGTCTTTGTTTTTTGGATATATTGAACAGCCCAACGCCCGGCCAGAAAAGAAGAAGAAAAAAATCAACCAGCCGCACTCTATACGGACTCGGCATTGGAGAAGGAACAAAGGAAATGTAGTTATATGTACGCCCACAGCCACCAAAGCAAGCCCCTCCCTACAAGTAACAAGAACTGAAGATTTCTCCAAAGGGTCACTGAAGAAGAAACAAGAAGAAGAAGAAGAAGAAGAAGTAGATTGGAGCCGTGGACTCCAAAGAGAAGGGCGATCAACGAGCTTGTCGTAAAGCTCGAATATGCTTTTCAAAGCACATGAATGTAACGTAGCAAAAGAGCCCGCCTCTACTGAGTGATATGCCGAGAATAGGAGGTGGAAAAAAAAGGTCGAAGAGCGAAAAAGAAAAGGGGGAGGAGATAGAAGAGAAAAGGGAAAACAAAGGCCGATAAGAAGAGATTCCCAGTATTCCATGCGAAGACAACCCCAATATTTGATGCGAGAACAGCCGAAACCCCAAAAAACTCCGGTATAGATGGGTAAAGACGAAGAGAGATTTTCATCAGACATTATAGTTGCCCCCCTCACTTCTTGCCAAACATTGCGCGGGAGCGGGATTTGCTGCGGGCTCGAGACTTTTTGTCCTCTGCCGGGGCTTTAGGAGGAGCATCCTCGTCATCCATGTATTTTGCCTTGTGAATCCTAAAGAGTTTTGAAAATTAGCCAATGTCCACAGAAGAGGCATAGGAAAGTAGTTAAACATACCAGCTGTTGCCCACCATGCTCATGCCTTTGGCTTCAGCCATACGGTAGAACTTGGCACTCTTCTTCAGATTCTTCTTGCAGCCAATTCCTTGCGCGTAGCAGAAACCAGCTTCCGCTAGAGCATCAACATCGCCCCAGGCTATTGGAATTAATGTTAGCAAGACCTAATCACACGAGATTCTTCAGGTTCAAACCTACTGCCAGCGATTTCAAAGCAGCGCAACGCAAGAGCTTTATCCTGTTCGATGCCCCATCCATTCATATGGCTTACGCCCAGTTCATAAATGCTCAGAGCAAACTGAGCCTTGTGGGTCTTGTTTTCGGCAATATTGATGCGCTTCCCTTCCTTGGCATTCCCTTCGTCCTCTGCAACTTCACCACTTGCCATGTCGGCTGCCTTTCTTAGCCACTGCACTCCTTCTTTCTGATTGGGCCTCATACCCCAGCCATGGCGACAGGCGAGAGCATACAGAAGCATGGCTGTTGGGTGGTTTAGTCGGGCGGCGTGCCGGAGGTGATAGGTCGACTCGTTCAGCGAGCCGTTCTCGTGACATTCTATACCCTTAGCAAGATGTTCTTCGGCAGTCATCTCGGCAGCTGTAGGTGTAGTAGTACTCGTGGTAGATCGGACAGACATGGTAGGGCGTATTGTCTGGGCCGAGTCGCTTGTACCGACTGAGGCTGGTGTCCTGCCTCGAGGCGCCTCTGCGGTATGCAACGTTCGTGATCTACCCCTGGAGCTGTCTTCTGCATGCCGCCTGGATTCAGTTGAAGGTCTGCTGGGGTTCGGTGAGGCGCGTCCATAAGGTGCAAACTGAGAACTCTCCATGCTGAGTTTGCCCGCATCACTCCGCTGCCTTGACATGGCGCTAGAAATACTGGCGGCATCGTCGGGGATAGCGCGAGCTGATGAGCTAGAAGGTCGAGTAGGGGGGGAGGGTGGTGCACCCGCTTGAGGTGGAAGGTCGGACGATTCTGAACGCTGAATTGACTTTCCTCGAGGCAGAACAAATTTGGAATAGACATATGACCCGCTGGCCTTGTCGTCTGATGGCTGCTCTGCGAAAGCTTCGCTGTGCATACTTATGGGGGTATGAGCCGACTCATCGGCCAGTATAAAAGACGGCTGGCTGTCTGACGAAGCCTGTCGAATGGGATGGTCCAGGTTTGGCGTTCCGGCTCTACTCATGGGCCGAGAAAAGTTGAAGGCGGGTCGAGGAAGAGCGGAGGATTCAGAGGCAACGGATGGGGATCGTTGAAAGGGGGGAAGGACGGAGGACGCCATGTGAGGTGGCAGGGCTGCGCTGCCAGAGGAGAGTTTTCTGGAGGGAAGAGACTGAACGGAGCTAGACATGTTCCCAAATGTTTCCTCATCTGGGGGTACAGGGGAGGACAAGGCGCTCGGCGATCGTCCAGGGAGGAGGCTTCTAGGTGGCGCCAATCCAACCTCGTCAAAGGAGCTCTGTTTGGTCCTTCGAGGAGACATGTTTGACAGAGAAGGAAAGGAGTTTAATTGAGGATGAGACGGAGTGGGGGATTTGGTTGATTGGCGGTCCAGTTGAGAGAGGGTATCGCTCTGAAGTGGTGATGGAGAACGGTCCTGGCGGGCCCCGAAGAAGTTGGTATTGTCGTTTTGATGTCCCAGCTGCCGACCCCGAGCATACTCCGGGATGTCTGGTACGTCTGGCATGTCCTCCGGCAGAGGAGGCACACCTTCATCGGGCGTGGGCGGGATTCGACTCATCCGTGGGTGCATGGACCTCGGCCGCTGGACCTCGTCTGAGAAGGCGTCCTCCATCTCGGTGCGTAGCCCCAAACCACCAAAGCCAGGGGTAAGTGGAGGGGCGGGAGATTCATCGCGTTCGGATCCCGAGTCCTGGGACATGGACCGAAAGTACTCTGATCGACCTTGAATGATTAGAGGGCTCTCCGCCGTGAGAGGCGGTAGTCGGCTGACGCGATTTCCATCCTTGTTGGTCGTCTCTTGGAGCTGTCGAGCTAGCAGTCGGCTCTGCAGGGCAAAGGCATCCAGGGGAGAAAGCTCGGGGGGTGCTTCTCCGGCAACATGAAGCCGTGGTGATCGAAGAGGCCGAGAAGAAGAAGAGGCAGCAGAGTTGGCGGAGTGGGATCGCAAGTCCAACAAGGACGGGCGATTGGTGAGGGAGGAGTCTTTCATGTTGTTTGAAGCCCAAATCCAGCCGGGTGGTGGTGAATGATAGCAGCCAAGGCGCAAGCGCTGGGTGCTAAACAGGGTAAATAAATAATACAAGCAGGCTCCAAAACGGTATCATCAAAGGCCGGGTGGGACGCGCAGGATGCCAAAATAGCAAAGCAAGCGAGAGAGCAACCGAGGCGATTAGCTGGCTGGTTGGGCGCGAGATAGTCGAGAGGTCGTCGTCGTTGATGCTATTGCGGTTGTGATCGCTGCGTAATGAATGCGCTGGCGCAGCTGCGGTTGCAGGCCTAGGTGCAGATGGAGGTGCAGGTTGTCGTGGCAGTGCGGCGATGATGTTCGGATGACCAGAGAGAGGAGCGAAGGGTATCCAAGGTGGAGGCGTCTGTCGGGGTCGGGCAACGGGTGGCACGATGGATCCGAGATAAGTAAGGAACAGGAACAGGGACAAAAGAGAGGAACACGAAGAGAAGGCGCCAAGGACGGACTGGGGTGAGTTGAAAGGGCGAATCGAAGACGGGGCGAGAAGCAGATGCGCGATATCAAAGGCCGCCGCAAGTGGGCAGCGAGGCGTTGAAGGTCGAGCGGCAAAAGTGAGGTGCAAAAGTAGAGATACGGAGCACAGAAATACGGAGCCACGGAAGTACCTGGGTGTTGCACTGGACAACGTGCGTCTGCCGGCCACACGAGGGGTTTGCAAAAGTCGCGGGGGGAGAAGAGAAGAAGAAAAGGGAACAAGAGAGCGGAGAAGAGAAGAGGAGGTAGAGAGAATAGAAGTGAAGTCAAGTGAAGTGAAGAGAAGAGAGAAGAGAAGAGGAGCGGCAATGGCCTCGCGACAAACGAATGGCTCAAAACGCAACAAGGTGGAAGCAGAAGCAGAAAGCAAGAAGCAAAGAAGCAAGAAGCAGAATGAGAAGCACGGCAATGAGGCCTGCACAGAAACCCGTTGGCGGCAAGTTCAGCGCTTCTCTTCTGCTTTGCCTGTCTGATCCGATGGGACGGAGAAAGGAGGAGGAATACAATACAAAGATGGTGGATGGATACGAGGCACCGCAGCAAAAGGAGGTTAGGAGGCCAGTGGCGCCCCGTAGCTGCGGCTGGCGGCCGGGTACTCTGTACTTGGGCGCGTGGCCAGATGGCAGTGGGCAGGCCAGGTACTGGGCACGGCGGGAGCAGAGCGCTCGACCTAACCCAAGGTGGTGGCTTGTCCTTTAGACTTCAAGGTACAAAAGGCTAATCTCATCTAATAACATCAATGATCCATCAAGTTCGAGCACGTACAGTGCAGTGCAGTACGAGTTGCATGCAAGCCCCGGCGGAAATGCCTATTTCTGCCATACACTTAAATGCACGGTATATTACGAGTAGTATTCTAGTATTTATTTTCCGGTCGAGGTGCAAGGACATTTGCTTACAGGCCGTACAGTACGAACGAAGTGCTATACAATGAAAGATCCATGCTAATACGGATGATAGTCTGTATAGGTAGACGATAGTATCCATGTTTTACGATCTCGAGAAGATCCATAGCTATAGTACAGAAGCATCAACCCGTCATCAATACGAAGCACAGCATCATAGATTAGAAAGAGTACGAAGAAAAAAAAACACAGAGGTGCGTCCGAAAATCTCCAAGACATGGATGCCACTGCGGAACCAACCCTGGCTCGTGTGGCTTAAAGGTAGGTTTAGTAGCACCAAGGTAATCTCGGGCAATCTCCCCAGCACGTCGTGGCCCCTTCAGCGCATCAAAGTACTCACATGGCCTGCAAGTCATCAGACTCCATGTCTCTTCTTGTCTTGTCTTGTCTCGCTACAGACGGCTCATCAATGTGATTTCGCTCGTACGAGCACTCGCCATCAATGCCCTTAGGTGCTGCTCAGTAAGATGTTACTGTCTGCTATAGGTACACGTAGGTACCTCAGTACCTATCTTGCTATTAGCACCAATGCTGCTCGTACAACGGAGATGTCATCAGCCAAACTACATCCTCATGCAGTACCAGCAACAGTCTGGTTGAAGCCAATTGATGGAAACTCAATCAACCTCAATTCATTCGAGCTGCAGTGCACATGCATGCGCCCGTGCCCATGCTACCCTCCCGTCCACGACCATGTATCTATACTCCAAAACACCCTCCGATCCAGCAACAACCACGGGCACCGCTACTGATCCCACAGAGCACTGTGTACAGGTACTTTGTGGTTCAGCAAGGCCACTTGGAGCGAGTTCAGGGACCCTTGCCATATCATTGGGCGCACTGGCGACAGCCATCGTCTGGGGTGCATTGGGCTCAACAAATTGAGAAGAGCGACGGGCCCTTTTTTTTCTGGGGCACTTGGGCCAGTCAAGGTCAAGTACCTGGTACTTTGGACGGAGCCCTTCATTATTTTCAAACAGTGGCTAGAGAGGCTAAACCGGCCAATCCTTATTTCCTGCGTGCAAACAAAGATGGTGATTTGCTAATAGATTTACCGTATATACACCACTTGGATTTTCACTTTTTTACTACTTTGTTTTTTACGAGCATTATTGCGGAGCATTGTATCTATCTTTGCATCCATCTGATCAATAGTATACCATATGATTCATTTTTACATCAATAGTATTCTATTACTAGTAGCAGCAACAGCAGATAGGTAGACTGATTACGCAACAACTCAGCTGCGCCGTCTTCGTGGCAAAAGGATGTGTATGCAGCATGAGCATCTCGCGTGTAATCGAGCTATAAATACACAATTCTACGGTCCCATGCTCCACACTATCGGTTTTCTATACACGTCCATATGTAATTACGCCTGGTAACCGAGTCAGTCCATATGCCAGCAAGGGGTGCAAAGAGAAAAAGAAAAAGAAAGAAAAAAGTCTATTGAGCAGATTGCATCAGACGCCGCTTAAGCTTGGCCCATCCATGTTGCTATAATTGAAATTGGACAGCCTGCCACTAACGATGTCATGCAGCTTCGTTTTCCCTCCACCCATGTGCGAGTACGTGTATTACTCTACTCGTACCTACGCTGCACATGCACACTTTGCTGCTCTAGCACCGATATTATCTATATTAATATCGTTTCCGTGAGTCGAGTCGAGGCTCGGTCGCACAGTGATGGGGGATGTGATGTCGGCAGTGCATGCACGATTTCGGTCAATTCTGCTACCTGACGCAAGGGGGTTCCATCTCTTCATCTCCTTCAATTCCAGCGAAAGCCCCGACAAAGGCATCATATGCAATGCCAAGTTTGGTCGCCCAATCAACCAAAGCTGCAGGCCTAAAAATGAACAAAGGAAGAAAAGACCGAGGAAACAAAACAAAACAGGTGGGTTTTTCCTGCATGCATTGGGCCACATGAGCCATGTACAGTAGAGACAGAGACAGATGAGCAGATTTGGGCTCAGACTCCGCCACGGCAACGAGTGAAACAGCGGTGGTGCAAATGCCAAAACACAGGGCGCCGCATATGAGTTGATTCTGAGACGACGCAGGGCAGAAGGTGATGCCAATGCAATGCCTTGCTTAGCGCTATGGAGCAGGCTGCTAATAACAGCTCCAGCTCGTAAAATCATCCGCAGGCTTCGTCTACGTCAATCAATGAGCATTGACGATACTGCCAGCAGTAAGCTGGTCTGGTCAATGTTGATGGTCACGAGGCCACAGCCGGGTCCCGAGAGTTTTGCTGGCGCTATTATTACTCCCGTCGTCTTTCTGCTAGATTGGCGGAAGAGCCCGCCCTGGATCTATTTATATCAATATTCCATAAGCTAAAACTCCGTACCTAGTAGTGCCTGGATTTACGGAGTACAGTCGGGGCTATTTGCCGTCTATCGATAATGCTCTGCGTCGCAGCCAACTTCATGTTACTCGGTTTGTATTTATCTCAGGTTCGTATAAACAAGATCCGCATTTCGCATCGTTGACTGAAAAATGTCTCTCATTCGTGCTCAAAGCTGTAGCAATCTATACAAAGCACTATGTACTAGGAAAGTCAACGCATCAAAACATTCAACAAAGTCGATGGTGGAGCCGTAAACACAGTTACAGTTGAAAGTGCTCATCACTGCCCTCAAGTCCAAGACCCATCTACCTATATACTGACAATGAACTTGACTCTTTTCCAAAAAAAAGAAAAGGAGAGGAAAAAATACATGTATATATGCCAGCCAAAACGCCCTGGTTCATACGCCTCAAAAGTCCATGCAAAGCATTCTACAGAGGGACGTTTCATACTCCTACTTACTTTTTATAGATCCTTGGCTCGGAGCTTCTTCAGCCTGGACGCACCCTCGAACAATCCACGATCAACAGCAGCGGCAACAGTCAAGGTACCTCCGACAATCGCGCAGAGTCCAGACAAGAAGCCAAGGAACGTCTTGGCCCGCTCCTCACGGTTAATGACCTTCATGGGAGAAATATCCTGGACACACATAATTAGCTTGCCATCTCTTACCAATTGTCTATGCACGGTAAACACTTACGTAGGAGAAAAAGACACCGGGGATACCATTCCTTGCGTGCAATCTTTCGGGGTGGCCTTCCTGTGCGTCGTCGCCGCCCATTAGACTTCGCTTGTGGCTGGTGACGGAATACTGGTGTGTTTCGATGCTGCCGTCAGCGTAGCCAGGAGTCCGCTTTTCCCAGCCCAGGGGGAGATACGACGTAGGAACAATCTTGACAAAGTACATGTAGTTAAAGTTGGGGTCGTTTGTGCTCTGGCGGGTTGCATCCAGAGGATTGAGGTGGTGGTTGGACCAAGTATTCTTCCCGGACATTCTCTCAACAACAGCAGTCGGAAGCTGGGGTCCAAATCGGAGAGAGTGAATGATGTGGGTGAAGTCGTGCGACTTGCCCTCAGGGAGGTCCCAGTAGTTCTTCAGATCGTGAACGTGCATGTTGCCGTTGCTAAAGCTTCGGCCAGGAGCAAGGTGGAAGTTTCCAACAACCTTGTTGACCTGCAGCAAACCCTCAATGCGGCAGCCCTCTTCCCTCTGCTGGTCCAATCGCTCAGCGTAGTGCTCTCTCTCGCACTGCTCCACGCCCTCACCCCTTCCAAAGGCCCACGAGGCCTGCGCATAGGCTTCTCGAACCTCGTCACAGGTGTTGCAGCAGCCAGGCTTCTGGGCGGTGGCGGGGGCATTGGCTCCGTAGCAGCCACCACAGTAGTTGGGATCCAAGTGTTCAGCCTTTTCATGCAGCTGAGCAGCGTTGCTCTCAATCTCGGCGCCGCCTTCAGCAGAGGGCCGCAGGCGAAACTTTGTGATTCCGTGGGCGACGCCGTGCTGCTGCTCGCCAGAGACATCCATGACGTCCAGCGTCAGCAATTCGCATGGCATGTTGGGGAAGGTCATGTTGAGATGGATGTCCATTCGCTCGCCTTAGTGATATCGCATTAGCCAAACCATACGGAGGCGACAATGACATGACATGACATACCTCTGCCTTTATCCACGACCAGCTCCGGGTGCACCACGATGCGCCGATAGTCGCTCCATTCTCCCCACGAGAGAAACACGACGACTAGCAGCGACACAATGGTGACGATTCCTCCGCTCGTCGTCCGGATCCGCGCCTCGTCCACCGTCTTGGTAAAGGCATCGAGCCTTGTGAATCGCGACTTGGGAGCCATGGATAGTCAAGTTTGGCCAACGAGATGCAGCAGCACTACTCGTATTCCGTCAAAGCGCAGTCTCTTTAGCAGAGCTCGCAGAAACACAAGGCAAAACAGCACAGATCAATTCTCTCTCGTCAATTGCATCGATGGCCAGCAACCAGAACCATGGACGAGGATGGCGCACGAGCGGCTGACAAGAGCAAGAGCTGGAGGTTCCAGGTCAAATGTCTTGAGGCCACCTGTCGCAACACCTGAAGCTGACTACTGATTGTTCAGGGCAATCCTAGCACCAGCTAAACCCCGGGCTCAGGCGCCTAGACTCGCCGCAGGGCCCTGAACTAATGCGGGCTGTAGCGGCTGGTGGGGGCCGGCCGGCGAATCCTCGGCTGCTGGTTCCGTTGCCTATTCGGGTGCAGCGAATGGCCCGTATCAAACGGCTTAGGCTTTCTTGCAGAGCAGAGCAAAACGCGAAGCTCTCCCAGCTTTCACAATCTGATCTCGTCAATTTTATCTCGTCCGCCAGCCACAGATACCCATTCGCACCTCGTTCGATCTTGTCGCGCATCCTCATTTGTCAATTGATAGCTTCCGGGCGGTGAAAAACGCATTATCGAAAGGGAGAAGAAGAAAGCAAAGCGCACCTGCTATTCGGAGCTGCACAATCATCTCCAAGACGCTACAGACAAGCATCGTCCAAGCCTTTCCCAAATTTTCAAACCCTCCAAAATGTCGAGTAGGCCTCCTTCGAGGGTCGTGTTTGTGGGAAACATTCCATATGGTCAGTTGCAGATGGGTCAATGGGCTTGGCTGATGCGCCCATCCGGACGAAGCATGTGCATGTGACTGACAGCAAGATTCGATTCCAGGCCTCTCCGAGGAGCAGATCACAGACATCTTCAGTAGCGCCGGCAAGGTAGAGCGCTTCCGCCTCGTCTACGATTCGGAAACCGGACGGCCAAAGGGATTCGGCTTCGCAGACTATCCCGATACTGGTACGATATGACATCGCTGGGCTTTCTCCGTAGCATGTTGGCTAACCATGCTCTCTCGCAGACTCGGCTTCCTCAGCTGTCCGCAACCTTAACGAATATGAAATCATGGGTCGAAAACTCCGAGTCGATTTTTCCAACGAGCAAAAGAGCGGCGATGATGATGGCCAGGTATGTTGCGACGCTCTCTATAGAATCTAGCCTTTGCTGACCCCAGCAGACGCCTGGACAAAACACTGGCGCCTCAAACGGAGGTGCTGCTTCAAACTATAGCTCCCAATCAACACCACTTCCTCCGCTCCCAGCCGGAAAGGAGATACCTCCAGGATTGACCTGCACCGATGCCATTTCAAGAACTCTCAATACCTTACCGCCGCCACAACTGTTGGACATCTTAAGCCAGATGAAGACACTGGCTACAACAGAGCCTCAACGGGCAACAGAACTACTTCAACAGGCCCCTCAGCTGGCTTATGCTGTCTTCCAATCGCTTCTCCTGATGGGACTCGTGTCCCCCGAATCCATCCAGTCCGTCGTTGACCCGAACGCGCCGCCTCCCCAGCTTCCAACTGCCAACTTTCCGCCAGCAGGATTCCCCGGTGCTCCTGTCGCAAATCACACACCCCCCGTCACTGGGATGCCTTATGCGCCTCCTCCAGCGAATAACTCGGCTTATGCTCCTCCGGCAGCGGCACCTGCAGCAGCTCCTGCGGGTATGGCGCAGGACCCTGACGCTCTGATGCGAGCAGTCATGGAGCTCCCCCAGGCTCAGATTGACATGCTCCCAGAGGCAGATAGGCAGCAGATTATGGCGCTTAGGGCTACGTTTGCGGGTCAACGGCGATAATTCTGTTGGATGTAAAGCATTGCAGCCTTGATCAAGTCTCTACTTTGAGCATCATGGACAGCAGTCCACATGGCATGTACCTCAAGCAAAATCTGTGAGAAGAACTGGGGCACATGCAATATTGCACTTGATAGCCACTGATTAATTACCCTCCCACTACTGAGCGAAAGTGCATGCTCTAGGTGGGGATGTACAGTACACTTTGTCGCTTACGGGAATGTCGACTATTTGGCAAATAGTAAAGAAGCATGAGAACATTAGGAAGGGAAGAAGGGGCATACACAATTTATGATGCCCGGTGTTTACAATATGGGCTTCACATAGGAAGAAGCCAAAGGTGTGTTTTTTGAGTTGAGAAACTACACAGCATGCTCTGTTGCAACTCTTGCCAGCAATTATGTTGGCATGATGGGGTCTGAGGGGGGCGCTCAACCTTGTGCCATCGATTGGATCAACCAAAACAAGTCCCAAGTAAAATTACGGGATCAATAATAATTGCTATAATAATTTCCGCTCATGAGTTTTGTGTCGTGAAACTGTCGTAGTAACAAGAGTCTTTTCTTGTGAAAGGAAGTCTAATCTACTCCATAAAATCTCACCCATCTCGCTACCCTAGACAGTCCAAGTTTTGACCGTATTTACCTGGCAAATTGCATGTTTTGATTCAAAAACAGTAAAGGATGCATTGTTTATGTTGAGAGGACAATTGGAAAAATGAATTGATAATAATATGAGGGTGAAATAGGAATAAGAGTGTTAATTGTATGTTCTGGAGGGTAATATAAGAGCGGTGGTTACTATAGATACAACACGGTACAATGCAACCTCTGGGAAGTAATGCACAAAAGGAAGAAACCGCAACAAGAGGAATCATGGCAAGAAGAATAACTTCACCTCTATTTAAGAGCCAATATAGAGAGTAACTAAAATGATACTTGATATAAGGTATGCTAAAGCTCGTGCTTTTACCTGCTAAAAGCAAAATCGTCCGCTGTACGGTACGAGCACAAAATGATTCCCTTCCATATCCTGTTCTATGCGATATGCCATTTAATTCTGATCCAACAGGATGTCAAGTTCCAAAAGAAAAAAAAAAGATAAAAAAAAGAAAATACACGCCTAGCAACGCCTTAAATCCAATTCGCCCCGTTGAATACACGTTTCAAACAATATTATATACTCGCTTCGCGATCCAATAGCACGCCAAGCCGAAGAAGAGCAGCCCTGCCGTGATGCACACGAACCAGGTGAGGTCGCCCTCGATGTCTTGCCCCGGTACCCAGACGTTCATGCCCCATAGACCGGTGATGATGTTCATGGGCAGCACAATGGTTCCCAGGACGGTGAGCTTGCCGAGCACGTCGGCGGTTTGCTCTTGTCGTTCGTTCATCCGGATGTTGATCTGCGCTAGATAGTTGCCGTGGGATCGAGCCAATATCCTGGAATAAAGGTTAGCTGCCTGGACAAATGGTGAAATCACCAAAAAATGGTTTGGGAAACTATGTACTTCTCATAGTGACTAAGGTTGGAAGTCATAGTCACAATATGATCTTGAATATCGCCAAGATACAGGCCAATTTCTGACCTGGGAGCAACCTCCCACCTCTCGTTGCAGCGCTTTGCGAACCCCTTGATAACATCCGCCTTGTTGCCTAGTAATCGGTATAGACTCATGACTCGTTTTCGACAATCTCCAACACGTCGGAGCATGTCGCCACTGGAATCTTCAATTGTTATGTTGTCATCGAATTTGGTAGATTTTTCATCCTGCAGTCGTTTATCAGAGGACGTATGGAGTTGCAGAATAGAGTCGTCGATTTCGTCAACTTCGTCCTCAATATTCTGGATGAGAGGCTGGAAAACATCGGTAATATCGTCAATGATGGCGTATGAGATCCAGTCAGAGGAGAGAATCAAGTAATCCCTCAGCTGTCGTATTCGTCGGCGAACGTTGGCGGGATGTGGCGTGACGGAAAAGTGAAAGCTCAACACTCCCTCCCGGAAGACAATCACATACATGTTGACGGGCTCCAGGAAGTTTTCGCTGTTGATATCCTGATCAAAAGTGCGGTAGTTGACAAAGTAGTAATGGCGAAACAGCTCGACCTTTTCACGGGCTTCTTGCAGCATCACGTCTTCGGCCGTCAGAGGATGGATCCCAAATGCCTTTGCCAGGACCTTCATCTCATCTTCTGTTGGGCAGAGTATGTCGAGCCACCAGACTGGTCTCTCTCCATATCGAACCGGCTTCTCCGCTACTTTTGGTACGCTTGTGTGGTTGTCTTTTGGTCCAAGATTCTCAGGTGACTTGTTTCCGCCACGAATCGAGGCGGATCTCGAGCTGGTATTCGTTTCGTCTCTCATTGGTGGCGACATGAAGCCGTCCCTTCTAGTATCCAGGGAAGGTTGCCGCGTTGGAGGTTTCGTGTCGGCCTCTAGCTCCCCCGAGTATCGTGGTTTGGATGGCTGCGATACGATATCCTCAGAGTCACTCTCTTCATCCGACGAGAGGATGCGTGGCTCGGGAATGAATAGTCCTTGGAAATCGCTTCCCTGCTGAACAAGCTCTGAAATAGACTGACTGTGGATGGTGCTCTGGAATTCTTCGTTAAAATAGGTAAATCTGTAGGGCGCCTCTTCGTCGGTTTGGAACCAGCCCTTTCGCACCGGGCGTAGACGGCCGTTGATGAGCTGCGGCTCCGTAATCGTCTTGACTCGCCGCTCATCGCTGCGATCCTCCTTCTCATATCGCATCCAGTCCTCCAGAACAGACAGGTCTGGCCACCGACCACGGCGCCGGCGCGTTCTATACCGTCTCTCGTATCGGGAGGCGGTCTCATCGTCGCCAATATCAGACATGCCCGGTCCGGGGAAGCAAACGTCGCCGGAAGCTTCCGGAGCTAGTCTTCTGTCCTTGTCGCCACGGTCCGCCTCGGCGTCGGAAAGCGCCTCATCACCGCTTCCCATGGTGAGCTCATCTCGGATCATGACATCGCCAAAGTTTAGATCCATGCCATCTGTCGGACCAAAGGTAGGGGAGCCGGGGATGGACGGCGGATGGTTGATATCGTACTTGTCCTTTGTGCTGTATGCGGTCCTCAACCTCGCTCTGGAAGACGCACTGGACGCTCTTCGACTTCGATTTCGGCCCAGTCGCGCATCGCTCGTGCCATAGCTCGGGACGCCCGTCTGCGATCCCGGGCGCCGTGCCGGCTCTGTAAGTAGCGGCGAAGATTCATCCCAGCGGCCAGAGGGGCTTTCGTCGCCGCTCTGGGCCGTCTGCATCGACCGGAGGCGGGTGGCGCTGATGGACGAGAAGGGATTCTGAAAGGAGCCGGGCCCGGCTATCGTCGACGACCGGCGCACACGCATCGGTTGCTGTTCTCTGCAGGAGGAGAAGAAGACAAGAGGTTACAAGTCATGCCAGGCAACAAAGGGGGACGAGCATGTAGCTCGTGATCACGAGGTCTTACCTGTGATCCAGTAGCGCTTCGCTGTCGATGCTCGTGCCGCTGAGGCTGGCCTGCGCCACCTGGTAGAATCCATTCCCCGACGACTCGCCCAGCTCGTGGTCGTGCAGCATGGCGAAGCTCTTTCGCCTGGACCGTTTCTTCTTGCCGCCGCGATGGCCCTTTCTCTTCTTGGGCGGCCGCTGCGGCTGCGATGGTTCGGCCATGGCTGACGATGCAGCTGCTGAGGGCGAATGGCCCAGGGGGTTGAAGCGGTTGCTGCTCGACATCTTCAGCAGCTTCTTTCAGGACGTGCAAGGCACCATGATCCTCTGCATAGCCTGCGCCAGGGGTCGGTGATAGCAGTAATACTCGTAATAATGGTAATCGCAAATTGATGGCATGAATAGGGGGGCCAGAAGCCGTCAAACTGCTCTGTCCAGGGTTGTTGTGCCCTGCCGAGGAATCGTCGATGAGCAGACATGCACATAGTGATGTCAGCACAGCTGAAAGAGCCCTGCCCGGTTTTTTACACTGGAAGTTAATTAGCGGCTGGGGAGAGCTTTAGCGGGGGGAGATTCCGTTAGCGCATGCCCGACCACTTGATTGTGCACGTTTGTGTGTGCTGGCCGGAGGTACTTGTCCTGAGATAAGGTTTTGCGTGCCACATCTGCCGTCTCCACTAACAGCTCAGCAAGGAATGGAGTATCTTTGTCGTTGCTTTCTCCGCCCGACGATCCGTGGATCTTCCCTACCTGTACCGGGTGCCTGTCTGTACGAGTCACTTGTAAAAGCGGGTTGGATATAAACACCGAATAAAATGTTTTAGATGAGTAAATAAATCTTCAATAATTGAGCTCTCTTTTCCCTTTTCCCAACCCGGGCCAATGATTATTCTCCGATGCTAATATGCACATGTCAAGTGACAGAGGTGCCGGTCAAAACGCACGCACTACTGCACATTACCCTGGTCTCCTTATGCAGCCGCCACACCCTTTGCTGGCTCTCCAAAGTCCCACAGCTTCACCAGGAGACTGTCTGGATTAGCGGCAGGTTCGTCTTGGGGCAAGAAAACTCTCTTGGGGATCTGGAATTCCACCACCGGGGCCTTTTTGATATCCTTTGCCATCTCTGCGTCCAGCAACTGTGATATGTGTTAGTGAATGTCTCAACCCGCCCACTGACAGAAGGACCGTCGATTTGTACTTACACTGGCGTATGAGTGATCGAGAAAGTCTTCCATGTTGTACGACTGCTTGGTGAACTGCTCAGAAATGATCTTGGCAATCGTTGCAACGTTGGGGTGATAGTGTGACTGCAGCTGAACAATCTCCCACAAGCAGCTGTCGATGGCGCCGGTATCCATGGGATCCGTCTCGGTGGCGTTGAATGGGTCTTCTGCGCCGTTGTTCTGAATGTGCTTCTTCAGCTCCGGATCCTGAACATCTCGATGGATCATGAATGTGCACGTCGGGTGGCGCCTCAGGAGGTTATAAGCCCAAGGAACCACCGTCGCAATGGCACTTGGTGGGGCATTTAATGAGAGTCGTGAAAGCCTCTTAATAAAGCTGGCGACCAGAGCAGCAGGAAGATGCGTTGAGCCAAGGAACGTATCCAAGAGGCGGAAGAAGCGTGAGCGGTGCTTGGAGTGAAGGATATCTTTGTCAAGAAGAGAGTAAAGCTTGGTGTAAAATGATGGGTAGTCTAGGTTTCGCTCCTGGATGAGGTAAAAGACGCCGGACAAGGCCAACAGGGACATAGAGCCGCCAGTGTTGTAGCAGCTCGTCAGGAAGTCGGATAGAAGCTCTGGCTTTGTGAACCATGGAGCAATGTTTGTGGATATGACGCTGAGGATACGTTTACGCTCGTCTTTGCTCTGCACAATACTTAGAATGGCTAGCCATGCGTCCTGTCCTTGCCGCTTGTGCTGAATGGCTGATCTCAAATCGTGAGACTTCTTCTTAGGACGTGGGATGTAAAAGTCCTCGAGCTCCTCGGCGCTTTGGGGGACGCCGTCCAAGGCAGACAACAAAGCATACACTTGGTCGAACAAGTTGTCTGGAATATCATCTTTGTCCAGTCGGTTCAAGATTGCCCTGAGCGCTGGTAAGCATCATACTGTAGGCCAAGATTGTTACTCTAGAAGGCACTTACTTTACTGATTTGAAGGTGTAGTATCGGATATCATCATACTCTTCCACATAGGACTCGAGAAACGCTTTTCTCGCATCCTCGTTATCTGATGTGATCAAAACTGCAACGATGTTCTCCAGAAAAGCCTGTGGAAATGTGTATTCTTCCTTGTCGTAGAGATGTTCTCCTTCTGCCTTCAGAGTCCTCATGCAGAGAGTAAGCGCAGTCACAGCAAGGTCTTCATCTCCTAGCATGTTCTGCAACAGCGTCTTGTACTGAGAAAACTGATCCTTCAGCCAGCCAACGACCACGGAATCCTTCTCTGACAAGCCCTTCTTTGCAATGAGGGAGCCTTGGGCCAGCAATCGTAGAAAAATTCGGCACAGAGTCACAGCGGCAAGCGTTGACTCGTCCTCTCCATCCTCGTAGCGACTGGCGATGCTCAGAAGAGTTGCAATATCGTTGTAGTTTTTCTTGGACTCCAGGATGCCCTGCTCCATGAGGAGAATCTTTGCGTTTGGGTCTTCGGCCTCTTCATTTGAAGATCGCCGCCTCTTGGTGACTTTGGTGACTTTGTCTCCCGTGGAAGTCCTTTTGCGCTTCGCGCTGTCTTTAGAGCCGGCAGGCATGATGAGATGTGGAAAAAAAGAAAAGAAAGAAATCTCTGTACAGGTTGAACAGTCTAACAATGTTGTATGCGAGAAAAAGTAAGACGGTGAATCAGTCTATGAAGCTTTTGAACAACTGCCGCAATTAGTTTGGCAAGACTTCTCTGTCAATTGGGCCTTTGATATGAGAGACACAAGAAATTCTTATCTCATGAAAAGATAATTTCAAGATTTCACTGAAGCCTTGCCGTTTCTGGCCAATGAGCGGACGGGCCTTTTCCGCGCCAAGGCAAAGTTCCCGCACTCACTCGGGAGAAACTCGGCTACGCTACAAATCGATTGCTCAACCACCAAAACTCGGCCATCACGTGACGCAAACGTGTTACCGAACTAGCGCGATAAAACCTCAAACCTCATTCCCAGCTCCCGATATCAACGACAAGGCCGAGATACCCCGTCCGAAACGTTCTCACAATGGCGTCCCGCTTGGTACGAAGCGCTGTCGGTATGTGTTGGCAGAGAGACGGAAACCCGCTGATATACGGCGGCTCAATCGCCAATTGGTGCGCCGAGACGCTGACAATGAGAGCAATTTAAAACTACAGGCGCATCTCCCCTCCTCCGAACCACCATCTCCCGATCCGCCCCGGCGATTTCTGCCGCCGCCGTGCGATACTCGAGCAACGTGCCCGCCGAGGAGCCCAAGAAGAAGGCCCAGAGCATCATCGACGCCCTTCCCGGCAGCAGCCTCATCAGCAAGACCGCCTTCCTCAGCGGTGCCGCCGGCCTCAGCGTCTATGCCCTCAGCAATGAGTACTACGTCATGAACGAGGAGACGGTTGTTGCCGTGTGCTTGCTGGCCGTCTGGACTGGTCTGCTCAAGTACGGCGGCCCTGCCTACAAGGAGTGGGCCGAGGCTCAGAACGAGAAGATCAAGAACATCCTCAACAGCGCCCGAGCCGACCACACCGAGGCCGTCAAGACCCGCATTGAGGACGTCAAGCAGATGAGCGGCGTTGTCGACATCACCAAGGCCCTCTTTGAGGTCTCCAAGGTAAATATGCGATTTTTGAAACCGAGCCTGGCGAAGAGCCATGTTATGCGACCAAGATGTTGATTCGCTATATAGGAGACTGCCAAGCTTGAGGCTGAGGCTTTCGAGCTCGAGCAGCAGACCGCCCTGGCTGCCGAGGCCAAGACCGTCCTCGACTCCTGGGTCCGCTACGAGGGCCAGGTCAAGCAGCGCCAGCAGCAGGAGCTGGCCGCCTCCATCATCGCCAAGGTCCAGAAGGAGCTCGAGAACCCCAAGGTTCTGCAGCAGATTCTGCAGCAGAGCGTAGCTGATATCGAGAGTACGTTCAACGCTAACCACCTGCTATCTAAGCTTTTGTTTTGCGGAAGAAACTGACGTTTTCAACAGAGATTGTTTCAGCCAAGCAGTAGAGGACGAAACGAAAACTACTAGAGTCTTAGATTTCAAGGTCCCCCGCAAACTTTCCTTTGTCATCGAAGCAAAAAAACCCCCCCTGTGCATATAACACGCACCTGTGCATTAGCCAAATCAATCAAGACACTAGTCGATATTTATTTTCGTCACCGAAAGATGATTTTGACTGAGATGATGAAGTGCATGCTTGTCCTAGTTGCGTTGCTAGGCGTTTAAGAGGAAGAAGGGGGGGATTGCGGGTGTAAATTATATACTCTGTATTTTTGGAAGATAGGGGGTTGGCAGTTTCGAGTGAATAATAAAAAAAAGCTTTCTACATATGCTGAGAAATATCCCCCTCCCTAATGAAGAAGTTGGTAGGGCCGGCATTTATTAATCTTCTCGGTGATGAGAACGGGCATAATCTCAAGCTGCTGCTTGTTTATTCCATTGATGTTATTCAAACTAATACAACTAACCCTACCTAGCAGTTGATCATATCTACCTACTGACCCAGATACCCTGCCCAATCCCACCAGTGAATAAACACATGCGCACATTTATAAACATAAGGTGACAATTGATAATAAATACAGCGGTTGGACAAAAAAAACTCCCATCATCCGACCTGAAAAGCACCAGTTCGTTCTCGCGAACAGGTAAAAAAACCCATCAATAAAAAATAAAAATAAAATGAAATGAAACCCATCACCCTCATTAGTAAATCACCCTTGACTCAGTCCACTTCTTGCCCTCTGCTGCTGTAGCTGGCTTCGATTCAGGTGAATCAGCAGCAACCGGATCTCGCGTCCACCGACCGCTCATCCGTCTTCTCCGGGCTCCCTCGCCCTTGATAGGCCCGATCCACTCCCACGCTCGACCAACCTCACCACTCCGGCCCTCTCGCTGGCCTGTGCGAACATTGCTGTTCAGCTCCACGACCTTCTTCACCCTCTGCCAGATCCTCTCGCGCTCAGCCACTTTATGCACCGACCGAAGCACGTCGTCTCTCAAGTTGGGTAGAAACAACCAAGCGTCGTCCAAGTCCTCCGCGCCCAGCTCCTTCTGGTTGGCCAGCCGTTCCAGGACGAGGTCAACAAGCGCCGGGACCTGCGCCGAATCCACCAGGTGCTGGCGGTATCGAGCCCGCAGGTAAAAGACTGCCAGCACGACGGACATTAAAAGTCCAATTGGGAGTCGATATCTTGCCAGTCCGAGGCGGACGGAGCGCTTGAGCGCGCAGGTGATCGGAAGGCGAGAGAGAGAGCTGGACGATAGCTTGCGGATTGAAATATCGGGGGAACCGGGCGATCTGTGGGATCAGGAGCGGATCTGATTAGTTGTTTGTGTCAGAAAGAAGAGAGATTGAAAATTGGGGAAGGGGACATGGGGTTGAAGCCGTAGCATCAAGGGAGTGCCCCATTGAGAGAAGAAAGATTCTAAAACTTACGTGGTTGTTGCAATCTCCACAATCACTTCCTCGCGAGTGGTGATTTCGCCAATGGCAGCCACCCAGAGATCTTCAAACTCATCGCTGTTCAGCCGCTTGTTGCGCTTCCTGCTCACAGTCGACTTGAGCTCTTCCTCGGCGATGGCAGGAGAGTCAACCTTTGTGCCAGACTCATCGACCAATTCGCCGCATTCAAACTTGGCGCGTCGTTGTCTCAGCTCCTCAATGGCCCTGTCGGCAACTGCTTGGACTCGGCGTGCCTTTTCTCCGTCAGGCTCACAAGTCGGGGGCAATGGGACGAGGCCGCCGAAAGACAGGGGGTGGGGCTTGAGGACAAAGTCGCTGTGGCAGCGGACAGAAAAGTCCTCGTAGCAGTAAGCGTGCGGAGGGCATGGCTCGCACTGAGGCTCCACGAATGGGATGATGGCGTCCGGCACAGGAACGTCGTCGGGGATGATTTGTGTTGCAGGCCGGCCAAGCCCGCAGTAGCCAACGGCAATCTTTTCTTGTCGGTACCAGGCTAGATAGACGCCGAGTAGAGACACAAACAGCACAAAGAATGGCGTCTTGAGATTTGTCTTGCGGGTGGGCTTTGAGTGTCTCCTAGGCACAATGGTGGCCTCTCCCCTCCTGGCTGCCTCCTCTAGCTCCAACTGTGCGTCGGGAGTGAATTCTTCGCCAGCATCCACTGAGAAATCTGGTGACTGGTGTCTCGGCTTACGAGCAGACAGTTCGTGCGATCGCGCAACAGCGGATGGTCTTTCAATGGCCAGGGGTTCAATGAACTCTTCGGGGCGCCGTCGAGTGAGCTTTTCGCCTCTAGCGATATCGTCGCCCACTCGTCTTCGGCTCGGCGTCTTGAATGCGGGAGAGCCCCTCTGGAATGGGTTGTCGTCGCTAAAGACACTTTCTTCTTCCTCATATTGAGCAACAACAGATGGAGGAACCGCACTTTGGGGCGCATTGAAGTAGGGAGTAGAGGCGTATGGAGTAGCGTTAGCGGTAGCGAACGGAGTGTTTTTCTGGGTGAATGGAGAAGAGGTAGCGTAAAGGGTGCTCGATTGGGGCGTGGGCGCATAGTGAGAGGAAATGGGCGTCTCCTCCTCCTCCTCGGGCTCATCCTTGATTTTTGGCGTCGCTGCCCTCCGGGAACCAGAGCGGCGCGTTGGTTTGGGTGCCTCGTACTGCGGCGCATCTGCCTCATCCTCATCGTAGTGAGATGGCTGGCGGCTCACGGATCGGCTGACGGATCGCGACGTGCGCTTCGTTTTAGCCGGCGCCGGCGCTGGCTCATCCTCTTCTCGCTTGATTCTGCTCGAGGCCTTTCGAGGCGATGCTGATCGACGCGGCTTGGCCGTTGGCGTAGGCTCCAACCCATAGTCTTCCCATCTGCCATTATCTTCGGGGCTGCCCGCATTCACGATGCCTTGGCTTGATCGCTTCGCGCGAGCGCGTTGAGCGCGTAGCTTCGGGACCTGCGGCAGGATGTATTGCTCGACGAGCTCGACAAGCTGAGGCTTCTTGGCTGTTGCCGGATACTCGACGTTGTGCGTGACGAGAATCGAGCGCAGTCGCGGCACGGTGACGCTGCGCGGGTCGAAGCCGTCTTGGAGGTAATCTTCTGCGTCCGCCATGATTGTAGTGTTTCTCCCAACACGGTCCCAATTGGGATTTCTTCGGTTTGTAAAGGCGAAGAACGAACAGTATCTCTGTTCGGCGCAGAGTAAAAAAATCACCAAGTATTAACTTGTGTGAAGAAAAAAAAAAAAGAATTAGAGAATTGGAAGCGCAGAAGGAATGCGACGCAATTTCGCCCGTTTGTCTCGGAACTTGACAGCTAGCCCGAACGAAACCGCCACAGCGATCAAAACAAGTGACAAGGGGCCCCCAAATAAAAAGGTCCGGGGGTTCTCCAAATGTGAAACTAGCTTCCGGTCTCACCCCCCAGTTTCGAGAAATGAAAGGCGAAGCTTTGGGATTTTTCTGTGACGAGCTGCAGCTGCAATGACCAACGGTTCGTCTGGACGGATGATTGATAATTGTTTTGTAAAGAATAAAATTCTGCTGGCTGGCCGCTGTTGGCCGAAGTCTGCTTGTATGTGAGTTTCTGAGGCTGTAGTAGCGCCGTTGTCAGTGGCAACCTCTGGAGCCCTGGGAAGAAAAAAATATAAAAAATCCACCGCAGAAATTCTGTTGGGTCCAGGCCAGGCAGATGCCACATGGCTTGGGGGTCGGCTATCTGCCTGGACTTTAGAACTTTAGACTGCAAGTGGCGCGAGCACAGCCACAGCGGGTGCGCCACACCACACCCCGCCACAGCACAGCTGCCGTCATGCCATGTGCAGATGCAAATGCGGCTTCACGTATGATGGAGATGCCAAACTGTCGCATCTGCCATTGAAGGCTCGATTTTGCTGCCGCCTCGTTGCAATGGCGTCGAACAGGGTCCTGATGGCGAGCCCTCGCTTTATTTGTCGCAGCTGCTCTCGCCAGGCACGTGGCTCTGGCTCTTATCGGCGCTCCTATTCCACAGCTTCTTCGTCCCAGGACATTTACGATGTGGTTTGCATTGGAGGTGGCCCGGCTGGGCTGAGTCTCCTCACTGCGCTGCGTAAGAAATGACCGAGCAACTTACTATTAATGTTAATGTTTAAGAGCGATTATTAATGGATTTTGATCTTGATTATCTAGGCGCCAATCCTACCACATCTCGTCTCCGTGTCGCCCTAGTCGAAGCTCAAGACCTCTCCAAGACAGCTTCTCTCTCTCTACCACCAACACAATTCTCCAACCGATGTAGCTCCCTCACGCCCACAACAGCCCAGTTCCTCAACACCATCGGAGCATGGCCGCACATGAAGCGCAGTCGCATTCAAGAGTTTCACGAGATGCAGGTCTGGGACGGCGTAACGGATGCCCGCATCGAGTTTGACTATCAGCTCGGCTCTACGGCCAACCAAGGAAACGTCATTGCTTATATGGCGGAGAATATAAATATCACATCTGGCCTTTTGAAGAGAATTAATGAAATCGGCGGAGTGGATGTTTTCGACAGCTCAAGAGTTGAGAAGATTACGCTTGGAGAGGAAACCGAGGACTTGGATCTGAGAGAATGGCCCGTCGTGCATTTACAGGGCGGCAAGTCTCTGGCGGCTCGACTTCTTGTTGGAGCTGATGGCGCCAATAGCCCTGTTCGATCATTTGCGCGTATTGAGAGTCGGGGTTGGGACTATAACCGACATGGAGTTGTCGCAACGCTGGAGCTGGAAGGCGATGGATGGGGAGGCGAGTATCGCAAAACCGCGTATCAGCGATTTCTTCCAACTGGACCCGTTGCCATGCTTCCCCTACCTGGAAACCATGCGACGCTGGTCTGGTCAACGACGCCTGAGAATGCGTCGCTGCTGAAGAAGCTGTCTGCCAAGGACTTTATTGCGCTGGTCAACTCTGCGTTTCGACTTGGTCCCGTCGACTTGGCTTATATGCACCCTCAGGCCACTGGTCAGGAAGATGAGTTTGCCTGGCGGACCCAGCACACGCACTTTGACGCCGAAGCCATCCCTCAACTTGTTGTTGGCGTTCAAGAAGGAAGCATCGCATCGTTTCCCCTGAAATTCCGACATGCAGACACTTACATCGGTGAGCGTGTTGCTCTGGTCGGCGATGCGGCGCATACTGTCCACCCCCTTGCTGGACAGGGCTTAAATCAAGGACAGGGCGATATTCAGAGCTTGGTCAAGACCATCGAGTATGCCGTCGCTCATGGCCAAGACTTGGGAACGCAAATGTCGCTCGAGTCGTACAACAGCGAGAGATATGCGGCAAACCATGTATTGATGGGGGTGTGTGACAAGCTTCACAAGCTGTATTCTGTAGAGAGCGGTCCCCTGATTCCCCTGAGGTCGCTGGGCTTGAAGGCTGCCAATGCCCTCGGACCACTGAAGAGCTTTTTCATGGAGCAGGCTTCTGGTCGGGGAGTGAGGGTTTGAAACAAAGTTCTGCTTTGCAGCTGTTGTATAGAATAAGGCCACATCGCCAGAAAAGTATGTCCCCTTTCAAGAGAGGGAATAGCCCAATTGTATCAATACCACATCATCGCATAAATCGCGCATTCACTTCCATGCAAATGGCCATGGGGCATCGCCATATATGAACATGACAAAATTCTTGAGAGTATTTACGAAACTTCTCCCAGTCAGCTATGGCTACAGACAAAGAAAACGAAATTCTAATATTTTTGCCTTCCACCCCCTTAGTTTTACCTGTCAACCTCACCTGTACCAGCATGTTAGCAGTGAATTTCTCAATCATCAGACCCGTTCCATATGGATGATACGTACCAAACACAAGATCCATAGTACCGATTAAAGCGACCGCATCTGCCAGCAAGTGACCCTTGGCAACGTGGTCAAAGCCACCCAGGTGAGCAAAGCCAGGAGCACGGATGTGGCACCTGTAAGGGCGCTCACTGCCGTCACTGACCAGGAAGACTCCCATCTCGCCCTTGGGCGCCTCCATGACGGAGTAGGTCTCTCCGGGGGGAACGGCGTAACCCTTGGTGTAGAGCAGGAAGTGGTGGATCAGAGCCTCCATGTTCTCCTTCATGGCAGCTCGGGGAGGAGGAGCGATCTTGTAGTCCTCGACGCGGACGGGGCCGGCGGGCATCTGGTTCAGGCACTGGTGGATGATGCGCAGCGACTGTCTGAACTCCTCCATTCTGCACAGGTAACGGTCGTAGCAGTCGCCGTTGGTGCCGACGGGGACATCGAACTCGACCTTGTCGTAGGCATCATAGGGCTGGTTCTTGCGAATATCGTAAGGAATACCAGAGCCACGGAGCATGACACCACTGAAGGACAGGTTCAGAGCATCGGCGGCGGAGACGACACCAACACCTCTCAGACGCTCAATCCAGATACGGTTATCAGTAAGCATCTCCTCAGTCTCGTCGATGCGGTCTCCGAACTGGGTAGCCCACTGGTAGATGTCGTCTAGCAGTCCAATGGGGATATCCTGGTGGACACCTCCGGGACGAACGTAGGCTGCGTGGAAACGAGCACCAGAGACACGTTCATAGAATTCCTATCCGAGTATACAGCATTAGCCACACAAAACCGTCATAGTCTCATAAATTCTGCATCTGATTTGGAGTCGCATACCATGAGCTTCTCACGCTCCTCGAAACCCCACAGGAAGGGCGTCAGCGCACCAACGTCCATGGCGTGTGAGAGAACCGACATCAGGTGGTTCAGGATACGGGTAATCTCGGCAAACAGGGTTCGAATGTACTTGGCACGGTCGGGAATCTCAATGTTGAGAAGCTTCTCAACGGCAAGAGCAAAGCATTGCTCGTTGGTCATCATGGAGACGTAGTCCAGACGGTCAAAGTAAGGCAGAGCCTGAAGATAGGTCTTGTACTCGATCAACTTCTCGGTGCCTCGATGCAGCAAACCGACGTGGGGGTCGGCTCGGATGATTTCTTCACCGGAAAGCTCGAGGATCAATCGTAACACGCCGTGGGCGGCAGGGTGCTGGGGTCCGAAGTTGACAGTGTAGTGCCTGACTTTGCGATCCTCGACGCTGTTGTCGCGCGGCTTTTTGTCGGTGGTCGAGGGCTCGGACCTGGAGGGGTAGCCGTACACGTCGCCGGTCTGTTTGAAGTGCTCGTCGGTGGGAATCAGCCGCGTGCCGGTATGCTCGGGTGTCGCATATCTCCGGAACGCAGTTGATGAGAACGGGCGAGCGGCGAGAGATGTGGCAGGTCGCAGACATAGTCGGCTGGCACTCTGGCCAATGAGTCTGGGGAGGATGGCCATTGCGGAGGAGCGAAGCCCTGTCGGGAGAGCTGGAGATTAGGCGCTATGGACTAGGGAGGTGAAGGAATTCAATCCCCAGAAGAGCCTCTGCTAGCCCGAGATCAATGGCTGGTTAGACGGGTGATGCTCGCCTTGGAGTTGGTGATTTGAGAATCGGGGAAGCTTGCAGTTCCGTGATGGTGGGGCGCGGGATATCATTTTTGCGCCGCAGCTGGGGGAGCCAATCAGCGGGCCGCAATTGGCAAATGGCAATTTGGTTTGCCTCATAGACTTTTTATAGAGCCAGTGAAAATGGCGATCAACAAACCACAAACAAAGTGGTTATACTTGTCAAATATTTCGGGCTATTATGACTACAGAACTTAATTGATATAAATATCATACTTCTGTCGTCAAAGAAACATCGATCAATATTTTCAAGTGGACCTTCATCTCTGGTAGTATGTACATGTCCTGATTGGTCTCTTCCCAAGTATGACTCGGAACCTCTTCAATCTTCCCAGCTCTCTCCAACCAATTACTCGCAAAACACTATACCATTATATAAAAACCATTTTCAAAGAAATCACTTCAAATCGCTTCTCAACAGGCCGAATCGAACCTCATCCATTATCTCGCCATTCTTCTCAACAGCCCCTCTTCCCCTCCCCTCCAATTCGAAGCCGCACTTCTGTAGTAGCTTTTGGCTTGCAATATTACTCGCATATGCTTGCGCTTGTAGACGATACAATTTTGGCCATGTCTCAAACGCCCATCTTGAGAATGCGCTAAGCGCTTCAGTTCCATAGCCCTGACGCCATACTAACGGTGAGAGGTAATAGCCCAAGTCCCACGTTCTGTAGAGGATATCTTCCAAAGGACGAGTGCCAATGCCACCAACGAGGAGTGACTCTGTTGCCGAAGGATTGCATGGGCAGCCTGGCTTTATGAGTATTGCAGCGGCATGAGGGTAAACTGCGGAAGCATCGTCGTGAACGCTGCGTTTGATGAAAGCTTCGGCGTCGGCGGTAGTGTATGGGCTAGAGAAGCGGTCGCTCATGAAGCTGGCAACTTGGTCGTGATTTGCGGCCAATGCCAAGGCTGGAGCATCTGACATGAGGTATCGCCGTATAATGACCCTCTCAGTTTCGACTAGAATGGTGCCGGGCTCGGTGCTGGGAGGGCATGGCGATGGTAGGATTCTGTCCACCACTTTGCTTGGCATGGCGACGGCTTCAAAGGTAGATACCGGCTGTACCTGGAATTGCCTTGAAACAGATCGCAAAAGAGTAATAGTAGAAGTGAAAGTATTTGTTTCGAAATGGTAGAGTTTGCGCATTCAAATAGGGGGGCCGTTGAAGGATTGACTGGAGTGACTCACTACCTACTTAATGCTATCGGCGGCTCAGCCCAGTATGGTTAAGTGGCGTGTGACTCTTCATATTTCATAACACCAGCAATGGCAGTAAATAGTTATCGAATCGCTTATATTTACGCTCAAAGGGACATTTAGATGTTAACAAACTGGATGGTATGCAGATATTACTGCATCTACTTAGAGGTAACTTTTGGTTTCTGCATCTCTTCCAAGCCCAGGCTCAAGCATCTCAACAAACCCAATCTTCTGTATTAATTTGTCATTTTCCTGCTTTGTGAGATTTACCTCTATATTTTCTTCTTCAAAAGCCAAAACGTTGGAGGTACAACAAGCGTCCGACTTCGGACAAGTCATTGGGTTCGTCTATTGCAGGCTGATTCAACTATCTATCACAGGGTTGACTGTTGCCAGGGGAGTCTCTTGCACCACCGCCTCATTCTATATAAACCAACCTCGAAATTTCCCTGGTTCTCTATGAGTCATGAAGCAACACCTCAGGTATAGCCCCTTTCCAACATGTTACCATGTTCATCCTATAGAACGCCCCTATAGCAGAGAATGCGCCGGATTATTGCTGCCGCCTTCACCAGTGTCCGTATCACTCCCCAACGCAAATTCACTGCCGAATGCCAACATGTCATTCCAAAATGGATCGTCGAGATTGAGCACCGCGTTGTTCAAACTTGGAGTTTGTTGCATGACTTCATGCTGCGGCCGTTCTGATTGTGTCGCATCTCCCTCGCCCCAGACTTGCTCAAACATCAAATTAGGTTGTGATGGCTCATATGCTCTCCAAATATCCAGTTGATACTCTGAATTAGGGTACATGGTAGACGCGTTGGCTGTGCTCGCTGCTTCTTGACCCAGCTCCGGCACACCAGTCGTTCCCAGAAGCCCTTGTGCGGTCGGAAACCTTTCTCCCGGCCCGTCACTCCAGACTTGTCTGCTTACTGCTGAAGACGAAGGATAGAGATTTGAGTTGGATATGCTTTGGTAGTTATTCGAGGGGTTCTCCAAGGAAGATCTTGGCAAGTAGTCGAACACATCTGTCTGGTTCGAAAGTGTTCCTAACGTCTCGGGATGGCTTGACCACTGCTCGCCACTGTTCGCAGCAGGAAGCGCCTGTTGAACATCAATAGCCCGCTTCTTGCCCTTATCCTTTCGAGATTGGTCGTATTCACTCCTCAGTCTCCTCTTGGTTCTTCGGAACAGCAGATTGTCTCCATGACTCTGTGCCCACCACTCCGGATACTCTCTCGCAGCGTTTGCCCACTGCTGCATCGCCGTAAATGTTGAATGGAGAGTACTCCAGCAGCATGTGATACAACTCCGATACCGGCACCTCTGTCTTCGCACGACTCTCGGCACGGAACACCCGCATGTGCTGGTATTCCAGTTCCAACTCCAACTTCCGCTGCCGGCGGGGTGCTGGGTAAGGAGAGAATTGGCAATGACGAACGCCTCGCATGGTTCCACGATATACCACCCGATGGGCCGAATACAATGGATTTGGCAACAGTAGATCTCTTTTGCTCCGCACATTGGAGTCCTGCTGGCTGTCTCACGGTCTCGCGTTCGAGGTTGGTGAAAAAGAAATGTTGGATAGCTTCTCCTGTGGAAAATTGGTGCTGAGGAAAACTGAAATGAAAGCCTTCCTCAAGTGGTCTAGAAAGGTTAGCTATTGACGTCGAGGTAATCATGGTTCTACGTCAAAACAAAATTACCAAAAAATAACATGCCAAACGCTGTGCCGCGGCGGTGTTTGTAGGCAAACAAGCAAAGGCGCTGTTTGTCGTTCAGAGAAGCAGTTTTGAGTTCGGCACAAGAATTCGGTGCCTGTACACAGCCTGCACTGCCACATGGTTGCCAGCTGTGATTCATGCTGCGCTTTGACTTGCTCTTCTCCAGATGCTCAATGACCTTTACCAGCTTCTTGGAACATAATGCAGTGCATGTTACTGGCAGATAAGTAAAAGATCCATTCAAACAGTCATCACTCATTTGCACGAGGTTACAAAGGAAGACGTCTCGTATTCAAGCTTGTGAAACCTGTGAATCCCGTAGGTAGGTATCATAGGTGAGGTTAGTGAATTGACCAGAAAAGGATAACTTCCGCTGATTTAAGGATTGCGGAGGTAGAATATAGAGGCTCTATGCACAAGTGAATACGGGAAATAAAGGGAACTGGCCTTTTTAGCGCACGAGAGTCTATGTAACTTGGTATATCTTTTTATCATAACAGTATGCACCCATCATTGCACTATTAAAGCGAGTTGTTAAGTTAATCTTGTAATGTTATAACTGTATGTTCGAAACATGTGATATATGCCCTCAATGTATATGTATGGGGAAATACTGGCCAGCAACCCAAGTTAGCTACCTATACGGCACCTCAGCGAATGCATGAGGTTCGTATGTCGAAACACTTTCGGGCCCCGGTTTGCATCGAAGGCTTCTATAAAGCCGGAAGGAGACCAGTATTTACTACACAACTCAAAAACATCGCTCGGACGTAACATGAGAATCGACGCTAGAGTAATCACTCGTCTACAATACATTCATGTAGTATTCTAATCTTCTTTATGCAAGAAACTGTAATAATCTCTCTCCTCCACAATCTGCAACCCCTTTTCTGATTTTCGGAGCTTGAAGATGGACATGCCTCGGAGGGTGATATCCTCGCCTTCTTTGACGCCCATCTCGGGGTTATCCTTCTTGGAGGTAAATGTAAACCGGTACTCCCACCCAACTAAATCGTCAATATCTCCAAAAATGTTGAATGTTGTGGCCCTCATGTTGTGCACATTGGCATAGTAGTTGGCGCAATGGTTCAACCAGCCTTTTTTATCCAGACCAACGGTGTTGGGCATCACTGTTGTTGTGGAAACTTGTCAGCTTTCCTCTCCCTTGATATGACTGGGTTGATAAAGAAGTAAAGCATCGTGCATCAATAACGTATCATAATACTCACTGTAGTCAGAGAACACAACATCATCAGCGAAAAACTCGTCGAGTTTAACCGAGTCACCGCTACCGCTAAAGGCATTGGCGAATTCGGTGATGAATTCTTGGGCATTGGTGGCCTTGGACATTATGCCGAAAGACTCTCCGAGCCTGCTATGACTTCTTGAAACAATGAGAAAGAGCAAGCAATTTGCTAATGGATGTCGATAGCGACTCAGCCTTGACATTGTGCAGTCCTGCCCTTTTATGCACCTCAAGGTGTTGATCCCCGCTCCAGACCGGGTCAGGTGTATCTGTATCCATGTGTCATTACTTTAGGACAGTGCCTGCTAGATCCATGCCGGTAAGAAGACTACGCCCTTGTGATTGAATGGACACTTCGCTAGGGCAATAGACTGCTGCCTCATCTATACTCAGATGTGGGCAGGGATAGTTGACCATTTACGACTATACGAGAATGCCGTGAACAAGGATGTCCGCGTAGTAGGCGGGGGTGGTATATGCCGCACCGTTCTAAGCTTGTATCAGGAGAACCTTGATAGTAGTTTGGGGGTACTTTAAGCGTAATTTGAAGTGCCTTGAGGGAACTTTTGGGTTCTCATCAATTCAGAGGCAACACGATCGGCAAGAGGAGATTGTTACTACGGAGTATAGGACTTTATTTTATTAATCGGTTTTATCACCTGCATCTCGGACAATTCCACCCTTGGAAATCTCAATACATGCGAGATACCTGGCCCACTGGTGAGCACTAACACCCATGGGTTACTCAAGGTTGTCAGTCTGCTTTACTGGCCGGCATCCTTCTTGGAAACAAAGACAATCAAATCCACCACACGGCGACTATAACCGTATTCATTGTCATACCAACTCATGACCTTTACAAAATTCTTGTTCAAGGCTATTCCGGCCTTGGCATCAAAAGTTGATGAGTGAGGGTCAGTAAGCATGTCGGTAGACACGATATCGTCCTCAGTATACCCAAGGATACCTACTCGCAAGGATGTTATTAGCTTCAGTCCAAACAATTCCACAGAATAAGAGTTTCATACCCTTGAGAGGCCCCTCGGAAGCCTCTTTAATCGCAGCTTTCACTTCGTCATAAGTCACATCTTTCGCAAAGCGGACCGTGAAGTCGACAAGCGAAACATTGACGGTGGGAACTCGGACAGACATGCCCGTGACCTTGCCTGCCAACTCGGGAATGACCTTTCCAACAGCCTTTGCAGCTCCAGTGGAGCTAGGAATCAAATTCTGTGCGGCAGCACGACCGCCACGCCAATCCTTGGACGAAGGACCATCGACAGTCTTTTGACTCGCAGTGTAAGCGTGGATAGCGGTCATAAGACCCTCGACAATGGTAAATTTATCATTGAGTATCTTGGCCAGCGGCGCCAGACAATTAGTTGTGCAAGATGCGTTGGAGATGACATTGGCACCTGCGTAGGTGTCCTCGTTGACACCCATCACATACATGGGGGCATCGGCAGAGGGAGCAGAAATAATGACCTTCTTGGCGCCACCCTTGAAATGTGCACTGGCTTTCTCTATGGTAGTGAAAACACCAGTGGATTCGACGATGTACTCAGCGCCGCTGTCCTTCCAAGGGATATTGGCAGGGTCTTTTTCCTGGTAATATTTGATCCGCTTCCCGTCGATAACCAAGTCCTTGCCATCGACCTTGATGTCTCCTTTGAAGCGGCCGTGAGTGGAATCGTACTTGAACATGTATTCCTACAAAGGTGTAATGGTGGGATTAGCCTCAGCAGGTGCAAAATAAGAAGTCAGCTTCCTTACAGCGTAGTGAGGCTCAATGAAGGGATCGTTGAGTGCCACAACCTCAACATCGCCCGTCTCAAGGGCATTGCGAAGGACAACTCGACCGATTCGGCCGAAGCCGTTGATGCCAACCTTGGGAACCATTTTTACAAAAAGACAAAAGAAGCGTGAATTCTATAAGCAGCAATAATATCGCAATGCTTGAGGAAGATGAAACTGTAGGGGAAAGGATAACGAAAGATGAGAATAGAGAGGGGGACAGGACAGAACTTATAGAGTGAGATAAGAAGGGCAAACTCGATGGGAAGGCATCATGGATTGGCTCGTTCTTTCTAAAGAAGAATTCTGTAGTATCTCAGACGTATAATTGCGTCATATGCTTCTGACTGTTGGGTGTTGTTGCGACAATAGTATGGATATTAGCACGACTACATGTATACAATCCCATCACCAATCAGGCTCTCAACCAACGCTTCATATCCCAGTACCTAAACTGTATCTAATCTGTAGCACCTGGAGGAACCGGAGCAACATGAGATAGTCGACTGTCTGCAAGCATCGTCCGATGCTCGTTAACACCACCTCCGACGTGCAGTGGCGTGCAGTAGTGCGCGCTGCCATGTTGAGCGCTATTTGATCGTTGCAAGGGGCGGGATCTGATAGACAGGGGGTTGGTGGTACTAAAGTGGCGATAGCGTCTCCTGTCAGGGTTCCTCGAAATCCTTCCTCCAGTAGTATCCAGCCTGTTTTTTTAACATCTGCATGGATCTGTTTTGTCGCATCTATGTCCTACGATTTCGCGTGTAGATGGGTTATTTGCAACGTGCTTTTGTCCAATCAAAACTACCCGTGCTTCCTCCTAAGATTGCTATTGCCTCTCTGATGCCGTTGGTTCGTATCTAGCAACCTTCGAGAGGCAAATAGGATAATCGATACCGTGCTTATGACGATCCATTGGCATGACTGAACCTTTGTAGTGAGTTCATGGGTGTAGCCGGTATAATCACATTATGAGCTCATGGAAGAGGCGATTGGCAGGTCAAGCCCTGGTTCACCACTTAGGCTCAATTTGATACATTCAGCGGGATAGTAAGAAAGTGTAGTCTTCTTTCGCAATTTTTTTCTGGTCCCCTTCAATGAGCTTATAAAATTCCATATCTTCGCTCTCGCTTCTGCCCATCATGATATTTGGCAAACAAATGATACTATACTCAAGGAGATACATGAATCGTAAACCGAAGACATCAAGCTGCGTGATTCACAACAACTGTCATGCCACAATGGATATCACGCTCCGTCTTTCTAAGGCCATATAATGTAGATGTAAGGCTGTAAGTGATATTAGAACGTCATAACCATCGGCGGACTTTCGGATTATTTTTGCCACATACCTCCACAAAAGATTGCCCATCATGTTGTGTCTGCATCTAACGATGTATCTGTCTACTTCTCCGACCCACTGAGTCTCTCTCTGTGACAATTGCGAGAAGATCCGCGACTGCGGCATCAAACCGATTAATGTTCTTCTTGAGTTCTACACAGGTGTTCTGAGATGGTTTGGAACCTACATATACAGAGGAAATCTTCAGGTGCCATAGGCGAACCATGACGATAGTGAAATGAGGGAGTGAAGTGGATCTATAGTCTCTCGCTGTTAATGTATTCTATTGCTGTTAATTATGTCTAAGTCATTCATACTGAAGAATTACGATCAATCAAGAATATGTGGACTTGATCAATACCAATACAAAAAGTTCTTTAATTCAACTGGACCATGTAGCTGACAGTAATAATTTAATTAGGCGTATTCTATATAAATACGGGACTAAGCGCAATGGCACGACTCAACCTTGGCTGCATTAAGACGTCGGGCGGACTTGATCTAACATGTTGATGCAATATCAAGGGGAGGAGAGATGAATGATAGGGCGTCGCTCGACTAAGCCACATGCGATCCCTCTTTAGTCCTGAGACCGCCTCCATATATGCTGTGAGATTGTAAATCTGCTTGTAAGGGAACCTTGAAGAGTTATATGGATCACGAAATGGATCCCGGACTTTGAGTCTGCTGGCGCTTACCACTCTACTACTCGTGTCTAGGTACGCAATGGAAGGGCTGGAATTGCTAAGGCAAGTTACGCAAGCGGTTTGCAACTAAAGAACGAAGAAGAACAAGAAGTGAGTATAAACGAAAACTTTGTATAGGTGAGCAGAATACGACTCATGTGTGGATTGTCTGTTTCTGTACGGAGTATGCTTATTATTTCTCGATCCCTCTCTTTTGGCACACGCCTTGTCAGGCTTCCATGTCTATGTGCTGGCTATTAAGCGGGTCTTTGTTATCATTGCTGTACGACTCGACAAATTAATTACCATGACTCGTATGAGTTTGTTTCTATCTCTCTGAATAAATGCGCTTGACAGCCGTCTCTGTGAAGTTGCTAAATGTTGACTTTACCATTGAACATGTTCGACTCTGCAATTGAGTGCAATGGAACAGCTCAAAGCTCATCTAGGAAAGCCGACTCTGTCGACGGAGCAAAAGCTCTTGGTGTTGGTCGGTCTTCCTGTGTTATACATCGTAGGCCTAGCTGTTTACCGCCTCTACTTCCATCCGTTAGCCAAATTTCCAGGTCCTAAGCTGGCGGCAGCCACAAAATGGTACGAGTTTTACCACGATATCATTAAAGGACAGGGCGGCCAATACTTTGTGCGAGTGAGTGAGATGCACGATAAATATGGTAAGAATTCTTAAACACTACTTTTGTGTTATTCCTCGAGGGTAGCTAACTCGAAAACATGTAGGGCCTATTGTCAGAGTCAATCCTGATGAGATTCACATTCGTGACCCTTCTTTTCTCGATACCTTATATGCTACCAATCCTACAAAAAGGGACAAATATCCACCGTCTGCGGAGATGGCTGGTTTGACATATGGGAGTGAGTACATGTAGTAAGTGTTATTAACCTCAATTTGTCGCTGATAGACTTTTATGTAGCCCACGGCACTGTGGATCATGATATGCATCGTCGCAGACGAATGGCGAATTCTCGCATGTTCTCAAAGCGTGCTGTTGCAAGCGCCCAGGAGCTTATACATGGCCACATCAAAGAGCTTACTGAAGCCTTTGAGAGAAAGGTTGGCTCTTCCGAGTCTATTGAGATGCAGACCACCTTCCTTGCTTACACTACTGATGTCATCTATCATTACATGTTTAACAAGGATGTTGGCTTGCAAAAGGATTGGAGCAAAGCCCAAAGTTGGCGACACTCCATGGAAGCAGTAGCTCAAGCAACACCATTCTGCAAACAGTTTCCCTGGCTCAACGGAAAGCTCCTGATGTTACCCGAGTGGATCCTAAATATCCTTGTTGCAAAACTACAGCCTGATATTGCTGGTCTTCTCGCCACACACAAAGTTTGTTGAATGCACGCTCTTCTGTTTTTCTTGTGTCATCAAGAGTTCTAACCTGGAATCTTCATTAGCTGATGGGCAGAATTGCTGCCGAGTATGTTGCGCACAGGAATACAGACAAGGGCAAACTTGAGTTTGAAGAAGATGAGAAGAACATCAAGCCTTTGACTATCTTCCATTCCATCGATCGCAGCGCCCTACCCAAAGAAGAGAAGACGAGTCTTCGACTTATGCAAGAGGGTCTCACTGTGTTGTACGCTGGTGGCGAGACTGGCTCACGACTTCTGGCTCACACCATCTACCACTTGTTAGACAATCCTGAGATTTTGGAAAAGGTTCGGAAAGAGATCTTGGATGCTGCTGGAGATTCTAAAGAATTGCCTGACGTCAAAGTCCTTGAATCGTTGCCCTGGCTTGTAAGTCAAGACATTGAGTTTAGGCGATTTGACGAGACAATGGCTAATTGTTACTCCATAGACTGCATCAGTCCGTGAGTCGCTTCGTCTACGCGCCACTGTGAAATCAAGGCTTCCCCTTGTCTCCAAGAAGGAGTTGATATATAAGGATTGGGTGATTCCCGCCGGTGTGAGTGGCTCTTGTTATCAATAGAGTCGTACTCCATTAACTTTTCGACGACAGACGCCTGTTAGCATGAGCCAGCCAGACATTCTTCACAATGACGAGATATACCCTGAAGCTTTGAAGTTTAAGCCTGAGAGATGGTTTAATGCCACCGAGCAGCAAAACAAAATGTTCATTCCATTTGGCAAGGGTACTCGCATGTGCATTGGTGCCGAGTAAGCGTTTCATCTCTCCCTTTCCCAAAATTGCCGACTGACAACGCCGTGAAATAGTTTCGCATATATCGAATTGTACATGTCTCTTTCTGCACTCATTACACGTTTCGATTTAGAGCTGTACGACACAACTTGGGAGCGTGATGTGGAGTACACGCGGGACTGCTTCCTAGGCGAGGCTTCTCGAGATAGCCCGGGTATCCGAGTGAAGGTGTTAGCGGACAATAAGAGGTGGTTTGCAGATTAAGAGATTATTGGTAGAATGTTATAAAAGCGGTACTCAGAATTAGGATATATCATATTTGTCCCATGTGATGCGTCTGATGGATGGACTACCAATACCTGTTTACAGCGTGCTTGTTGCCGACCAATAAGAGTTTATTAGAAATGCAGGTGGACAATATTACTATACTATTACACTACTATCTTGGACTGGGCTTTAAACTGTCAAATTTGGAACGAAATATTTCCGTGTCTCTTTCAAGGGCCCCAAGTCTGTATGTTAGAAGACTCAGCGGATGCAAAGCTAGCTTTAAGCTAGATTACACCGCATCAGTGTAACACTAAGAACTCGTACGAGAAAGAATCGGCGACGTTCCAAAAGAAAAATATCTGTTATTTGACCATGGCATCAAGTGTCGTATACCGGCTATCGGGTTTCATTTTTTCCTTTGGCTGGCAATAGCTAAGCAACCTTGTCGCTGAGGATTCGCTGTACGGCTTCGGAGTATTACTTAGGCTTCTCTGGACTTAAGTTGAACCTTCAATCCCTTCATGAAAACGAGTCCGCTGAAAGTAGAGAATGGGATGGTCAGTGTGAATCACCGCAAACGGAGTTACGCCTATAGGGAAGGCCCCAGAGCGTCACTCACCTGCATGATTCGGTTATGTTTGCGTCATCGACAAGCTCAAAATCATATCGCATCACGAGAGTAGCAACGAGTTTCCCTATCTCCAGCCAACTGATGTCTGCCGTGGACAAGGTATCCTTGGTTAGCAAATTTCCACTAGGCTACTGCAGAGCCAGATGCCTCAATGTCTCGCATATCCACCTACTTTTTCCAATGCACGTTCTCGTACCGCCGCCAAAGGCGAAAAAGAATCTTTCTGGCCAGGGGTTAGTGTATTTCCATGCATCAGCGCGTTGATATGCGTTTCTCACTTAGTTCACCTGAGCTCTCGCGCTCCAACCAGCGCTCAGGCCGGAACTCTTCGAAATCGGCACCCCACACCTCAGGCATACGGTGGATAACCCACGCGTTACTGCCCACAACAGTCTATTATGTAGTGACATTAAAGGTCAGCAGGTTAATGTAACCAAGACTAAACGGTAGTTTATCAACTTACACCTCCGGGAACAAATATGCCGTTGATCATCATTCCATCTTTGGGAACATCCCTGTCGGGATTGAATCCTACCGGGCTGAAGACCCTCAACGCCTCATGCATGATAGCTTGCAAATAGGGACAGGCTTCAGCTTCCTGAAAGGTGACTGTACTTGAAAGACAGCCCGCGGCTCGTCGCTCTTCCATCTCGGCTCTGAGCTTAGATAGGATATGGGGGTGGCGGAGGAGATTGAGGAAGATACCCCGAAGAGCGAGAGACGTTGTGTCAGACCCTGCAAAGACGTTGGACGCCATCATGAACGAGATCACGAGATCGTTCCTAGTAAATTCGGTAACGGTTTAGCAATCAAAGGCTGGATATGGCCGTAGGATAATATCAATCGGGACATACAGCTCCGCCCTGGAATGTGCAGCTTGGAAGAGCTGTCCCACAAGATTGTTGTCGTTGCCTCCCTTGTCTCTCCGGTCTTGCACCTCGGACTTTGCAAACTTGAAAAAGAAATTGTTTCTATCATTTGCCCTGAGAAAATTTCCAAAAACTGGGAGGATGTACTTTTGATGAAAGTTGAAGAGCCACGGGACGTGCATCAGCCAGGCAGTGTTGCCCAAGGATCGCTCGATTCGAGTAAGCATGCCATCGTCATTAGCCTTGGCAACAAACCCAAAGGGCTTCGTAAAAGAGACGGCTCCAATGACGTCAAAAGCAAAGAGTTGAAACCAATTACCAATGTCAATGGAGCGTGACGATGAAGCAAAGGTATCAAACTTGATCAGTAAGTCGTCGATGAGATGGGTGACCTGGCGTTCGAGGTGGACAACCGACTCCATCGAATAAGGGCGTGCCACGAGCCGTCTCTGGGCCGAGTGAATCTTCTCATTGCGCTCCCCCGTTAAGTCAAAAGGCCGCGATCCCTGAAGTACCGCGTAGCAAGCGGATTTGACAAAGGCACCGTTGACCCCTGGATGAGATTGGTTAGCAATTACATGATACTTGCCGATAGCAAGATAATCCTTTCCCTGGATCTGAGTGCAACACTGCGCATGATATATCACCTGTCGCATTTCTGGGCGAGGGAAAAGAGAAAAAGGAGAGAGGGGGTTGTATAGCTATACTGTAAATTGTCCTAAACGCTTCCGGATCCCCTACGCTTCTAGAGACCAACAATATCGAGAACGATGATCAGCTAAGATGAATCAAAAGTCGATACGATTTAAATAGATTTTGAAACAGATCAAAAGGAAACATTAGGAGATGACGGATGGTAGTTCAAGGACTTACAGTTCGTTCGGTCCGATTCGCACAACATTACCGTATTGTCGATGCAACTCTACTATTTCCCGATGCCATTGGCCTCGGTATGTGGCGTACGCTCGCCATATCTTGGTGAATTTGGCTGCGAATGGTCCCGGAAAAGCAGCTATGGGCGAGGAAAAGCATTGATAGACACATAGCCGGTGAATGCGACAATGAGAGCCGATCCAAAGAAGAGGAAGGGGCCAAGGGCAAGGGATAGGGTAATTGCAAGCATGGCCAAAAGTTGAACAATCTTGCCAGCTGGAGAGAAACGAGTGTAAAACGCAAGTAAACGTACGCAAGATGGGAGTAATTGTTGATGCGTACCGTAGTCACAATGGTGATTGTTGAGCGCTGGTATTAAGAAAACAACTCTGCAGCAGCAGTAATATTTATACATCGGTTCGGCGGAGTTAAAGGAACACTGAAACGAAAGTTGAGCAAGAAGTTTTGGCAAAAATATGATATGTCCATTTCTGCCATCCTGGCTATGTTGCAGTCCATCCTCATACATGTGCATGAAGCAGTTAGTTTCCACCAGCAAACAGACACTGTGTTCCCATAGTCCACAAGAACTTGTAAATTTAATTATCACATGAGATTTTAAAATTCATAAGCTACATACACAACGATCCAATAGCGACGATGATTAGCTCTTGCCCTCGTTCATTTTGCTGTTGCTCAAAACTTCATGTTTGTCTTTGATAAGGTTGTGTGAAGTCTACAGAATAGTAACTTTAAGGCCGGCAATGACGTCCATACATGTTTGCGCTGCCTCGCCCCGCAAATCCCCTTGGCTGATAGACAAATTATATACAATCTCCGACTCACAGAACCAAGTCGTGGGAATTAATTCATTCATGCAAGCATAGATTGTTAAAGTCCATGGACTGACCATGGAACGACAACGGAGCGAATGACTAAGTGCCGTACACTTGCACATCGAGCTTTATAAAGCAAGGCTAGATATAATGTCGATTCGTTTTCCATCTTGTAAGCTCATAGTGTGAGATGTCACACTCCATAAGCTAGGTATACAATAATCCTATAACAGCGATGGTTGTTTCTCAAGCCCCTTCACATCATTTGACTGTAAAAGAGGAACAAGAGCGGTACCGGGATCATGGCAACCGCCAAAAATGCGATGACACTGTCTCAAATGATCATACATTGCCGTTGCAGAAAGCGGAAATCCAACACCGAGAAGAAGCTTGATAAGAGGGCATTACTACTAGCATATATCAGATAGACATAGACGATGTAGTTCAACCGTTGCATGAAGACGAATAACACGCCTGCACCGGTAGGAGTATCGGCCAGAACCCAGGTCATGTTGGTATTACTCGTCCGGGCAAGCTAAAACATGCCAGTTGAAAGTAGAACACCGCCTACAATCATGGGGTCTTTAGGAGATGTCCGTCCATTCTTTGATAATTTGTGCCACGTATTGTGTCTTTGTAAATTATACAATATACATAGCTTGAACCAAAGACGATACCTACCATGAGAATGAAGAACAGAAGGGAAGCCAGACCAGTGGACTAGCTACATTGGCCATAGGCTCTAGAGTGCAATCGGACATGAGAAAAAAAGAGATCAAAGACTACGCAGACGAATTCTATGTAGCTGTATGGTAGGTATCAGCAATTGAATCGAACAGAGTCCGAAGATAGGTAGTCTATATAATCACATTGTCGAAAGCAACAGAATAAGTTTCATGGGAAGCATTTTGATGGATCTCAGCGCGAATGTCATGATAATGGCGTTAAAAGACACTTTTTTCGAGTCGTGAGCTATGTGGATATTCCAGTTTCCTGTCTCTTTTCGAAGCCTCTTGGCCTTCTAGGATAGAAGAACAGGTGCAAAGCTCTGGGGAACAACGACATAGAACAAAGCCCCAACAGCGTCAATCATGCTGAGGGTCAGTCAAACAGTCCATCTCTATCCAAACAAGAGAGCCGATAAAGATAGGGTCAGTAAACGAGTAAACGGCCACGCCGTGCTCAGTTGGATTCCGAACGTCGGTCAAAGCGCCCGCCAATAATAGCCATGGGCGAACAGTCAAAGATACCGCTCGAAAATCTGTAGGTTCGGATGGTGTCGACATTGTGTACCGCGCACGGCAACAAATATGTTGAACATGGCAAAGACAAAGAGTCCGGTGAACACAGGTCCCTTGTCGTGGATCGCCAGCTAAATTTGGCGACTCGGCACCTAGCCGTGAAGCTCGCCGTTTTCTTTGATACATCCATTGATGTATTACGAGTGCATGCATTGGTAACTATAAATAGGTACCTACCTGAGGAGCCAATAAGGCATTTGATCTTCTTTGTAGTAAACATGAACAATTGAAGGCTCTTTGTAACCTGATTCCTATACTCTGTTTGACCAATATGCTCTTTCTTTCTTTCTTTCTTTTGCAACAATCTGGGCACTCTTATGAACATGCTGGCTGTTGCTGCAGTGTATCCTTGACCGATCTGTCTGTGTATCTCGTAGATTGTGTATATATAAGAGGTCCTGCCCCCGACTGGATACAGATAGCCAAGACCTTTCATCAATACAACATCACACCTAACCTACGCATCCCAATACTGGCAAGCAGAGTACATTCTCTATGAGAGGCATCTGATCCCATTCAAGATCCCCATTTGTTTAAACTCCACACCAAATTGTCTCTTCCCATCCCTGATATGTCGCCCTAAAAATGAAGATCTTAAGTGCTGCTGCCCCGGCTAGCTACGGTACAAATGGCGCCGATCCTCCTGTCTTGCCTGTCGCCGCGTCTCAGCTTCAGATTATCTTCGAGTGGGTTGGCCTCCTTCCACTGGCAATCTACCTCTCCGGCAATGGCTTGTCTCATTGGTTGGTAGGCCAGACGTCGCTTGCAGGATTCATTGGTGTAAGCCTCTTCCCCCGTCTGGGAATTCTGGAAAGTCTTGCTACTTTCTTGCGCGAAGGTGCCGACTTTGTCGATCGCGCTTCGTCCGTCAGCGAGCTGCGTCACACTGTCTGGGACGCCAACTGGGGCAGTGTCTTCCCATGCGCAAATGGAGCCGCAAGCGATATACTTACGAGATATGTCATTCCCAAAGCTCATGATATTGAGATCCCAACTGACTTGGCCGCCCTGATTGCTGCTAATGAACGTGTTCGCAATCCAGAAGAAGGAAAAGACAATGCCGTTACTGCAGAGACAAGCAACAATTCCAAGGGCCAGACAAATGAGAATGTTGGAGGCCCTCATTTCAGCCGCTATCAAACGTTGTATATTCTGGACTGCACGATCGATGCTGGCAAAAGAAAGACTAATAGCGCCTTCGTTACGTGGTTATTCTTTCTCATCGAGGTTCTATTCATCCTTTCTTTACTTGGCGCTTGTGTCTCAACTATCCTGCTCGGTCTATACGGGACTGCTGCAGCCATTCTCATCAGCATCGCCTTCCGTGTGACACGGCATAGCATCAAAGTCATTAGGCCCCCGAGATACCTGGAAAGCAATGAAGCTAACCAGGCTGACGCCTACATGCTCACAGCGATACATGAGAACGCATCAACCTGGTATCTCTACAGAGGATCCCGGGCAGTCGTTGATGGGCTTGTCAACAAACCTATGATCTTGGACATCACAGCACGCCCTAAAACAGCGATGGCACTCGCATTGCGCGGGCTAGCTCTATTACAACTTCTAACCATGACATATGTCGCGGCACAGAAAGGTTGGGATGGGGTGGGCTTGCTGGTTCTCATCGCTGTAGCGTGGACGCTTGACTACGCACTTTATAGAGACGACAAATTGGCGGCAACTTGGCTTCGGCGGGAGGGTGTAAGCATAAAAGCATGGAAGTGCCAGTTCAGTGGCCGCACACCTATGCTTGGCGCTATCTAGCTTCTCAAGTCTAACACAATTTCGAGTTGGATGGACCAGATGCTGGCCCCTTCAGAACGCCGTGAGGCTTGGTTGAAGATGTTACAGTCGGACTGCCCTGATTTCGAAACTCTAGAGTCAAAGCATACACTAACCGGAGAAAACGACCAGAGTTGGGTGCGGAACAATTGGTTGCTTACACGCGCTGCAGTGAAAGCTATTAGGGTCGCCACAGGTGAGGGCACTGCATGACCGATACATGTAGCTATCTCTCATACCCTCAGTAGCTCTACATTCAACGTGTAACTACCAGGGACCGTGGGACCGATGAGCCTGTATTAGTATATATAGGATTGCTTGGTTAGCATAGGCGTGTTAGATAGTAAAGAAGAGTGTCATGCAGTTAACGTCTGGCAAATTATTTAGCTCAGAATGGCAGGCGATGAATTCGTCTACCAGAGTTTAGTATTAATAGAACCCTCATCATTCAGAAAACTATGTACAAGAAGTAACTGAAAAATGTATATTGTTTCAACTCTACTAATCCTACCTAATTGCTTTCTAGATTAGCCTTACTAATCTTTCCCGTGCTGGCAATTAGCTATGAGGCTCTGTAATGAGATCGGTTGCATCGGATTGCAAAGCAATAGTCATCTAGACCCCAATCAACAACTTAGAAGACTTTCTTTGCGATATATAATATGAATTTCACAATCTACTAGGTACAAGGCTGTCCTACCTCAACCCAATCGCCTACAAGGGAGGGCTTTGAACCGGTCGAGCCATAATTCTTGACCACACTGCGCTAGATGCTCATCTGCAACAGAAATGCATATGTAGAACAAACTGCACGTAACCCTGCCCCGATCTCTAGATCTACACCTTTTTCAAGCCAGGTCCAAGGCTGCCAGCCAAATGATTGAGTGGCATAATTTCTGCAGGCCGTGCAAACAACACATCTTCCGTCAGAACTCGTACCAGCTCAATGTGCACCGGGTTTTGTCGATGCGCGACTCGTGCCGCAGCGTTTTCGTATCTTGCCCAGTTGTCAGTATTGCAATCTCAGCTAGTAATAACAGGGCTCTCATCAGTGGGCGTATCTCACATTCCCCACACGACAATCATCGGTTCCCCTGCTGAGACATCACGCTCATGCACGGCCCAAACGAGCGAGCCGGGTTCATCAGCCTGGGCGGCGTCCGCAAGCTGCTTGAAAATCTGCCTGACCTACACTTGAACATTTAATTACATGTAGATGGCAACCAGAGTCAGTATCGTACATACCTGGTCTAATTTTTCAGGTTTTGGGTGAATGAATACACATTGGTGGATGGCTTCTGAAGATGACATCGTGAACGTTGAGGCGAATCTATTTCTTAAGAGCTGAACCGTAAATTTATTAACAGGCAGCGTTGTAAGCAGGGCTTTATATCCATTCTCTACGGGTTGAAAGTGGCGGCATATAGCTGTAAGCCCCCCGCCCTAGTATTAACCTAAAGCTTGGGATAAGACGTCATTCACGTCAATTCATATAATTTGTCTATCGGGGCGAAGCAGCGTGAACATGTCATCTTGCTGACCATAAGGCAGTAATGGACTTTATATAACCTTAGCGGAGAAAAAAGCCAAAGCCTTAAGCAACTGCAAAATGAAACAAGGTGGAGTCTCAATAAGCAGTAGATTCGGATGGAGCTAGGGGATACAACTAATACACATATAAAGGATGCAGTAAAGTTGGAGATAAAGATATAATGAAAGATATAACAGTACTATATAAAGAGACAAGATATTTTCCGTTTTTAATAGCCTTCATTTATAGGATATCTACCTGTACTCAAGGCAATCCATCATGAACTTCAAGTTTCTTCATATTTCGCTCAAGCTCACCCGGAGTAGAAACGAAATAAGTTAAAGTCAAATTCCTCCCATTGGATTGCTGGTTTATACAGAACTGTTGGCATACACGGAATCTTCCCAAACAGGAATTTCCCTCTCTTGTGTCGCTCGAAGAAGACCTCTGAAGTCTCTAGAGAGTCCAACACAATGTCAGATTCTGTGAGATCAGCGGCTCTCATCCGAAGCTCTTTTAGTTCAGTTGACTCTCCTTGACCATTTTTCATCTCGACGTGGACGTAGTAGATCTTTTCGTCTCTGCCTCTCTCCAGCTCCACTGATCTCCGTGCCTTATCCTCGAGAAGACTCACAAAGCAGAAATCTCTCAGAGAGCTGGTCAAGCTGACAGTTTGCCTGGCAGCGTTCCAAAGCACCCAGCGTTTCTCCGGTACTTTTCCTTTTGCTGGCTTTAGCCGGAAGACATATCGAAAGTCGTTTGGAAAGCCATGGTTTGAAGGTGGCGCATAAGCAGGCAGGATATCAAACTTGGTCACAATCTCTTGGTCATACCCGAGCCTTACCACTGCACGATTGCTGTCTGGGGTGAAGACAAGATATAGACGCTCTTGTAATGGGCCAAGGCTAGTCATAGAAGCTTGAAGAGCTTTGTCGTAAAAGCCTATTTGAAGCCAACCATAGACCTCGTCGAGAAGCTTCTCGTTGATGCGAGTCCCCCTACTTTTTCTACCGTTCGAAGGGCCGTAGTTGCTGCAGACATGATTCAATTTAGTCAAAACATATGTGAACAAATCATTGAGAGCGTCAATGATGCATAAAAGGAAGGAAGAAGTAGCAAAGGACGATTGGAAAATCTTACTGGATAGCAACAGCAGTATCGTGATCTTTATGAGGCATGATTACAGGTGCTCCGCTAAAGCCTTTCTCAGTTTCCATCTCATACTCGAGCTGATTAGGTAGGCAAGCGGTGCATTTTCCCTCGCTTGTAACTGCATCCCATTTTGGCTTTTCTTTCTGGCTCTGGCCTGGGGCCTGATTTTCGTCATCGTCGTTATTGTCGTCGCCACCTGTATTGTCGTCGGCATCTTTATAGCCAGTGAGATCAAAACGAGCTTGATCGAGTACATCAAATCCGAGTTTCAAGGCAAATCCAAAACCTAGATATGGATATTTAAAATTCTTTTTCACTAAAATGGCACCAAAATCTGCCTCTTCTTGCTCTTGAGTTGCTTTCTTGGGGTTTCTCCGCTCATCAGTATATTTCTTTTGGTATACAGTTGAGACATAAAACTCAGCAGGATCGGGACTCGTTTTCTTCGAAGCTTGATATATCTTTAAGTCTTCCTTTTTCACACCGACAAGGTTATGACCAGCAGTGAGGATGATATGGTGCGTAGGATGTGGTATGTTGACATAGAAGCCATTCCCTTCTCTATCTTCTCCTATTTTTTGCCCGCATGTCAGGCCTACAAGATCTGATAAATGTAGAAAGAACGAGATCAAAGGGGACTTTTAGATATAAACGGACCATTTTGTTTGAATTGAAGTCTTACAATCCACCTCTGTCGATCTTGAGTTTTGCTAAGTTTTAGCCTTTCTACTTCTTTGGGGCTTATATCATTGTCCCGGCTGGGATCTATGTCTCCTGGATCTAATTCGAATCCAGAATCATAACTTTCAGAATCCGAGTCCATTACGTTTCTTAGTACCAAAAATAAATGAGATTTTGTATGAAAGAAACACGAATTATCGACAGTCAGTCCTAGGCTCTCAACCAAGGTCACTAATTCTGGAAGAGAAAAAGTAAATTGATACAGAGCCTCAACCATCGGCTTTGGGTGCCAATAGCGGCGGAAAAGAGGGGACAGGAAAGGTGCGGGCGGCAGTTCAGGCGACATCAGGCATTCATACATGAGAGAGTAATCTTATCACCGAAGCGCCTGATGATTGAACCATTACGCATCACGAGGCTATAAGGTTGCATACGTGCCCCATAGTGCTTGGAATCAATTGATACCTCATGGAAGACGCTAGATATTTGCAATGATTATGAGTATCAACCCCAATATTTTATAGATAGGATATGCGGGTTGACAGCATCCGATCTATGTGGATCAGTACTCGTCATTAAAGAGCCACGTCTGAAAATTTCGACACATTTGTGATTCATAGACTTCTTTAATTAATTATCCATATTACTTGATGCTTTAATTGGCCTGTTTCCAAAGGATTTGTTGAAATGTTGGCAATCGAAGCTCAATCTATGCTGCCCAATAATATTAGTGCCCAACTACGTGTACTCGTATTGTCTACCTATTCTGTCTATATCCCGTTTTAGATCGTGTAGGACCTCGAAATTCTGTTCCTGAGTATTGTGAATCACCTCCAGTCTTATATGTCTCAGGATTTATTCATGTATTTTACCACATAATACTTCATTCGTGTGGGCAATCGCTCATTGAGCTTTTACATACTATTTCAACAACTCTTTATCCTGATCATCCACTCTAACATTGGGGTTCCTTTGGCATCACAATGCCTTCTAAATCCCTCACTCATAGAGATTATAGCGTGGGATGGATCTGTGCGCTACCAAAAGAGCGAGCAGCGGCCCATGCCATGCTCGACCAAGAACATGAGCTTCTTTCACAACCTGCCCATGATCACAACACATATACCCTAGGCTCCATCGGCAACCACAATATTGTTATAGCATGCCTTCCCAATGGCGAAATTGGGAACAATGCAGCAGCAAACATTGTGACCCAAATGATCAACACGTTCCCATCTATCAAATTTGGCCTCATGGTCGGGATTGGTGGTGGGATTCCCGGTCGGGTCAGGCTTGGTGATATCGTTGTTAGCAGGCCAAGCGGACCATTCCCTGGAGTTGTCCAGTGGGATCTCGGAAAGGCAGAAAAGCTTGGATTCAAGAGAACTGGGGCCTTGGACCGTCCTCCGAGAATCTTACTCACAGCCCTAGCTAAGCTGGAAGCCTTTCACGATATGCATGACTCTCAGATTCCCAAGTATCTGAAAGACATGGCAAACAAATATCCCAAGCTGGTGGGAAAATATACGTGGTCTCCTCGACTCAAAGATCCAATGCTTGAACCAGACATCAGCGAGGCCAATGCCAGTCTGTGGGGAAGCGTATTTATCATGATCTTTCAACTACTTCTCGCACTGTATAGACTCTTATCTGGTCTCCAAGGGCCTGTCGAAAAAATTATGCCCTCAATGTCCGATGAGAAAAGTATTTACGAAGAGCCTAGAGGTATAGATATCCACTACGGCTTGATCGCATCTGGAAATCAGGTTGTCAAAGATGGAACCATCCGAGATCGAATCAACCAGAGTCTTGGAGGGGAAGTTTTATGTATTGAGATGGAAGCAGCAGGGTTAATGAATAACTTTCCATGCATTATTATAAGAGGAATCTGCGATTATGCAGATGAGAAAAAGAACAAAGACTGGCAAGAATATGCTGCAGCTTTAGCAGCGGGATTCACAAAGGAGCTTTTACAACATGTACGCTCAGCGGACGTTGACAGCGAACGCCCTGTAAAGGATATCTTGCAGAAAGGTTAGCTACTTTTCAGTTTTAATTGGGTGGAGAGTTTTTGGTCTGATAATAGATTCACACAGTTGAAGAGGGTGTACTTCATATCGAGCAACTTATGGATAAAAGTGAAGTGAGAATGATCGTTGATTGGCTCACTACGGCAAATTATGGCCAACAGCATGATAAACATTCAGAGACTCATAAGAAAGGAACCAGCTTATGGATTCTCGAAACAGATGAGTTCCAAAATTGGCTCAATAATAGCAAGCAGAGGTTGCTGTGCCAAGGAATGCCTGGAGCAGGAAAAACGATCATTACATCAGTTGTAGTCGATCATCTGACGAAAGAAATCAAGAAAGACTCTGAAATCGGCATGGCCTACATTTATTGCACCTTCAAACAACCGAAAAGTGAACAGACAACAAGAAGTCTTCTTGCTAGTGTTCTGAGGCAGCTTGCGGGCGACCGCCAGACGTTCCCAACTACCACCAGAAGCTTATATGAGCAACACAAGGCAAAACAGACGCATGCATCGCAAGAGGAGCTTATAGCAGAGCTAAAGGCTGTGATAGAGCTCTATTCAAGCGTATTCATCATTATCGATGCTCTTGATGAATGCGACTTGAATACAATGCATGGCTTCATTTCTGAACTTTTTATGCTCCAGAAACACTGCAACATGAATATTTTTGCAACATCGAGATTTATACCCGAAATCACAGAATGGTTTACAAATGCCAAAAGCTCATTTCTAGAAATCCGTGCGCTCGCAAGCGACATCGCTATGTACCTGGATATAGAAATGAAACAATCGTCGACAAGTCTTATCAAAAGCAATATAGATCTACAGAAAGATATAAAACGAGAAATTTGCGAAGCGGCTGATGGGATGTAGGTCATTTTCACTGCTGAGACACTATCAATCACGAGCGGAATGGTGAGAATACTAACAATTCAATCCACCATAGGTTTCTTCTAGCTCAACTCTACCTTCAATTACTTCAAGATAAGATAAATGTTAAAGAAATTCGCCGGGAATTGCAAGCCTTCGGGGCCGATGCCCGAGGTCGAAGTGATGACGAAAAGACAAAGGTGCTGACGCATGCATATGATAAGGCTATTGAAAGGATCAATGAGCAAAGTCTCCATATGAAAAGTCTTGCGATGAAAGTCCTATTATGGGTTATCTTTGCGAAGCGAGCACTTACTACCTCTGAGCTCCGGCACGCATTGGCAACGGAACGAGGAATGACGACATTGGATGATGAAGACCTCTCAGATCTTCGAGATATGGGCCGCGTATGTGTTGGGCTAGTGACAGTTGATGAGAAGAGTGGCATCATTCAGCTGGTGCACCACACAGCCCAGGAATATTTCGAGAGCACGCAGTCGCGTTGGTTCCCTGAAGCGGATTCTGTTCTTCTAGGAGCCTGCATCACCTACTTGTCATTTAAAGTCTTTGAAAGCGGCTTCTGTATAACGGATGACGAGTTCGAACAACGAGAGGCTCAGTTTCCCCTTTGCAATTACGCCGCTAGCTATTGGGGGGACCATGCTTCAAAAAATGAACAGCCAGGCGAAGAAATCTTGGAGTTCCTCATGCATCCAGCCAAGGTCGACGCATCTGTCCAGGCACAATTAGCTGTGAAGCACTACTCATCTCATGAGGGATATAGCCAAGAGGTGCCGAGACGTGTAACTGCACTGCATTTGGCGGCACGGTTTGGATTGACCGAGCTGACGAGAATTCTTCTTGGTGAACAGTACAAATGCAACCCCGATTCTTGTGACAGCAATGGACAGTCTCCTTTGTTGTGGGCTACACGAAACGGTCACGAAGATGTTATCAAGCTGATGATAGAGGCAAACGCAGATCTTGAAGTCAGAGATAAAGAAGAGGGCGCCACACCACTGATTTGGGCCGCCCGAAAAGGCTATAAGAATGTCGTTACTCTTCTCCTGGAACGGGGTGGCGAGATCAACGCGAAAGACAATCATGGACGAACACCACTATCGCTTGCTGCTCTTCATAAGCATGGGTCCATTATGCAACTGCTCCTCAACAAGGGCGGTACCGTTGATGCAAATGACAAAAAGGGCAGCGTGAAACTGCTTGCTAATACCCAGGCGGAGCGCCAAGCGGCTCTCAAGATGCTAAATGAACATTACTCTAACAGTGCTTCAGCGGAAGAGGCTGATATCAATGAGACCATCATACTTCATGGCATTGAAAACTGGTCCGAAATTGCTACACAGAAGCCTCGCAAGAATGGTGGTAGTCTTGATGAGATAGATCAACATGGTCGAACGCGACTCTCATGCGCCGCAGAGAGCGGAGATAAAGAAATTGTGCAAATGCTATTGGAAACCGGTGGAGTGGACATCAATGGCAGAGATGGCGAGCACAAAGAAACGCCACTGATATGGGCCGCAAGAAATGGCCACAAGGACATCGTCCAGTTGCTTCTTGATGCTGGCGCAGATGTCAATGTGAAGGAACAACATTTGGGGGAAACAGCGCTGACATTGGCAATCGAAAGCGAACATGAGACAATTGTTCAAGCTCTCTTGGACAAAGGCGCAAACGTTCACCAAAGGGATTTCTCTGGCCACACACCTCTTTTCACGACTACCTGGCAAAATGGTGGAATTATGATGAAACTGTTACTCGACAGGGGCGTCGATGTGAATGCAAGGAACGAAGATGAACAGACTCCAATATTTAGCACTTGCGCGTATGGAAATATGGAATTAGTAAAGTTACTGATCGACTCAGACGCTGATATTCATGCGGTGGACTCGAAAGGGCGAACGCCGTTATTCTTTGCAGCAGCCTTGCATCAGCGGGACATTATATCGTTGTTGCTCGAGAGGGGTTCTGATATCAATGCGAGGGACAAAGAAGGCCGAACGGCAATATACTCTGCTATCGGATCTGGCGACAAAGATGTTGTGAATCTGCTGCTTAGCACAAACGCTGTGGATATTTATAACAAAGATAAAAACGGGGTGATGCCAATTGATTGGGCCAAAGACAGGGGGGGTAGGGATATTGTTCACTTACTTCATCATCATATAGGAGCAAGTCAGGCAGAATGATCCTATTAGTTTGTGTATAACTGAAGGCCTGGTTTGTACAAAATTGAGCAAGGAAACCAATTTAAATATATCTTCATCTGCCTAGACGAACACTCGGCACATCTCAGGATGACAACAAGGATTCTCAGAATTTGGAATGTTTACGAAACTGAAAGCTATTGCTCATATATGTAGACAAATCATAACTACCTGTAGTTTGTATTCATCTACAACATCAATCCCGCCGTCCATGGATGTTTCGAGTCCCAAGTCTTCTCTCTGCACTTTCGGAGTGATGAGGACATACAGTAACCTACCAAGAAAAGTATACTTAGTTGGCTTTGGTAATGGGCTCCATCAATAAGTCCAAGAGCTGTAATGATAAATTAGTACATGAGACAAGCAATCTAGAAACCCAGGCGGAGAACAAGATTTACGTACCCATTGCTCTAGTCGATGTTCATTATCTCGAAGGTCCTTAAACTCATCATCTAAATGCTCTAGGCGCATAAATTCGTTAGTACTCATCATTTTCATGTATATGGAGCGCTCTTCCGGGTAGGAGACTGTGCGTTCTATTATAGAGAGAAAAGTCGCAACCCGAGTAGGAAGTGTATCTTACGAGTGGTACAGTATAACACATCGCGTAACGCGGGATCCAAAGCCAGGCTCGTAATGAAATCTTTGGATGATTCGTCATGTCCAATCTGGCTGATTTGAAAACGGACAACTAAATCATGCCATGTCAGATTACATCAATCTTTGTTAGCTCCCGTGAGTGGGCGGATATGGCATACCTTTCTTGTTGTATTTGTTGGCTTCCAGGATTCTACCGCATTCTAAAATGACCTCTTTCAAAGTATCCTGTCTCTCATCACTTCCATCTGGTCCGCCGGGACAGCCATCCGTAAGAATGGAGACCAATACTGGGCGATTGAATTTGCCTTCCTTAATAGGTCTGTAGACGACTTCCTCCAGGATCTTCGCCTTGCAGTTTATTCCAATTTCGGTCGGCCCACTATACTGAATATCTTCTTGTAGAATCTTTTTGACTAATTTACTTCGAGGTTTTGACATGCGCGGCTCATTGGGGGTATTGATAAATCGCAGCTCAATACCGGTATCGTCCGGGACAAGCCTCGTGGTCAGACTGGTGATTCGCTCGCCAAGATCGGCCTGGAGCTGGACCCGGCCACCTTGATTCATAGAACCACTATCATCTAATATGGGAATCGTCAATACTATTTGTTCTAAGTTGGAAGAACTGTGAGCTCATACCGCAGTAAAGCACCGGCTGATAGAGTGCGAGACGAGTCAAGTCGCGCACATTGACGGTCGTCTTTGGGTCTGCTTCCATGTCGACGGCTTTTGTGATGACATGGTCCAAGAACTTATCGTCTTTGAAGAATTGGTTCAAATGAGCGTCTTTGATATAATTGCGCATCTCGTTTTTGAAGGCCTCTGCACATGCCGCCTTTTCGAGTTTCTCGGCAATATGCTAAATGGGATGTTAGCAAATGAACTTCTTTAAAAAAGGTAGAGGGAGATTTAACGTACATGTGGAACCTTTTTGCTTCGCCGACCCAGCATCTTGAATCTTTTCTTAATAGGGCCAATGAACTTAGAGCTGACCGCCGCAGCTGTCGCACCGACAGCAGCGGTCATCATCAAGAGAGGGTTCTTCCGGTTGGCCCAGGCAATAGCGAACATGATGAGAGATGCGATCATGAGGACATCTTTGATGTGAATTTTCTTGTGCTTTTCAGGAGCTAGGAGTGCTAGGAGTTTCTTGTCGTTACGCTTAGTTGCCAACGACTCTGCCGATTCTCCTCTTTGGTTTGTTGCTTTTGGATCTGCACCTGCATTCACAAGAGCTTCGATAACGTCCAGGTCATCTTCATTCCTGTATCTCTGTACAATGGCATGCAACGCAGTGTCATTAACAACAGGATCTGCCTTCTTCACATTGACTCCGTGAGCAAGAAGCGTCTCGACAATGTCGCCGATGGGACCTTTTGTTCTTGCTGCCGCGATCCAGAGAGGCGGACGTGAGCCAGGCGCGCCGTCTGGGTTAGCACGATGTGCGAGCAGTAATTTGATGTTATCTTTGCGATTCGCGTGTACAGCTGCACCGAGGGGAGTGTACAAAGTTTTCTCGTCCACTTTGTCAATTTCTTTGTCTTTGCCCACTAGATCACTCGCGCTGAGAGTCCCCTTCAGTGCGAGGTCAAATATGGAGGTCATTGTGCATGAGAAAGTAGAGCGGCGGGAGGAGCAAATAGTGAAGATAGATAAATGATGTATGTATGATACTGGCGTGAATTATTTCTAGATTGTGCTCTTGCAAGGAATATGCATTTTATGTATGCGAAACCTTCTGCTCTACTTATACAGTTTCAGCTTGGACACGGAGCAATATCCCCATCAAGATTCCATTGCCAGTTGTCTAGCTTAGAGCGGCTTCACAAGTCCATTGAGTCATCGCTAGATGCTTTCTCCACCGTCAGTCGCTATATTGGCCAGATCATATTACCCTCAATGCCCATGCCTCTGATCCGAAATAATATTGGGCATCCGTGATTCCCATGTCGCATCTACTACGAAGTGCTTTGTCATTTGCCAAGAACTTCAGGTCCGTGGAAGTGTTCACTAACCTATGAACTATGGTTCTCATACAACGTCATTTACACTTGAGGCCCATAGAATTCACTGAAACTACCCTTCCGTGCATGATTCGGTATCGTGTCGGCCATTATCAGATAATAGCCACGAGCGGCATAAGAATGATTGGTTATCATGTCACTCTATTTTCGGCTGCGTGAGCGTAATTGGCCAATGCCCCATCTTGATTTCAGCCTCATAAATATTTGACCAATCTTCCACTTTGTTTTGAGCCGCATGGTATGAACGCGTCATGTGTATGTTTTATAGATGAGTTGTAGATCCATGAAATACAAGACCTATTGCCCAAAGTGGATGCGTGCTAAACAAAGTAATTGCATGTAACCAACAGCCTGGGAGCACTCGGCCTGAACTACTGCATGTATGCCCAGCTATTAACTGTAGCCTCTTACGATTCTTTATCTATTACCGAAACGCGTTTTCTTTCTGCTGTGACGTATTATGCTCTCCTTAATTCCTTGGCTCCATTCGCAGAGTTGGTACGTATCACCATCGATTAGTACATGTAAGTAAATGCAATTGATCACACGCTCAGTTACTCCCAATCAACATCGCCATTAGCGATTCCAACCCACAATCCCGCAGCATCCGGGGGATCAACGAAAAAAATTTATGGCATTTCATCACACGGCAAAGTAGAGGTCGCTTGAGAGTGCCGTTCCATCCAACGTTTACTATTCTCTCCCTTCATGCCGGTAACTCAAGTACTATGTAAAAGTCTGCTTTCACCTTCTCTTCTTCTTGCCACTTGTGGCTTGGCTTACTGCAGCAGATGCAGTTTTGATGACTGGCTTGTTGCTTTCTTCTGATGTTGAGGGGGTGTAGACGCCTTTTTCATTTATGCTCCCTATAGGAGTCACCTTTCCTTCGCCATCGATGCTCACCAGTTGCTCTTTCTTAGTCAAAGCAATGACTTGAAAATCGGAATCATTCGGTATTCCAAGAATGAAGCTAGTCGCCGGATCATTCGCAAATTCGGTGCCCTTAACAACAAGATCTAGTGCATGTTAGTAACTTAGAAGTCAGCCCAAAAAAGAAAGGACAGGGTCAGGTTGCTGCACCGGTGTGATTTTTTGTTATGAAGTCTATGGCTCGCTGGTGAATACAGCCATCTTGGTGAACATAGCTCAAGAACACGGTATTGTCCCGAACCTGGGTAAAGTGAGGGCTTCCGGGGACAGAGTCCACAGGAGCAAAGGGCAAAAGTTCCCAATTCCCGCTTTCCTGGATCCTGACTCCTTGGAGATGCCCGGCCTTATCATCAAAGAAAACCAGGCTGTCATTGCCATGAACGCTTCCACTTAGTTTGCTCAAAGGATGAAGAATAATCTCTTCGTTATTGCGGAGCTTGATTTCTCGCCACTCATCCCCCAGTGTGAAACATTTCAGTGCATTGTTTTCTCCCGCACAATAAACAGATCGCTTCAGCAGGGACCATATGTATGTAATTAGTATGTACGCTATTTAGTAGGCGTTTCTTTAAGCTCACATTATTATCGCGAGTAACATAAACAGCCGGGGACTTGTGTCGAACTCCTGATCCGATGAGCGTCTCACTAGCCAGTTGGGATCCAACCCATCGTAATTCGCTCAGTTCATTCTTATCTTCGGCGATGATGTAGAAACCAGCTTCGTGAACGCCTGAGACAAAACTACCGCCGGCACAGAGGATTCTCACAAGATCTCTAATAGAGAGACTCATCCTGCTTTTGACGATGGTAAAACTTAACGAAAGATTGAAATGGGAAGCATACAAAATGCAAAGTATTGAGGTTACAGTATGCAGATTGCAGGGAGTAACGGATTGAACCCAACAGTCCAGTAAACTGCACTACAATGCAATAAGCACCTGACCCGCACGTAGAGTCTGGGGTTCTGCTTAGCAGTGGCACCAGTGCAGTATGCGAGCAGGGATGCACTGGATTGATACAGAAAAAAGTGTTGGCCACTTATCAGTTCATTGCCCATTGAGAGAAATACTCACTGCCCATCAATGGAGGAAATTTTGTGCCTGCTATCAAACTTTTCGAGCATTTTTAGCCTCGACTATTGTGTCATTGACTGACTAGATTGACTGCATAATGATCATCTGCATCTCTAGGTGTATAAGAGGAGCTAATACTAGGCGATAAATAGCACCTTCATGAAAGCAATTTCACGGTATATAAGTTGAACCATGGCAGTCAGCTATCGTGTGGTATAGACTTCAGAGATCCAGACGTGTATCCCAAGACCACTCCCGGCGATTATGCAGGCTACTCTGCAATAGATGAAAGCGCACGTTGCTCCTTTGACTTACTTATCAGTCGCGACGTCAACGTAATTGACAGGGAAACCGGCGAGATCCACAGAGAAATAGAACGCAATGGTATAGGTCTAGCAAGGTAGGAAATATAGTGCAGATGGACAGTATTTACTGCATGAAGCGAGGATCTGCGTAGCACCTGGGCGATGTATTAGTGATGACCATAGGCAAGTTCCGTATAAGCCACATGCATCCATGCAAAACACTAGCGCTGTATATAAGCTGCTGTACCTATGATCCATAGATATAGAAAAAAGCTCTCTCAAGGCTCTCGATTTAGATATTTGGAAAGAAAAGCAAAACCATCTGGACTGCGATCTCGCGCGAACCACAAAGCCGCACCAAGAATCATGATGCCAATAGCATATTTTCCCACAATGATTGCAGCCATTCCCGTATACTTCCACAATCGAGCCCATGCGATTTTTCTAATTTCCTTTGTCTCGTTTGTTCTAGGGAATTCGACGTTGGGCTCTTCTCGATCCAGAAACTGGCACAGAGGCCCCCATCCGTCGCCGAGGCGATATTCAAGCAGTCGCTCAGGCGGCACCAGCTCGCGGATCTGACGATAATGTCCAAAATACCTCTCTTTTGCGTTCTTCCTGAGTTGGTGAACATCTCGGGCGTTAAAGAAGCCTAGCATCATTTTTCGGATAGTATCACCGGACCTAACCCCTGTGATAGGCTCAATATACGAAAAGATGCGTGCTGGGAGGCTCCATAATGCGTAAATAGCAACATCTTCAACGCTGCGCCACCATCTGTCATACTCTCGCTCGACAAGGACAACTTTGGCGTCCGGGTACGCCTCAAGCAATTGCAGCGAAAAGAAGGACCCCAAATCCGTGACGGCATCGCATTCTCCAAACAATTGGTCCCAGTCGGACCGCGTCCACGGCGGCGGAGGCTTTTTGCCAGGATTCAACACCTGAGGGTAAGTGGCATCGGCGGCTTTCTCCAGCAGGACCCAATCTTGGTTGCGGTCCAACATTGTCAGCCCATGGTAAACATTTTTGTAGCCAAGGATCTCGTAGGCCTTGGCCATAGACGCAGTGCCAGTGCGGATAAGAGCGAGGTGCAGGATCAAGGGACCACGAGGAGGATCCATGGCGAACGAAGTTGTGTACTTATGTAGGGCTGTAGCTTGCCCTACAATAGTAGTTCGTATAACCAGTCAAGGCGAATGGCTTCCTTTAATACCAAGAATTCTTAGGTTCGTCAAGATTATCCGTCAGCTGACATGGAATGAGTCTCGTACAGTAGTAAGTCAACACTAGTTCGCAATCCTTCCACCACTAGTATAGACTAGGAGCAATTTGCTACAGTTATGGAATGTCATCATAGACATATTGCAAGAGAGAAGTGATAACAGGATTACCGCGAAAAGTACATACGTTAGCAGATAATAACTCTGCATCTTGTTTAAGATTATGAAGTTTTAACAGTGGGCACATCGTTCTCGTTCAAATCCACCTCACAAAAATAAATCAGAGGAGAAGGCCTACATATCGCAATAACTTCTCGTACCTTCACTGAGATGATAAATTTGGTAAACTTAATAATTTCTGTCACAACTTCCCGAACTAAAGGAATTTCTTCTGCATTATAAACATGTCCAATTGAGAATAGTTCTGGAGGCCGGCGCGTTTTCGAGCCTCCTAGTTGCTGATATGGTCGACCCCGCAAGTAGAGAAGGGGTAAGATGCGCCCCTTGGATACGCTATATACGCTACACGCTCTTCACGCCCTAAACACATCTGATGAGATTGGTTCTCTAAGCTTCTCAAGCTTTGCTTATTCCTTTGATCCCGCGTCGCCCCTGAGCTACGGCAATCGAATATTGATTGGGAGCTGATAAAACTTTTTCGTATGCTCGGGCTCCTGGGAAATAGCAACATATAAAAATGATATACCATACGATCTCGTAAATACTGATAAGTCGAGTCATAGGTAGATTGTTCCTCAGTGCTCATCAGAAACACTGATATTGCAAATGTATCTCTACTTTCATATCTTGAAGCTTCTTGCACGGATCGTACTAATTAAATAAAATAGTGTCACCTATACTATCATTTGAAGAAATGCTTGTCCAGAGCGGTGGCTGCATCTGCGGTAAGATTCGCTACACTTACAATGCGGAGCCGATAGCGAAAGTCAGTATCCCCTTTGATTTCATGTCAAGGTCAGGAAGAGCCAAACTAATGTTTCTTTGAGTCTCTATCATAGGTCCTCTGCCATTGCGATGATTGTCGCAAGATCAGTGGCAGCAACTACAGTGTCAACTTTCTTGTCCCTAAAGCGGCAGTCCAAGTAACTGTCGGTACGCCAAAAATCTTCAGTAAAGTCGCTAATTCAGGCGACACCATCAACAGCTACTTTTGCGGCGACTGCGGTAGTATGATATGGCGGGAGTCCGCCAATTGCGGGCCCAATAAAGTGATCAAAGCCGGGACCTTGGATGACAGTGGCAAGATTATTTCTACTTCAGTATTCGATGCAGAGGTTTTTACTCGCTCGAGGGTAGAGTGGGTGCAGCCAATAGCTGGTGCAACCCAGAGGGCCGCAGAGTGAGCTGTTATTTCAGGAATGATTGTATTACGCAATGGGCGAACTCTTATGTTTTCGCGGGTAAATAAATAGTTTCTGATAGACTCAACGAGATGGTGGCTGTACCCATAAAACAATCAGCGACACAAGTATTACGGTAGGTTGGAGATCAATGCTATATATATACTGATCAAGTCTAAGATTTGAAACAGAGTACGATATAACCATTTTCTCTGATTGCTTTGTGATTGCTTGGTGAGTTATAATTGGGACATCGTTTCGGAGATCGACCTGACCAAATAAGAGATGCCGTGTGGCAGTGTGCCTCGCCAGCCAAGCTTCTTCCACCAAGATAAATATTCTAGTAATATAATGCAGAAGTGAGTCTATATAGATAATATCTATTTCGAGAGAAGCTGCTATATACAATATTTTCAAGACTTCAGTATCATGTCTTATACATGAGGTTCGGTCCACTCCGCAACAATCGAACGCTGAGTAGCAGAACAGCACAGGCAGCAAGGCATGAGCCGCAAAACATCTGAACACCAAGATACGATCCAGTACTATTAATAATGGCCCCGCCGATTGGAGTTCCTATTAGCAACCCAATAGACTCAAGCGCAAAGCACATGCCCAATCGAGTCCCAAGTTTGCGGAGGTCCTGAGTGATCGTTATCAAGACTACCGGTATCAAGGATACGAACCCTCCTGAGAAGAATCCATATAGCGCAGAAAGCGCAATAATTCCCGATGTGGTGTGTACAGCAGCCCAACAATAGGCCAGGGTAGCTGTAATGGCCAATGCTGGAAAGAGCACGTTGAGTGACCCTGCGTGATCCGCGACAAAATTCGGGCCAACCCGGCCAAATGTTGACGCAGCGTTTAAGATGGCAATGAGATAGAAGCCAAGGTTGACATCCACAATCCCAGTCTCGATTGCGTAAGGCTGTACATAAACAAGGAAGTTATAGAAGCCTAGGAAACCTAAGAAACACGCTAGACAAAAGAGCGAGTATTGGGCTTCTTTGAACGCAGAAAGTTGCAGCAGTGCCCTTTTCTCTTGGGTTCGGAAACGCAATCGCATTACACCAATGGAAATAGCGCAAGTTGCAAGAGAGAGAAAGCCAATAATGCGGGTTGCCCAGGGGAATCCTATCTGGACTTCAAGTTGATGAAAAATGATGGGGAAAAGGACGCCTCCAATACTGCTTCCAGATGCGGCGATGCCATTTGCTAGAGCTCGTTTATTCTTGAAGTATTGCGGCAAGATCGCAACTGACGGAACGAACAAGAAGCCAGCTCCTATTCCAACACAGATGCCCTGCGCCAGCATGATTTGATAATATTTCGTCGAGAGGCTCGTCATCATCGTTCCTAGAACAACCAGAAAGGTGCCAGTTGGTAACAGGGCGTAGAAATATCCTGCATCAAAGAGCGGACCACTGATTACGCCGACTACCATGAGCAGGGCTGATTGAATGGACCCGATCCAGGCAATCGCCGATGGTGACATGTGCGATAGAATTTGTTGTTCATAGTACGTTTCGAACACTCCAAAAGCGTTAATAATTCCCCTAGACATGAAATTGTGAGTCAAAGTTCGTGATTCTAAGACAAAGACATGACAATGCAACAACAGGTATGGAACCGTACCATGAATTGAAATAGAGGAAGAAAGAACCGAGAACTTGGAGCCAAGCCGTGACGCCGGTATCGTAATCATCCTTTGTATTATCATATCCATCTTTTGGTGGCATTGCTACTTCATTTTCGCTTGAGCCAGCATAGTTAGGGCTCTCTTTGCAGTCGAGATGAGTTTCGTTCATATTAGATCGATTTAAATCAGGACGGGGTGGTTGGTTTGCGTTGTTCGGTGGCTGAGTTCCAAACTTTTGATGTTCATATGTGTGAAGTGAATGATACGACCACTTTTCTAGCAGATATAAAGTCACGGAATAAAAGCGAGTCTAGGGTTCCATATGGTTTAATCTTGTGAAATCCCTGTGCTTGTCTTTTTACGACTGTGGCGACTAGGAAAATGAGTGGAATCTCTTCGCACTATACGCTCTTCTATCAAGCCCGTGTGTGGCGTGTACGGCGGCCCCGGTCTGAACATGCCGATTTGGGACTCGTATCTTAAACCGTATTTGTAAAATGTTAAACGTTGGGGATATGTAGTTGTTGGCCCAGGACATTTATTACTGGGATACCTATGCACCGGTGTAGTCTTGGCATGCTCTGTAATCCTACTCCCATGAAAGTAAGATCCCCCCAGACATTAAGCATTTCATGGCCAGTCTAGAGCTTGCTAGTATGAGCAATTGTGTAAGATCTAGCCCAACAGCAAGTCCAATGATTGAAGAGAACCACCAACTTGAAAATATTGCTAGAACTGGAATAGCATACTTGGGTTTACGGTATTGCTTCCTAAATATCAACTGCTTGGATATCAGCGCTGGCGCCGAGTGTGAATCGTGCACGGTGTCAGTCCACGCAGTCACTATAAACAAAGGCGTCTAGTCATGCCATTGGCGTACAATTTGCCTGCAGAGCGACAGAAGCTAACCTTTTCCCTCTTTAGATCAACATATATTCTCCACTCCGAGCCCTTGTTTGACAACTCAACAGCAAGTAGGGCGTACTCGACAACTTCACACCCAAACAGAGTAGTAACTACCCATGCACTAATACGACCTTGTCGGTATATATTCTCAGTTTCATTCTCCATCGTTTGTGATCTAGGAGCTATACTCTTCTAGGAAATCTATCACTATGCCTTCCCTGCCGTTAGTCAGGTACGCTCGTCTCGAAGGTACTTTATATCCTTGACAGATTGAAGACTTTAAGGCTGATTTTCCAGACGTTTCCCTCATTTTGCGATTTATTCGGGAAGCAGCAGAAGAACAGGCCCCTGGGGCTAAGGTAGCCGCAACTGAGGACAGTCTCGCCAAGACACTGCACTTCGGGCCGCCCTCAGAATCAAGGACAGAAACAGGCACTCGGTTTGCATGGGCGCTGCTCATCTTTTCCCCGGACGAACATCCTGCTGGGCTGTTGATTTATTATCATAATTACTCAACATGGATGGCCGCGCCGGGTGTCTGTTTGGAGGAATTGTATGTTGTATCGGAATATCGGCGTCTAGGCTATGCACAAATCCTGATTGAGACCATGGCATCTGCAGCGGAAGCAGCAGGCTGTATTAAAATGGACTGGGTCTGCCTTTTGGATAACAAGAGAGCACTTAAATTCTATGAAAAGCTGGAGGCAAAACGGATGGAGGATTGGGTCGTCTTAAAGGTTGACAAAGCCAGCACGGAAAAGCTCGCTGCTAGAGGGAAGCAGTCTGTTCTGTGTCCTGAAATAAATGGCACGAATATCTGATAGCGGACGAACAGACTAAAACCCATCATGTATCATAAAATCTGTAAGATCGACGACATTTTGTATCTCAGAGTATGGGCCAGTAGCCTGGGTAAACAATAGTTCGACATCTGGACAACATCTGGCTCGACCACTTACAACTCCTCTGTAAAATTAACTATTTCTTCCTCTTTATGTAAAAGATAGCTCAAATTTTCACTTGCATATAGCTTGATAGAGTAGCTATAAGGAGTCAGTATCTAGACATACACAACTATGCCACATCTCATCCTTGAATACAAGAAACGGCTTTGGCGGAGTTGACGTAGGAAGAGGCTTTAGACTGTGGGGGCGCGGGGTTCAGCATTGCCGCTGTGACAGTGGCGAGTCATGGACTAAGAACGAGTAAGCTACGGCTGAATATGCGTATACTCTGTATGGGGCGTCTAGTCTTTAGCCGTATCACGCCGCAGACGCCTTAGACGCCCTATGCTTGCTCCGTCTTTACTTCACTACGAAGGCACGGAAAGCTGTCTTGGGCTCAGCTCATACGGAATCAATGTTCACTGCCTCTGAAATCAACAGACATGGATCTCCCCGACCTTTACGACCTGGTCGATATTGAAGGGAGCTTAGATCTGCCGTCTGAGTGTGACGCATTTCTACCACTACCGCAAAATACAGCCTCCCCGGCGGCTCACCCAGTTCCAGCACTTGATACCAGCACTTTCGCACCTCCAGCTCTTCGGTCAGACACTTGGACTCCGGAGCAGGAGGCAATCCCGCGACAACGACAGAGACGTTATGCCCCGCGAAGCCGCCAAGGTTGCCTCACCTGCCGTGCTCGCCGGAAGCGTTGCGATATCCAACATCCTGTTTGTCGCACTTGTACCCGTGTCAATGCAGAATGCCGATGGCCAGAGAAGCTTCAAATTCCAGATTTCAACAGCGGAGACAAATCTCTAAAGAACCAGAATAGGGCCACTTCAATCCGCTCAGATTCAGAGGCACTGAGTACACGGAACAACAACGCCAATGTTAGTTCAGTAGCAGATGAATATCTTGCAGCATCGAGAACTACAATTGGAAATGGAAGCGTACCAAGAAGTTTGGCCGCCGAAACTATATTTGCGCGTCAGCTCAGCCCTACTGAAGCTTCTCGTGAGCGGCATTTGTTATCCTACTATACATATACGTTCATCCCTCAAGTAACCCTCGTCCAATCGCCATCGAATTTCTTTATATCACTGTATATTCCTATGGCATTCCATTATAGCGGTGTCATGGATGCAATCATCGCTTGCTCTGCAGCTCATCTTGCAAAGTCGGTTCATGGATCAGAAAAGATTCAGGAGCTTAATTCCGTGGCCATTCGCCGCCAGCAGCTGGCGCGTGAGTTCGTTACAGAACATACGACATGCCCCAAGAGCTCGGGATGGGAAGAATGCAAACTTGAAGTTGTTGTAGTCCTCTTGCTATTGATTGGGTTGGAATCTCAAACAGGAGGTCGAAGTATGAGATGGATGCAGCGGGTCAATTGTGTACGGCAATTACTTCAAACCTATCCAACAACCGCAACGAAAGCGTGGAGTGCATGGGAGGCTGAATGTGTTCATAGACACTTCCTATATTATGATGTAATGTCTCTCATCATGGAGGATGTGTTAGACCCAGAGACGCAAGCAGATTTGTCAAAGAGAAGCGGTCCTTTCAGTGACTGCGCCGCGACTCTTTCGGTACCACGAACGCAAGACTTTCCGGAGCAGGAAGTCGTAACAAAATCTACAGGCTCCTCACAATTTCATCAATACGGAAGCGCGCCTCAGGGTGTCGACTGTCTGCTTGGCTTGTCCAAGGATTTGTTCAGCACCATTACTCAGCTGAGACGCCTGCCCAGTCGAGATTCCGAACTCATTGACATGGAAGCGCCAGCATTTCTCAAGCTTGAGACTGACCTTTCTAACTGGCAGTACGATCATACAACTGCATCGGCCTTAGACTTCAACACCCGTCTAGATTTGATCGCGCTTTCTGAATGTCATCGTCTTACCGCATTAATCCTACTCTATCGGCGTTATCCAAGTCGATCGTATTGTTTACCACATTTGGCGTCACAGATCTTAGGCGTTCTTTCTAGAATAACTCCAAGCAGCGCGGTGATCTCTGCTTTGACTCCGGTTCTGTTTTTGGCTGGCGCTGAACTCAACTCCGAGGTGGAGATGGCATTATGCGCAGCAAGGCTGAAGAGTATTAGGGAAGCAAACAAGATGATGAACATAGCCGCTGTAGAAGAGATTCTTCGAGTTATTTGGGAAGAGCGATTGCAGAAGAAGGGTCAGACAGATTGGCTAGAGATTCTGCGGACTCGGCGATGGACCTTGAGCTTGGGATAATGTTCGAGACTTTACTGATGAATACAATTAATATTTTTGCGACTACTATATCATGCTCGAGTCCAGTGTAAATGGCTTTGCCTTTGAGGAGGACAGATATAATCCATTATAGCTGCATCTCCCTCCTAGGCTTCTGACCAGCGCTCCCCTTTTGAGACCTTAACAATGAACAACCTCTCTATTAGTTATCGTAATTCTACTGCTTTCTTCCTACAGCTTCTCTTTCAATATCATACAGAAGTATCGTGGCAGGACTACAGGAGCCCCCGTGGTTCCTTATACCCAATACGCTTCAATAAACTATATTGTATGACATCTTCTCCTACTTGCTTTCAATAAGTGCCGTACAGTCTACACCATAGATGCAGTTCGCTAAGAAGATCAAAAGATTGTTCAACTAAGGAGCTTAGCAGTCAGAGAGATAAGCAGACTCCGAGTAGCGCCTAAGCTGACAGCGCAAAGTACCCTACGCTTGTATCTCAAGCTGCAGACCAGATAATCGCAGAAACGTTAGGAGTTAAGACCGTAACTATTCATTACGATCTAGGTGGCCATTGACAACTAATTATTGGCAGAGAAACTGGAAACGCCTGATCAAACTGTTTTTCATCTTGCCGATCATCTTGGTTTTTGTGCTCCATCAACAACATCACATCCCATCATCACGGTAATGCGGCATGCGAAAACAGGGAGTAATGCGACATTTTCTTGATCAAGTTGCCCAAAAAGGCAGCTCTTTGTTTCGTTGGATTGTGCCTGAAATCTGAGTCCTGCAAAGAACATACCATAGCAAAGAGAAGATGGTATTTCAGTATAATGAATGCATCGCAAACCCATTTGAACCCGAATACTGTGAGATTTATTCATCTCTAAAAAAATTGTAGTATATTTACCATTATAATTACTGATGTATTTCTTTTTCTTTTTCTTTGTTTTCTATGGGAAATTTCGTTGCATTGTTGCCCCAGTCAGTAATACGAAATAATATGTCAACAATCCAATAACGCAGGTACTGCTTTTAGCGCCATCCCACATGGATCATCATCAGCGACCTCAGTTCAGGTTATTAGCCAGGCAGTTATACGCCTGCGTACAGGTATTCTCTCTTAGTACCTATATAAACATTATAGAGAAATAAGACGTTAAGCTACAAAGCCGCCATTATAAGCTTGTTGTATTGCCCTTCCAATCAGTGGGCATCATAATAGCCGTTGCAAATGCCAACAACGGTTCCTTACTGAATAAACTAGGGTAGGATAGACTCTGTGCCCACTCTTTGTCGAAATTGGAAGCTCGTCAGCTTGACCATGCCAGCATGCGGAGAGAAAATCGGATGAGACGTTCCCAACTTGGCAGGCGCAAGTGATCGTCAAGGAGGTATTGAGCGTAGATATAAAATAGACGAATGGGTTTGCACAAGAACAGTAGCTGTGTTTCTGCTGTCTGCCACAAGCGAAACCATTTAAACCCTCTTTTGGAGATCGAAATGGTCGCGTATCTCCGTTTGTTGCCCATTTTGGGCCTACTTCTTGTAGACGGGGCTCGATCTGTTACTGTAGCCCATGGAGCAGTTGACGAGAGTCAGACTGGAGGCGGTTGGGAGTATGTTCCTGGCGCCTACATTATCGAGTATGAAGACGGTCATGTAAGTCCAATTTTGGAGGCGTGGGCGACCAACCACCAGAGGTTATCGGTCTAACTCGATTGGCCACGATATATAGGAGAATGAAGCATCGCTATTCAGCGACCTTCACACTCGTGGACTTCCGGCTTCTAAGCGGATGAGCCTATCGTATTCTTTGTTTAAAGGAGCTTCCATCCAACTGGACGCGGTCGATTTAGATCCTCATTCCGCATCCACCAAAATCGCATCCCTTACTTCAGTGAAGAATGTGTGGCCTGTCCGTCACTTCCAGGACCTCGGAAGCGGCAAACCTAGGGTGAGAAACAGCCATTTCACCAGCTTGAACGGCCTATCAGAGCATGTTTCTAGAGCAACGGCAGCAAACGACACTGATTCATATGCGCCACATGTTATGACCCAAGTGGACAAGCTACACGCAGAAGGTTATACCGGCAAAGGCATTCGTATCGGCATTGTCGATTCTGGAGTTGACTATAATCACCCTGTCTTGGGAGGCTGCTTCGGTCCTGGGTGCATTGTCAGCTACGGAATGGACCTGATTGGGGATGCGTTCAACGGCACCAACACGCCCATGCCTGGTCCCTACCCCATGGACTGCCTTGGCCATGGAACGCATGTCTCTGGCATTATTGCCGCCCAAAAGAATCCTCTGGGCTTCATTGGTGCTGCGTATGGCGCAACGATAGGCATGTACAAGGCCTTGGACTGTGCCGGTAGTTCCTCCAACGACGTTCTGATGGCCGGTTTCAACCAGGCATATGAGGATGGATCGGATGTTATCTCTCTTTCCGTTGGAACCATCTCTGGCTGGAAAGAAGATCCGCTCGCAATCACGGTTTCCCGGATAATCGACGCTGGTGTGCCCTGTGTTATTGCAAACGGTAACAATGGCCCAATGGTTTTCACCGCAGCTACTCCCGCCGCCGGCAAAGGAGTCATGAATGTGGGATCCATAGAGAACACCATGACGCCCTTACTAGGGACCGAAGGGTTCACCAGCTTGGAAATTTCTACCGATAACTTGACCTCCTTTGCCTGGATTCCTGGAACTCCCGCATTTCCCAACATCACTCTGCCATTCTGGGTTGTGACTCCCAATGTGACTACAGATGGCACCTGGAGCGCCTGCAGCCCGCTCAATGATAACGCACCGGCAGACCTGAGTAATAAAATCGTCCTCGTCGAGCTGGATGACTGTGGGGACCCAACTATCGCGGAGAACCTTTCAAAGAATAATGCGACATATATCATGTTCTATAACTCTGATGATGACTTAGACAAGTACGGAATATCTTTTTAAAACTGTTGTTGATAGCATGCTAACCCTCTATTAATAGCATATACAGTGTCAGCACCTCTCCTAGTACTCTCGGTGCCGGGATGGTTGCCCTACAGCAGGCTGCGGAATGGCGAGATCTCTTGGGGAACGGCACAGAAGTATTTGCGACACTTGTTGAGCCTCAGTCTGCCAACCCTGCTGCGGGATATTATCCAAACGATTCCATTGGCGGCTATGTAGATGATTTCTCAAGCTGGGGTCCAACATGGGAGGCAGATCTAGATCCACACATCTCGACTCCAGGAGGCTCGATTCTTTCCACTTATCCGTTGAACCAGGGAGGATATTACGTCGACTCTGGCACCTCCATGGCAGCACCCATCATGGCTTCAATTTATGCCTTGATTATGCAAGCTCGCTCGATCAAAGATCCCAAGACTCTCATGGGCCTGGTCTCATCTACGGCAAAGCAGACGAAATACTATGACTCGTATCAGGGGACATTTTATGATGACCTTGCGCCTGTAGCTCAACAAGGTGCCGGTTTGGCGCAGGCCTATGATGCGGTTCACGCAACCACCTCTTTAAGCGTATCGAGCTTCTCTTTCAACGATACAGATCACTTTGTCAACAGTACGGATTTTACAATCAAGAATGGGGCTAAGCAAGCTGTTACATACTCAATCGGTCACACGCCCTCTAGGTCTAGGGATACTTACAAAACTGGGCAGTCCAACCCGTCACGATCTTCAAACTCAAGCGATATCGCAGCGACTCTTGCTTTTTCTGAGGCCAAAATCACAGTTCCAGCAGGTGGATCGACCAAGGTGACGGTCAAAGTGACTCTTCCCCAAGGGCTCACTGCGGCCAACCTCCCCGTCTATGGTGGATACATTACCTTGGATGGTTCTACTGGTGAACATCTTGTCATCCCATATCTCGGGGTAGCCGGGAGCCTTGCAAACGCTCAGAGCATAGATCCCAACTATAGTTTCATTTACCACACCTCGGGTCGCTTCCCGCAGTCGGCGCCCGACAACGACACATGGACAATACCTCATCCTACACTGGGGGCTAGTCAGCCTTCGTCATCATCATCTGTCGACTATCCTGCACTTGGGATTGAGGCTGATTCCGGTATTCCACTGCTGAGAGCGGATATTATCCCTCTTGGCAGCACACCAGCCAAAACCACAAAAGTTCTGGGAGTCGATGTAGCCGGTAGCTTTCATGGGTATCCCGTGCAGTGGCTCAACACAAACATCAACCAAGTCGCTTTCAATGGCATAACGCAAGAGGGAACAATATTACCAGAAGGAAATTATGCCGTACTGCTGCGAGCATTGAAGATTTTTGGAGATGCGAACAACCCTGACGACTATGTAACCAAACAGACCCAATCTTTCAACATCAAGTATACTTCGACGGCGGCATAGGTAGACATTTGAGGGCCTAATTTGGAGCACTAGATACCTACCATTGACTTTGTGACCAATATTGTCCCGATTCACGAAAGCTTGACCGTTCGCTTATTTCCAAAACCATCGAACCAGCTATCAAGATCGGATCTACTCACATTCGTTGCGAGACCAATCCTTTCATAAACATTCTCCTCCGCATTCACTAATTGTAGCAGCATGCAAATGTGATTCCCTCCCCATACAAAACCTGTTTTCATACAGTATATCCGACTTCCGAATGGAATATGTTGAGGGCCTGGTCGATGCAGAGGATAATCGTAATGAAAGGTCAGAGAATTCCCACTCATGCCTTTGAAGTGGATACTCGTTGTGTCTGAAGGAGCGTTATGCACCTCGACTAAAGTTCCAGGAGCAAGATAGCCTCTGACTTCCATAGTAGCCTCGGAAATAGACGCATATTTATCTGGGCCATCTAGATTGAAATTGATACTGATGATCTCTAGATCGTCCGGGTACGTTCTGGGGCAAGCCGTCGCGTAGCTGGCAATATTTCCAGTAGAAACCCAAGACCATGTTGGGCCGCAATAAGAATCTGGGCGATCGTGAATTTTCCGAGAGGCACAGTACCATAGCAGCTCAGAAGGGAAACAGTTTTCCCACATTCCTGCGACATATCGGCCGAGATCAGCTGAGTGGGCTGTTCCGTACTGTCGCGCGACGCCAGACAGAGCAGGAAGACGATCTGATGTAAATGAGATGCGCAGTCCAGAATATTCTTCCACAATCTGGTGCCAGTATTTCCTGATTTGGTCGAGATTCGATGCGCGGAGGCCTTCAAAGTGGTACAGCTTGCGCTCATTGGTATACTCGCCGCTCCCACCACCTGCGCCATTACTACCGCCTCCCCATATTCCTCCTGGGATATGTTCGCACTCGCAGGTTTTGTCCCTCTTGCCGCTTGCGCATTCAAATGCGAGTTCATATCGTGTAAAATAGACGATTCTTGGAGACAAAAGACGCTCCTGATAGACCCACGCTCTGCTGAGAAGAGGCAGCTCTGGTGTCATCTGTAGCACACCAGCAACGTCCCAAGTGGTGTGTTCTGGGACTCTGCGAACGAGGTAAGATGCGGCTTGGGGCCCGAGATGCGTAGCAGGTTGGACTTTGAAAGAAGCACTTTCGCGAAACAGACCAACATCGCTATCAGCAGACCATGCCGCTGCAAGGGTGACATACGCGCCAGAGTAAATCTCGCACATTTGAGCTGCCTGAACCTTCCAATCATCGCTACTGTCTTGAATGATGCACAGCGAATCAATCCACAAGTATTTGATTCCAAGCCAAACGGCAACTTTAGCGGCATCTTGGAAAGTCTTGGGTAGGCGATCCCAGGGAATTGCCTCAAGATGCGCAGGCAGGCTCTCAATCGTCGTCCGGCATAAATGTGTTGATGCTCCCCATCGATGGCTAAGACATACATATCTCTCGCACCCACCCAAATCCTCAACCAAGCGAACATTGATGTTATTTTGTGGCCCTGGCGTCATTTCTAGTACTCGTTTGGGCAGTTGTGCGACCGATGCAGATTTGCAAGAGTCATGCAAGGAGCTGCACTTATTGAGCCAATTGCTGATTCTGTTCAAAGACGTTTCTGCTCCAGTGTTGTTAAACAAAACTGAAGATCTATACGCAAATACATGATCTATGCATTGTTAAAATCTTCAAAATGTATGGTAGGAATAAATTGTTCGACTTACCGCTTTCTTCCTTCTCATGCCCATTCAGTCTGTCAATGTCGATTAGGATGATCCATAGACGGTAATCCTCTGTACCATGACCCTCAGCTTCTCGACTGCTAACATTCACAGTAACATCCAACTTAAGATTGCTCATCCCCTTATCCCGCCCTGAAGGCATTGTCCAAGTTACGTGCACGTCTTCCGTCCACGATTTATCGTCCAAAACCACATCATCATCTTGGCACGCCGATGCTATAGCTTTTACAATAGCATCGCAGCCGCGACAACCCCGCTCGCGAGATGCGCGGAATACCTCAAGTTTTGTCCGGATTTCGATTCTAAGGTACTCGCGCCAGGTTTCAGGAAGTGGAGACGGTAATTGCTCGTCGAGGGACTCTGTTCGCTCCTCATCGTGAATGTGGGATGATTCGCGCCAAGTGTAACTCCTTTGCACAAATGGTTCCTTCAGAGATGCTGATTCTTCATCGAGATCAAAATAGCAAAGACCACAGCGCCTCTGACTAGTTGAGAAACAGTTGCCCATGGTGCGTATGGCTTAAAGCACCCGCAAATGAGTATGTACGGTTGATACTAAACGCGTAAGCATAAGATCATATGGAGAATCTAACAAAGTAATTCTGCCTGCAGTGCTCGACACACAGATGGACAGCGTGACATGAATACCGTGCGTATCTGCTGTGCCACACGGTACCGCACGGCGTACCATCCATCGAATTGATGCCCCAACAACTTGCTTTATTTGCACCTATCTTACTACCCCCGAGACTTATTCCGTAAGTAAACTTTAAAGACATATGAGTCATATCAAAGTTGAGTTATCAAATTTTGAAATACCGCCGGGCCGTGAGCTTCCCCGAATGATTACTTCATGGACTAGGAACATATACAATATAAGATGTCATTTAGAACTGGTTCTATCATGACGGATACTATAGAAACATCTTTGTCTGGCCAATTGTATTGAACACGATAAATTATTAACTACTATGAAGTTGGCACCTTTACTTAGTCTTTTGGCTGTCTTACAGAGCCCTTCTGTACGTGCCGCTTTTATACACCCCGGCCTTTTGCATACTGAAGCAGACTTCACTCGTATCAAATCGCATGTCAACAGCAAACAAACTCCTTGGATTACGGGATGGAACAAACTCGCTGCTCACGCTAGCCCCTCATATACCCCTAGGCCGGTAGCAACGCTCTGTCGGGGAAGCTCATCAGATTGTACTGAGAACTATCCGAACCTTTACAGAGACGCCTCTGCTGCATACGTGAACGCCATCTACTGGAAAGTCACTGGAGACACCAAATACGCGGACAATGCGGGCAAGATTCTCGACGCCTGGAGCAGTACACTTACACAAATATGGGGTAGCAGCGACAAATTCCTGGCGTCTGGTCTATACGGGTATCAGCTCGCTAATGCTGGAGAAATTCTTCGTGGCTATAGCGGATGGAAAGGGCTGAGTAACCTGGTCAATATGCTGAAAACAGTTTTCTACCCTATGAATCACTCATTTTTGACAAACCATAATGGTGCCAAGATTGACCATTACTGGGCTAACGTAAGTCAATCACATCACAAGTTCCCAAACAGTTCTGTACTTATGAGAAGGGATAGTGGGACCTATGCAACCTCGCTTCTATGCATGCTATCGGCGTCTTGGCAGATGATTCAGCTCTGGTGAATGAGGCCATCACGTATTTTAAAGGTGGTGGCGGAAATGGCGCCATTGACAAGTTTGTCTGGAAATTATATACCGAAGCAGGGTCTTCGAAGAGCTTGGGCCAGGGACAAGAAGCTGGAAGAGATCAAGGCCATGCGACACTTGACTTCGCGTTGGTCGGTATATTGGCGCAACAGAGCTATAACCAAGGAGAGGACTTGTTCGGATATCTCAGTAACAAAATACTTGCCGGGTAAGTCTTCACATCTACAGCAATACATCCAACGATTGACTCATCATTCTTCAGCTCGGAATACATGGCCAAATACAACCTTGGCCATGATGTCCCATACACTACTTATTCCAACTCAGATGTAACACAGACGGTTATCAGTACTGGCAGCCGCGGCACTATCCGACCCATGGGCGAGCTCCTTTATGCGCATTATGGAGTGCTTAAAGGTCTCAATGCTTCGTGGACCAAGGCATACCGCGATTTGGTGGTTTCTAACGGTGGTGGCGCAGAGGGCGGCGGCGGCGACTATGGTTCTACTAGTGGTGGATATGACCAGCTGGGATTTGGAACCGTGCTGTACCGACTGGATGCGTAAGCAACACTGGCTGTGGAAATGATAAATTCAGAACCTAGCAGGAGAAGGTCATGGAAGGAATCATGGCTAATTCAAATGCCTTTGTCACTGAAGTATTAGCTATGCTTCTTTGTTGTTTACCTTCACTATATTAGCTCTAGTTTAACCATATTTATTTCTCATTGGCCACCAGTATCTGCTAGTATTGCACTTTATTTTAACCATAACTATGTATTATGCTTAGTGTATAAACTATTAGAACTTGCTAACCAAGCTGTACCATTGTAACAGGCCTGTTATATCCTTATACTATTAGGCAAATAATTAGGCAATGGACTACAGTTCTAGCAATTGATATAATAGAACCAACTCCATTTACCTATCAGTGATCAATTGGGCGCAACCTCGTAACAATCACCTATATGGGACCTGCTGAAGGGTATCTCTCTGGACCAACGCCTTTGCCCCGGCAACTTACACTACATATACCCAATGAAGTTACCTGATCTTCTATGTACACAGGTCTAGCCTCTAACCAGTAGCAGTGATATCCTAACCAGCATGCTTGATCCCCAGATTACCTCGCTAAATCTTATTTACACCCCAAAACTTTATTTCACCCCGCAATACCCTGGAGAATGTCCCAAACCTTGGCTGCCGAGAAAGCATTACACCGGAGGTCGGGCCAGGTCTCGGGCCGGGCTTGAGATTCACGGGTTGGGTAATTCTCTTTAAATGCCTGTGGTTATTTGCTTTCTATATTCCGTCGGGCCTTAGGGTTATATTCACATGATTGGACAAGTGAAACGATTGAGGCTGGACCTGGGAATACAAGTTTCCATCTGTTAATCCAAGTACAGTATCAGTTGGTTATGGCTTATAAAGTCTCTCAAGACCACCACATTAGGATGATTGATATGACTAGAACGTGATAATCTCAGGGGTATTCCACTCCCAAGAGCCCAAACTTCTGCTCATTTCGCCGATAATCACAATGGAGCCCAAGCCCGTCGCCCAGAGACCATTCCGGGCTCAGATATACCACACGAGAAGACTGAAGAGTACCATATTGAGACGGCTGAGTATGAGTTCAACCGTATCGATCTCAGTGCTCTAGCTAGTCACTCCTTATCCTGGAGGACCAAGGCCATCTGGCGCCTGGCGGTCGTTATTTTACTCCAGGGTTTTAGTACGTTCATTAACCTAAGTGGTTTTGGTCGCTAAGATATGTTCCTCATATAACTAAACGGCTTCTAGGTGTTGCTGCGTCTGCCATGGATGGCTCCATAATCGGGAGCATGGCGTCCCTTCCCGCCTTTCGAGAATACTTCAACGTCGGTACAAGTGGCTCGGGGATTGCTATCATCATAGCAGGCATGTCTATCGGAAACGCGGTGGCCAGTATTTTCCAGTGGACTTCTGATCTCATCGGTCGCCGAGGCGTTACCTGGCTCGGCAACTCCATCATTGTCATCAGTTGTGTGATACAAGCAGCTGCTCCAAACAATATCTGTATGATCCTGGGTCGCGTCATTGGAGGAGCGGGTTGCTCTCTCAGCGCAACTGTCGGCCCAATGTACATAAGTGAAATTGCACCCGCCTCTCATCGTGGCATGGCCGTGGGGCTGTTCTGCTCGTGCTATAGCATCGGTGCTATCGCTATCGCCTGCGTGATTCTGGGGGGCTCTTACATGACGGGAGACTGGAGCTGGCGAATGCCCATGATAGTTCAGATCATTCCGCCTTTAACCGTGGCTCTTTTAGTCTATCCCCTAACCCCAGAATCACGAAGATACTTGGTCTACAAAGGACAGATTAATAACGCCAAGAAGGTTATTGCTCTCTATCACACAAGTAGTGAGGACATCGAAGATCCCATTGTCACCGCGGAGATCGACCAAATCCAGCACTCCATTGAGTCTGTTGACTCAAAACCATGGGATTTTAGTACACTTTGGAAAACGAAGAGTGCCAGGTATCGACTTTTGCTCATCTTCCTTTATGCCTTTATCCAGCAATGCAATGGAACCGGTAAGCCAGGATATCATTATACAAACTCATCATTGTGGTTGCCTAACACACTCAATCTAGGAATGCTGGGCTATTATCTACCAGGGATTTTGACTCTGGTCGGGATTACAAACAGTCAACAACAGTTAGCTATAAACGTAGGTATGACAGTTGCCTCATACCTATCCACACTTGCGGGAGCCCTAATCATCGATCGCGTCACTCGGCGATTCCTCCTCGCAAGCACATTGATCGTCTTCATCTTTTTTCTGTCTCTCATGTCCGTCACTGATGGACTCTTTGCCAACGGCATCGCCAAGAATGCCATGGGTATTCTGACCATAGTAGCTATTTACTTGTTCCAGATCTCCAATGGCCTTCTTTGTAAGTTGATCCTCGATCAGGTTTATATTACACGCAACCTAATTGCTTGAAGCGTCGACCCTTCACAGTGTTTACCCGACCGAGGTCCTCCATTATAGCCAATGTGCCAAGGGCATGGGGCTGTATTCGTTTTTCCAAAATTGCTTGGGCTTTGCCATGACATATGGTGTAGGTGAACTGCTCGCAAAAATCGAGTGGAAGGTAAGCATTTACACGCTTTCGTTTTAGCTATAATGACCGGTTTACTAACACATGTATCTCAGACTTACTTCATGTTCATTGCGATCGACTTAGTCTTTCTATACCTAACTTGGTAATTTTTCCTAGAGTTCCGTTTTCTCTCCTTGGAGGGAATTGATTACGTTTTTGAGACGCCCGGAGTTCATCTAGTTAAGATGTCTAAGCGGCTTCAAAAGGCAAAGCTGCTGAAAAGGAGAGAGACGACAGGATAAATTGTTTTTTTGAATACGGCCAGTCAGGCGCCAACCGTTTGTCGACTTTGTCTTGTCGTGGCGGCCGCAGGTAGTCGGAGTATGAGGGCGGTGAGAGAATGAGATGGATCTACCTCTGAGTGATATCTAACAGCCTCGAACTGTTCCCTTATGATTGCATAACTATTAAATAATGCGTCTTCTTAGACAAGTACACATATGAGTGTAGCAATGTCACTTAATCTGTCCATCATAGCTCCCATGGTAATTGACCAATAGGCTTCTGGTCACGCCAGTAGCTTGAGTCAATTAATCCTTAAGACATACATGCCAGCTCTAACTTTCTTTGAAATCAGGCCGGGTGCGATCATACCGAGATCTTCGAATATGCCTGTTGAACGCAAGGCGACACTACCCTTAGGGATAAGACCTAGATACTACACAAACTTATAGTATATCCTTCCGGCAGCAGACTGTTCTCCCGAGTAACACATATAATGAACCTGCTAAGTTATATACTCGTACTGCCTGACAACATCTCATACACAAGCCCTGACCCAACTTTAGAAGAGGGCTCATGAGGGATTGGCTGGGAGGAAATTACTCCATACACAATAGGGATCTCTCTTACTTTAAAAAGAATTGAGTAACGGGGTGTCCGTCTCTATTTTCCGTCGGCTTAAATACTTAATTTAAAGAATTTACCTAACACGTTTACAGTATCCATTGAAGCGCGGTATTACTTTGAATGAACTATCGAGTTGGCTAAAGATAACAAAATCCCCGCAGTTAGTGAATGGATCGCACCGACTAGACGTTAAGGTTGAACCTTCGGGTAAAAATCCGGACATACCAGAAGCATAACCTGCCTTCAACGCATATTATGTCGGCTCAGGATACCGTTGGTGTAATCCGAACCTTCGGCCACCATAATTAGTATAAGAAGCTGGTGGCCAGACCAGTTAGACTTAAGAGAAGCAAACTCAATTCCACCAGTGTTTCCTGCGCTGCGTATGCAATCTTGTCAGTCACCAATAGATGCACCAAATATCAAGCACTCTTTCCAACAGCCAGCCTCGCAGAAGATTTATATCTCAGTCTCGCCAGTCAATTCAGCTTGGAAGAAAAACTAACACTAGGCTCACTGAGTATTTCCTCTGTACCGCAGGGCACTAGTACCAGCTAAGATGACCAGCGACACGAGTGAATCGCGGCATCTTCAGCTTCATTATTCAGCTCCTGCCACACAATGGTCAGAAGCCCTGCCCATTGGCAACGGCCGTCTTGGTGCTGTTGTATATGGGCGGACCGAAGTAGAGCTGATGCAGCTCAACGAAAACTCGGTGTGGTATGGAGGCTCTCAAGAGAGGACACCGCCGGATGCTTATCGTATGCTGCCCAAACTTCGACAATTGATTCGAGAAGAGAAGCATTCGGAGGCTGAGGCTTTAGTCAAGGAATGTTTTTTTGCAACTCCCGCAAGCATGCGTCACTACGAGCCGATGGGCACCGCAACACTGGAATTCAACCACCAGAATGTCGCTGATTATCGGCGTTGGCTCGATTTGGCTACTTCGCAGGTTTCTGTTCAGTATACAGTCGATGAGATTTCTTATCAGCGTGACGTTATCGCCTCATACCCTGACAATTCATTACTTTTACGATTCACTGCTTCTAAAAGTACTCGTTTCATCGTGCGCCTGGACCGGCTGAGCGATAACGACACCGATACGAACGTCTATGCCGACACTATCACAGCTTCTGGTTCCCACATTTTGCTTCACGCAACTCCAGGAGGATCGAATAGCAATCGATTGTGTTCTGTTCTTGGCGTCGTCTGCGACGATGGCGGCACCATTGAGGCCATCGGAAATTGCCTTGTCATTAACTCTGCCTCCTGCAGAGTCGGCATCGCCGCTCAGACAACATTCCGTCATGATAACCCCGAAGTCGTCGCCCGGACTCAGATCGATCAGGCTCTGGCACGGCCGTGGGATGAACTAGTGGAGAGGCATAGGACAGATTATTCTAGGCTTTTCGGCCGGATGAGCCTGAGAATGTGGCCGGACGCTTGTGACTTGCCAACGGACCAGCGCCTTCGAAGTAGTAGGGATCCTGGCCTTGTCGCCTTATATCACAACTATGGCCGATACCTGCTTATTTCATGTAGTCGGAATGGCTACAAAGGGTTACCAGCAACGCTTCAAGGCATCTGGAACCCGAGCTTTGCCCCACCTTGGGGATCAAAATATACGATCAACATCAACACGCAGATGAACTACTGGCCTGCTGGCCCGTGTAGTCTGATCGATGATTGTTCGATTCCACTGTTGGATCTTCTGGAACGAATGTCAGACCGGGGCCGCCAAACGGCCAAGGTCATGTACGGCTGCCGAGGTTGGTGTGCACATCATAACACCGACATTTGGGCCGATACGAACCCTCAAGATCGCTGTATGACAGCCACTATTTGGCCTCTTGGAGGTCTCTGGTTATCGACCACGCTAATGGATACTCTCAAGTATCAATATGACGAGGCGCTACATAATCGCTTATTCCACGTCCACGAGGGTGCTGTGCAGTTTGTTCTCGACTTTATGATACCATCTAAATGCGGTTCATAGTCACAAACCCCTCACTCTCTCCAGAGAATGCGTTTGTCTCAAGGTCTGGAAATAATGGCATATTCTGCGAAGGATCTACCATAGATATGACTCTTATCAAGATGGCTTTAACGCAGTATATTTGGAGTTCAGAGCGACTGTCAAACGTAAGCCACTCTCTTAAGGGGCCTGTTGAGGCGGCTTTGACTAGGATTCAACCTCTTACACTTAATCAAGAAGGATTAATTCAGGAGTGGGGTCTTAATGACTACGAAGAAGTTGAACCCGGGCATCGCCATGTATCACATCTCTTTGGCTTATACCCTGGAGATCTGATACACCCTACGCAAAGTCCAGAACTTGCTGCCGCGGCCCAAAAAGTGTTGAAACGGCGCCTCGCTAACGGTGGTGGCCACACGGGCTGGAGTCGGGCGTGGCTTTTAAACTTCTATGCACGATTGCTTGACGCAGAGGCGTGTGGAGAGAACATGGATCTTCTCTTGCATAATTCTACGCTACCCAACTTACTAGATACTCATCCCCCTTTTCAGATTGATGGGAATTTTGGAGCATGTGCTGGAATCTTGGAGTGTTTGATGCAGTCGACTGAACGTAAGATGGATGGGGAGAATGTGGTCCAGATATCTTTACTTCCAGCATGCCCCCGTAAATGGGACAAGGGCCACCTCCAGAGGGTGAGAGCAAAGCAAGGATGGCTTGTGTCTTTCCAATGGAGCAAGAATCAGATCATCGGCTCAGTGGAACTTAGCTGCACTATGGCGGGAGCTGATGCGGCTCATCTTTTGTGTCCAGATGGATTGAGACGGGTATTTGACGGCAGCATGGTCAGAGACTACACTTTTGAGGTAGCATAGAGCAGAATCAAACATGAAAGATGACAACCGCCATTTATGCTCTTTTCCTGAGGTCTAAAGTCTTTTCTGGTCTCATCGCTAGATGCCAATGGTTGGGACATGGGACCACGAAGTGCAGTGACGGGTCCTGCGATTGCATATATGCTTCACGAAAGCTCAGGCTTAGTCTGTTTGTTTGATGGTTTGCATTTATTGAAATATCTGGCTTTTCTGTGCTCTTTTTGACATCATACACCCGCAACTCAGCTTTGACAGTGGCTACATGAAATTGTGTTGCAGGAACGTTGGTTCTTATTTTAATTATCTATGTTGCATAGGTCCCCATCCACGATCCCACCATTTGAACACCCCCTAACTGACATCTGGTATAATACCAATTGCAAATCTACTACTTCAACCTTGGGAAGGCTTCAACGTCATATTGTAGACATGTTCGTTTGCATAGAGGGGTATGAAGTCCGTAGATAAATACCAGCCGGGTTTTTTCATTGTGTCATAAATAGCTTTCCCGTTGACTACTAGATTCTCAAACGTAACGTTAGAGATGGTTCGGTCCGCATCGTAGCCCGTGAAGATGGAGGTATCGGCATTTGTGCCATTGTACTGGAGGTTTCGTATGAGGACATTGCGGATTCCTCGTCCGGGTGAAGTATTGTACTTGTCGTTGTACATCACACGAAAGTTTAGGAGCTGGCCCACGCGAATATTTTCGACTCTTACATCCTCAATGAGAACGTTTTCAACAAGGTTACTATCGCCCGGGTTCAATGCAATTGTCCCCTGGTATAGCATCTGTTTCTCATTTTGATCGAGAATATCAATGTTGCGAATAGTCAAGTCGTCGATGGTCTCAGGATCTTCGGTATTGCCGTGAGTCCCCACGTTAATAGGGTGCGCCACATCAGCCCAGAGGATCGAATTCTGAATTGTGATGTTCTTGCTATCACCGTACCATTCATCTCTGTGATTGTAAACGGCGATACAGTCGTCGGAGTTTCTTAGGAAGACAGAGTCGATGAGGATATTCTGACTACAAAACAAGTCGAGCCCATCTCCATATTGAACAGCGCTGAAGCCGCGCCAATGGTGAAATGTTACGTCGTTGGACATATAAGCTCTTGGAAAGAAATTGATGCCAATGAGTCCTTCGATGACAACATTGTTGGATCGCACCACGGATATCGCATTTCCTTTCTCGCTGTACAGGACCCCACGTCCACGCAAAGCGACGTTACTGGAGTTTGTCACTGTGATGTCGGGAGCCGTGACCACAGCTCCTCCAGCAAGGTACAAAGTTTTATCGGATGGGACATTAAGAGCCGAATCAAGTTTGTGATAGCCAGGACCATAGTATATGACATCCGGATCGTCGGCTGACGGACCATCCTGATCGGGCGGATTGGTGAAGATGTGCAGGCAGTCAAAGATGTTGCCGTTCACTTGCAAGATGACATCGCGGGGCTCAGTGAGCATGAAGGTAATGGTAGAACCTGACATTGTTGGGCTAATGTCGAGAGATTGCGGTCTGATAATGGCGTCAGAAACTCCGTCGTGCAGGTACTTGGCCCGAATCTCGACGGTTCCATTGAAGTCGAAATATACCATGGAAGAAGTGTGCCGAATTGAGCTACCAGTGGTGAAATTGACCTCGTTATGTGTGGGGGAATAACAGTCAATCTTCTTCCATTCATCTCCAGGCGAGCGTACTTCGACATCGAAAGAAGTCGCGACAGATACATTCGCCGGTATGGGGTAGGTCTGGAGGGTAGTATCGCATCCTGAAGCCCCTGGTGTCATGCCCGTGGCAATACTGTCACGGGCCAGAATAAGCAAAAAGGGTATTAGGAGTGAGTTGATGAACCCCATGGCGACAGATTCAATGAGAGTAGAAAAGCAGGAGTAGCAGAAAGTTCTTTGGATAATACTGGTGGTTCTGTACCAGAACAAAGTTGAACTTGTGAATTGAGAGGAGTATGACGCCGCCTTTGGCCTTCATAGTGGGATGCTATCATTTCGCTCTACTCCAGTCTTATATAAAGGAATCTCTAACTTGGAGTCACGGAGTGAGAACTGGATGGATATCTTCTTCCCCAGACGTTGCCCCTTCACCCTTCATCCTCCGTTAACCTTCAGTACAGCTATGAGGGAAACAATAACGCGGGCTCATTGCTTTCCTGGCCCAATTCTACATTTACTTATTTTCGGTGTAAGGGCCGGGCTTTCCTCCGGCTGTCATAGCCAGTGAATGCATGCGCCTGTGGTAGGGTATTAGGGTACATGTATTTAGGTATGTATTTTCCTCATCGTTCGGTTATTTTAGCTCCGGAAAAACGACATACAGCCAACATCCAGTTGTCCATCTGGTTGAAGCTGCGCCATGTAGTGTAGCATCATCTTTTATACAATGTTTGTTTCTCAATTAGAGAGTAGCCAGCAGCATCGGGTATTAGGGTATTTATTTGGGTATTGTCGTCACTGTAGGGTATTATTTAGCCTCCGGGAAATGGACATATGGCTAGGCTCAAGTTATCTTCTTAGTTGAAGCTATGTCATGTGGTGTTGGATGGATCTAGTTACACGAGGCTTGTGTTCCATAATGACAGTAGCCACTAGACAGCACCTAGTGGGCTGCCGTTAATGATTCATCGCGTCTTACGCTCCCCGCAGTATCTGGCAGGCATTATAATTCCACCATCCTCTCCGGGCTGAAGAAGTTCTCGCTGGCAAGATCAACAAAGCAAACCTGTCAAATACTCGAAATAGATATAGTCATCATGTCGTTTCCAAAAACACAGCCTGATTGGAGCAACCTTGACATCCTCCATCGCAATACTCTCCCGCCGCGTGCTCACTTCTACCCATTCGCCACGAAGGAAGCGGCACTCTCCTTGAATCGTGACAACGCCCAATTCCAATCACTCAATGGAACATGGAAATTCCGCCACGATGTCTCGCCATTAGAAATCCCCGATCGGAAAGATCTCGACCCAATAACATGGGCCAATATAAAGGTTCCTGGCATGTGGCAGCTTCAAGGTTATGGCCGGCCTCTTTACACCAACGTCAATTACCCTTTCCCTGTGGACCCCCCGAATATTCCATTTCTCAATGAGACGGGGTCTTACTGGCGCCAATTTACTACAAACAAAGACTGGCAAGGACAGCAGATCCGGCTACGTTTCGAAGGCGTTGATAGCTCGTTTCACGTCTGGGTCAATGACAATGAAGTTGGCTATAGCCAAGGCAGCAGGAACGCTAGTGAATTCGACATTACCCCATTTCTTAGGGACACAGGAGCAATCAACACAGTTGCAGTCCGCGTATACCAATTCTGCGACGGATCCTACCTTGAACGCCAAGATCAGTGGCTTCTCTCTGGAATTTTTAGAGACGTTTACCTAGTCGGGTTCGCCATTCCCTCCATCACGGATTTTACCATTTTACCCCAGGTAGACGAGTCTTTGACAAGGGGCGTTGTCCACGTTGATGTCTCCCTCCATGGAAGCGACTCTGAGGATGTCACCGTCGAGTTACGGAGTCCTAGTGGCGATGTCTTGCATGAGGGACAGATGAAATCGACTGAGATGGCTGCCCTGACAATCGAAGGCGCATCTCTTCAGCTATGGTCTGCTGAGAAGCCGATTCTTTATACCCTACTCCTGATAGTGGGAGGTTGCACCGTTGCTCAACGAATAGGGTTCCGTCGGGTTGAGATGAAAGGAGCCAATTTCTTGGTCAACGGGAATCCTATTATTTTATATGGCGTCAATCGCCATGAACATCACTACCTCTATGGCAGAGCTGTGCCGTACGAAGATATGAGAGCAGACATCGTTATGATGAAGCAGCATAACATCAACGCACTAAGGTGCTCTCACCAACCAAATGACCCCCGGCTCTATGAAGTTTGTGACGAGCTCGGCATCTACGTTATGGCGGAAGCGGATCTTGAAACTCATGGTTTCGATTCTGTGGAAAGAAGCGCATAAAAGACGCGCACCTCATGGATGGCCGGGAACTTCAGGAGCTTTCCTACGATCGCGCTAAAAAGTGGACATCAGATAATCCCGACTGGTGCGATGCCTATATGGATAGAGCTTCCCAGCTTGTTGAACGGTTCAAAAATTATACTTGCATTATCTTTTGGTCTCTTGGCAACGAGGCGTTTTATGGAAGAAACCACGTGGCCATGTATGACTATATCAAAGAGAGAGACCCTAGTCGACTCATCCACTACGAAGGAGATCGTAAGGGTATATCGACCGACTTTTATAGCGTCATGTACGCAACGCCTGATGAACTGAAGAAGCATCTCGCCGAACATTCAGACCGGCCATTGATTCAGTGCGAATACGGTCATGCCATGGGAAATGGACCGGGAGGGCTTGCCAGCTACATCAACTTATATCGATCTGAGTCGCTCCTTCAAGGTGGCTACATCTGGGAATGGTGTAACCATGGGCTCCTCAAAAGAGAAGGCAGATTGTCGTACTTTGCGTACGGTGGCGACTTTGGGGATACTCCCAATGACCGCGACTTTGTTATGGATGGGCTTACCTTCTCTGACCATTCTCCTACACCCGGCTTACTTGAATACAAAAAGTGTATCCAGCCGGTATCTATCCAGCTTGAGGGTGGTAAGCTGCATATTCATAATCACTACGACTTCATTGACCTGAGCCACCTTTTTGCCACCTGGCATTTGGTTCAAGAGTCGGGCAACACCAGTCCCACGGAGTTCGAGCTGCCGCAGATTGCCCCGGGGGCAGAAGCCATAATTGACCTTCCCGACTGGGGTGGTGAATTACATGGAGATACTTGGCTCTCGATCCATCTCTACCTGAAAGACGAAACCGCTTGGGCGCCTCAAAGCCACGAAATTGCCTGGAGTCAAATAACCCTATTGGAGAATCATACATTTGAGCTACCCCCGGTGGTTGCCGGTGACATCAATGGGCCTTCAATATATGAACAACCAGGGCGTCTAACATTAACATGGCCAGGCTGCAATGAGATATTCACTTTTAATCTTGTCGATGGAAACTTTACTTGGGCTAATCAAAAGGGCATCATTATCGCCAGAGGGCCAGAACTGGGCTTATACCGCGCCCTTACCCAGAATGACCTTGGTTTTGGTGGTGACGGCAAAGAATGGTTGAAGTTTAGGCTCGCCGAGACCAAAATGCATGTACGCGGGTTCACTTGGTCCGTGAATGGAGACGGTACCTTGACTGTTAAGGCGACTGTCAGGGTCGCTCCTCCAGTCTTAGAGTGGGCATGCAATGCCCAACTTATTTACACGCTTGGTATGGGCAATTTGTCCATTCGCGCAAAAGGGAGTTTCTCTGGGACTGTTCCTCGTCATATCCCACGTATTGGTCTCACTATGTCGTTGCCAAAGGATTATAACAAGGCAACATGGTATGGTCGGGGCCCTGGAGAGTCCTACAGAGATAAGAAACAAGCTGCTAGATTTGGTCGATGAGAGGCATCAATTGATGATCTTCAGACCAATTATGAGTGGCCCCAAGAAAATGGAAATAGGAGTGACGTACGTTGGGTTCAAGTCAAGGCAAATGACGCTGTACTAGAGGCTCGTATAGATGTACCACTGAGCTTCTCACTCAGAAAGTACTCTATGGATGATTTAGACAAGTCTGCTCATCCCCATGAGCTGACAGATTTGGACGAGACGGTGTTGAACTTAGACTTTGCTCAGCATGGTCTAGGAAGTGGAAGTTGTGGGCCTTTAGCGTTTCAAGAAGATCGCCTAATTCCTGGGCTATTTGACTTTACTGTATTCATTAAAATTAAGTAGTATAAGAATATACGCATTTATTAATTGTGAAAAGCCGTGCTTCTATAGGTTATTCGCAGCATCTGTAAACGGGTATGTATGTTTGTTCTTAATCGCGAAAGATCGGGGCCATGCGAAGAATCTGACAAGGTAATGCCAATGCCTCACGTCCAAAGCGAAATATATGTCCGTGTGTGTGCGAAACGCCAATTAGCAAAGCATATAATTTAATATTACCGAAGATACTTCAGAAGGATTCGACCCCTTTCCCCCCCTACGACGCTGCCGTAACCTAGCAGCGGGAATTGACGTACCTAGCTGTTAATGGCAATTGTGTGTTGATATAGGCTGTCATTGATGCCAACGCCTAGGTCGAATCCGAAGTCTCCCTACTACATTGTTACATCTGTCTCAATTGTAGACAATCAAAGCTGGAGTATGCATCGTTGTTCAGTCCTTAATGTTATGTCAAATATATGTAGACGAAAATACATTAGATGCAATGGTTTGCATACCTACCCATACATATCCCCTATGGCGATATGTAAGCCTGGACACTCATTTGCAGCAGAAAGATCATCTATAGAGTTACTTGGAACAACCACTCGTCTTATAGAAAACTGAATTATAATATAACCGCATTCAGCTTATCATTCTGCGAATGACCTGGGACTAAATTAATGCTAAGAAGTATGAAGCGAGCTATACGATTAGAGTATCGCGAAGGTCTATCAAATTACCCAAAGTATATATACGGATATGCAGATACATGATTCTAGTCTATTTCTTACACCTGTCGAAAAAAATAATCATTTGACGTCTCTGTTAGACTACAGTTGATTGGGCGTAGGCATAGAGTAAGCCGAATAGAGATGGCGGCATCCTTTATTCTTAGAATTTAATTCAATGCCCAGTAGCCCACTATTACTACTATGGCCATGTATTTCTGTGTATGTTAGTCACGCCTAGTCATGATTATTTGCGATTTACGTTAGAGGCATCTTCAATGATCGTAATTAGCAACTTGACAGCGCCATCGTGATGAGTCTAGGAGAGTGCTAAAGTACATCTAGAGTCCAGCCAAAAAGATACCTTTGCAAGTAATAGCTCAACCCCACCACCATGATCATTCCCAGCAGTATATAATAGTGGCACATGATCGTAATCATCGTTACAGTTTAGCTGGGTTAATCCCATTTACGTAAAGACGAAAATATTGGACGACAGCTTCATTATCTTTCCTAACAGCCCATGGCAGTGGTGTCTAGTTATTTCCATCTTCGTAATTTATATTAACACCATTTTGTGTGAGCAAGTTGAACAACGGCTTCGCTGCCATTCTAAGCAGCCCATGACAGCGGTGTTCGGCCGT